TCGGGCTAGTAGCCGTGGGAAGATATGCACTATATCTCCAGAGGTTGAGGATCTATTGCTATTGGGCATTGAGCTGTGGTTCGGCGAACCGGCATCGGTTGGCTCCCCGGCCAAGAGTAGAGGATGATTTGGAGGACTCATTTGGTGTGGCCTGTTTTGACGAAAACATTGCGATCCATCAACACTCGGAGACTTCATGTGAGAGTATTGGCCCCGAGCTTTTGTGGGAGGTGGAGAAAAATGAGGTGCTTGTAGTAAAGGCGACTCTTGTGGGTGTGCAGAATGGAAGCTCGCTCGTTTCGAGTCTTGTGTAGCAGGTAAGGGTTCTCTGGGAGAAGCCAGAAGCGGCTGTGCATTTTGTAATCTCGGTGATACGACAGGGGATTTCAGGGGAGTATGGCCCCCTTGTTGCGGCTTGCTTTTCATATTCCCCGGTCGGCGCGGTGTGTCGCTCGAAATATGGGATTCGTCTGCCATGCCATTTGCGTAGAAAAAGGGTCTAGGATTTGGCTGACTTGTTGGGTGTTTGGCATCCGCCTCGTGCGATGAAATTGTCGACCGGGCGTCACTGGCGTGGAAGAACATGGCGTTCCCAGGAGAGCTGCTGCATGACGAAGCAGAGTATGGCAGCGGAGCACCGTGTATGACGCTTCTTGGTCTGGAAGCACGCAGCGCTGAGGTGTTGCTATCACGGGGAGTCAAGGAGGATTCGGTCGGGTGGAGTGTGGAGGGCTGAGGTAAACGTGACGAACGCTGCGCGTGAGAAGGAGTGCCGGTTGGAGAGGAAGACACAACGCCATCTTTGCGAGAGGTCCTAGGCCCTGAGCGCGGTGTGATATTCGAGCTTAGTCCAGCAGATGCCAGGGAGGAATTTTCGGACGAGCGACCGTCGACATGGTTCGGTTTGCGGCTTAGGTGGGCGGGAGTGTATCCGGCTACTTTGGGCGTCAGAGGCGTTTTGGCAGTTCTATTGAACGCCGCACTCATCGACGGAGTAAAAGGTTTGGTCGTAGGATTGTTTTGTTTATCCAGAGGTCGCATTGCTGTCGTGGCTGATCTCAAGCTCAATATGGGGTACAATTGATCTCGCTGAACGGCATTGCGAGACCCGAGTCAGAGCAAGAAACATGATGGCCAAAGCCAGCAAAGATCAAGTCCTTCTTCTGTGTAGGAGACGGCGCAAGAAGCGACTGGCGTTGGGCGGTGGTGAGGGTTGGGCGTGACGGCGTTTCTTCGTTGCTTTCATTTCGCGATTTCTGGCGATGCAACTCCGGCCCAAAGCGGGCTAGCGGCAAACATCAACCACCGCCGTCAAACAGCGAGTTTCTCGAGTTAATACTGGATATAAAACGGCATACTGCGTGTCTCATTACTATCGTCATCGTCATATCTATCATTTCTGCACAAGTTTGAGAGAAACCAGGAGCTTCAATCCCTAGGCAGACTCCTGCAGCCGCGACACCCAATATCATCCAAAAAATAGACGCTTGCGAGCTTCCCGGTCGAAAAAGGTCCCCAGCACAGCTTTCCGTTTCACAGCGGATATGGGAGCGTCATTCTTCAGGGTCTTGTCAACTTCCTCCTTGATTGTGTCCTTTGACAGGCAAAAGTCCACGTGCCGGTTGAATGCCACATCATCTGCCGGCTGTACACATGAGCAGATAGGACAGGTCCAAGTTTCACTGCTAGATTGCTGGTATGAGGCATCTGTGGGACCTGCTGATTCCGTCCGCGAAGGCTCAAACTCTTGACTCAGTGTCTCAAGGTCTTCAATATCATTCATCCTTTCCTCTAGGGCTGCAGCTTCAAATTCTTCCTCGGTTGACAAAACTGCTCCGCCAGTAACACCACCGATCGCTCCCGCTGGGGGTTCAGCAGAGCAAGCCCCTCGCGTACCGAAGAAATTAACATCGGCCTTTTTCGTGCTGACAAGATGGGTGCAACGAAGCCCCATGAGGCGAATCTTTAGATTCGGCGTCTCCTTGTAGATTTTTGTTAGTAAAGGGAGTGCATTTCTGTATAGCTCATCCGCGAGATGGACGGGCTTGGGTGTCACTGCCTGGCGCGATATAATCTCAAAAGTATGCAGCTTGACTTTCAGGACCAGGGTTCGTCCCTTGCAGTCAGCCTTACGCAAGTCCTTCTCAAGTTCTACTGCGGTCGATTTGAGCTTGTCTTGAAGATTCGCGAGGCCTTCTAAATCTCGAAACGTACTTTCAGTTCCGACGCTCTTCCTTTGGCGTTCTTCAGCGGGTGATATGGTGGTCCTTCCGAGCCCCAGGTAGCATTGCATCAGGAATTGGAAGGCCTTTTGTCCAAACAAAGGAGCTAGCATGGCCCGAAGTGGATAAATATCTCTACATGTTTTGATTCCTAGTGCGTCAAGCTCCCGCTCGAATACTCGTCCAACTCCGTTCACTTTCCGCACCGGTATTTTAGCCATGAAATCCATGATTGCGGCACGCTCGCTAGGAACATAAAATTGGCCATTTGGTTTGTTCCAATTAGATGCAATCTTTGCAATTTTGGCGTTTGCAGCAATGCCTGCTGAAACAGTGATATTCGTCTCCGCGGCTATTGTGTCGCGAAGCTTCTGAACGGCCTCTTCCGGGCCCATATTGTTAGTCGAGCAGTATTCAGTGATGTTTAGATATGCTTCATCGATACTAGCACTTTCAAATCGAGAATCATAGTTGACAAGGATGGCTCGGATTTCGTTGGCCTTGGCCGTGTATTTTGCATAGTTTTGGGGCAAGCAAATAAGTTCCGGGCATAGTTTTTTGGCGACAAAGCTCGCCATACCACTTCGGCAGCCGTACTTTCTGGCAACATAGTTGCAAGTGGTCAGGACGCCTCTGCCTACGGCCATCGGAACAGTCCGTAATTCTGGCCGGTCCAGCTCTTCTACTGCCGCGAAAAACGCATCGCAATCGATATGCACGACAACCTGGGAGAGATCGCGAGTCAACTCTAGTTCTGCAATGTATTCGTCAGCCCGACGGGCCTGTACGGAAAGGTCTTGCTTTTCAAGCTTCTCCTTCCGAGCTGAAAGCCGTTGAATCTTTTCCGTCAGGGCTTGATCCCGCACTTTTTCATGATTAAAAAATTTCGACCCTTTGGATGCTTCGTAAATGACTTCCGACACCTAATGACCAGTGAGCGCTCGACCAATTGACATTCGCTATTAGCTCCAATGACAGGAAGTAAAATACCTTCTGTTGATCGACCGTGTCTTGGCCAGCCTTTGTCAGAGACGGCCCCAAAAGGTGATATTTCAGTGTCTCGTCAGAAGTGTTGGCTTTTGCTGAGAGAGGCGCATCTCCGGTCCCTGACACGTCCATCGTGGGTCGAATGCGATGCCATAACTCATCGGTAACCTCGCAGAGTCCAAATCTCACCAGATATCTGTTTCGAGCGTCATCCTGGGAATCGCTGCCTGATCGACTTAACACTCTTTGCGTTGCCCGTTCGCGTTCAGCGTTAACTAGTTAGTTAGATCGGGCTTGATCACGTGCTTTCGCGTTTTTTCGTGTTTCCGACCTCAACTTCAGCTGGCTAGCAAAGACAAATTGCTTTGACGAAGGGCCGCTAGTACCCATGGTCAACCAGTGTCGCCAGTGTCGCCAGTATGTGGATTCTATCTTCAGAGGGCGACTTTCTTAAAGGTCCGCCATCCTGTCTCCCCCGCCCGTCGCGCGGTTGTCCCCTAAGTTGCTGACGCTCGTGATAGGGAAGCGAATATGGTTGAAACCGGGTAAAAGGTATCTATTCGGTCGGGTTGCCTCAGATGGAAGTAAGTACGCATACTTTTTGTTAGGACAATTGAATGGCGGGCTCTAATCAATGGGATTATGCGTTTGCAGCTACTCATGCTATTAACTCCGCTACAATCTCACGACGCCATTTGGTAATCGAAGTTGGTCGCGTTAAGCAAGGAGACGGTGTCCGTTCGTGCATATTTATATCGTTGGATTGAAACTGAGATGGCCTAGTTGCATGTCCACGCGCGATCTACGCTTACCCTTATCGACCAAAAGTCAAAATGCGGCACGACCGTCGATGGCGAGAGTATCAAAGGCAAAACCAAACTGCTCAGTCCTCGGGATGAATATTCGGTTGTACTGGGAAGATATCAACATGTACTAAAGTGCGTGAGCCTATATACTCTACTTGGATAAAGTGCTGATGCCGTGGCTTTTCCAGGATAACATGGTGTCCAGTAGTATTGACCTTCTCGTACGGGTCACAGGATTCACAGGACGAAAACCCTTTGATCCACGCTCAATCTCGCCTTGAAGATCTGGATATCAAAACTGTTATCCAATATCTTCCCGGGAAAACGAGCTATGTGGTACAGAAAAGACGGAATACAGCCAAGGGTCTCCAGGCGCTTATAAACGGGAAACACATAGTCGAACCGGCATATATCGAACACATCGTATATGCCGCCACATCCACCGAACTCGAGCGTGAAGAGGCGCTCTGTCCATTAGAACAAGATTTTGATGCCGCGTGGCCTGACCCAATCCCACATCTTCCACCCAGGGGAAAAGAAAAAATAGATTTGCCGGATTCTGCGTACAACCCCGATCCACGACGATCTGGTGTATTTGAGGGTTACACTTTTGTAATCTGCGACGAATCGAAGTGGGAAGAATTACAGGGAGTAATCACCGATGGTCATGGGAAGGCATGGATGTCCATACTTGACCTTGAAATCGACCCTGCAGAACATGCACAAGATTTTGTGCTTCAAGCCGCCCGCTGGTCTGGCAAAGGAGAATTCGGTCGTGATTGTGAAGTAGTACTGGTAAAGCCTCGGAAGAAAAATAACTCGGAATGGTTCGATCGGTTTGAAAACGAAGTTAACCGCCTAACAGGGCAACAATTCATCGAACCAGGTGAGCTCTTAGATGCAATCTTGCGAAACGATGCGTCAAGACTGTATAAGCAGTACCAACCCCCTATCGTTCCCGCACCAGCCGCTCAATCGCAAGACCAAGCGATGGGGCATACCGCAGAGTCGGCTGCATTCAGACCTGTGGAAACTGCGGAAGAGAGCCAGAGGAGTTCTAGGCCGGCTAAACGTCCACGTACTCAAGCCTACGTTCCCAAGTTCAAAAATTTCGATGACGGCTTTGATATGGAATCGATCCCGACATATAACTTGGAATTGGAGGAAGCTTCTGAAGAACCCTCCCAGGTATGCAAGCTGCCTTGCGCGTTCTTCATGGTCTGTACAAAATTCCACTGACATAAACAGTCTTTGGCTGTCGATTCAATGCCCGATCAATCAATGCAAGATCGTGAGATATCAGATGCAGACGATGGGGTTTCGGAGCTTCTTCCAGGAGCTACTGCTATGAGGCATCATTTCCGCGGCCGAGCGCGTCCTGTGGCCAGTCCAGTACCGCAGCCACAACGAAGAACTAAAAAGCCAAAATTAGATGTGATTGAGGCCGCCCGGCAACATCGTGAAGCAGAAGACCGAGCTGCTTTGGCGCGCCAGGAAGAAGAAAAGGCAGCAGCTATTGTTGATGGCATGGATTTGTCGCGACTTCAAAATCTTGCTATAATCGAAGAAATGCCAGTCTTTCAAAAGGTACGGCAAGATCGGCCTTCAAATGGACATGGAGACCGATGGGATGATCGATGGAACGGCCGTAAAAACTTCAAAAAATTCCGACGCAAAGGGCAAGGTGGCGCGCTACATCGAGTACAAACTGTTATCGTTCCTCTCGAGGAAGTCAAAAAGAAAGATTTTGGCATCGGGGATGACTACTGGAGCCATAATAACAATAGCAGCACAAGAACGGAACGGAATCGATCGGTTGTCCAGGAATCTAATGACACAATGTTAACATCTCAACCTATCTCGCAAAGTGCAGAATCCAGGACGACAACCAGATCCAGAAAGCGGTCGCGCACAAGGGATTCAGATAGTGACGATGACGGGCTAAGGTTCCGCTTCAGGCGAAAGAAGAAGCGCTGATGCTGCGGAAGTTTGAGAGCTACGGGTGGTACGGCTTCGCAGTCTTTGGTTTTGTGAATATTTAGCCTGAGTATGGCCCATAATCAGATACTGGCGCTCCATATTCATGCTATCGCCAGCAATGAAACCTGTCACTCCAACACATCAACACGGATGGAGAATGATGCCATTGACAAAACATTATTTGGTACGGACAGCGAATAAACAACTCTAGGCGTCCCTACAAGCTCGATTAGTTTTCGGAGTTTATGAATGGCTAGGCAGTGCCGTTTCCGTGCAACACCTCGACGAGCCAGGAGACTCTACCGAACAAACATTTCACAAAACACGATTTGCAAAGGGCGTCCGCTGAAGAAACAAAATTACAACCAACTGCATGATCTATCCTACATTCACGTCAAGTCCCAGAGGTCTCAACCCACATCCGCATCTTTTCATTATATGCACCCCATACTGCTTTTGGAGATAATCGAATACCCTTCTATTCTTATGTTATTGAATTCCAACCCGTTGTTTTTCGAATATTTCGCCTAATATCTCAAGATCATCACGCATTTTCATTCCCTCTACCCGTTGCTTGTGAACCTCCCGTCTCTATCAAATCCTTCGAAGTCGGCGTCCCGGCTAGCGTCTTCTCTTCCTGCGTAGTGACGTCAACCGCGACTTCTTCGCCGAACTTCCTAGCTATCTCCTCTAAACTAAGTCGGGCAGTCTCGGGGAAGAAGAAATATATCACTGTCGAAGATGGAAAACTGAGCGTCCAAATCGTTATTGAGAAATGGGGAGCATTTTGTCTTACCTGGAATGAAAAGAACAGACCAGATGATGGGAACGAGGTAGTATCTCCAGCCTACATGCGCGAAGCCGATCGGCGCGGTTTGAAGAAGGATGATTGTTGCTTGAAGATGGTTACATTAGGCCTAGTTTTGAGGATAATGGGACCCGACTCACATGCGAACTGGCCAAAGGTTGAAAATCCCATACCAATAGGGCGTATCTCAGTGGGGAAGATTTCAGAGACGTAGAGGTACATTGTCGTGTGGCAAAATGTCCTGGCAAAAAGATCAGCTAGGAAAAGCCGATTAGGGGATAGAGACCGCAGCCAAACTTACCCTTGGAAAGCTACGTATAGGAAGATGAAGAATATACCAAAGCCGCTGCCCACGCGGTTCTTGGTACCGGTGTATTCAGCTGTCATTGCAGCTAAACAAGACGTGGTTATGATAACGCCTATGAGACCGATGATGTACATCTTCCGGCGTGAGTTGATCTTATCGTGAAGCCATGCTCCAAGGGGGTTGTAGATCAAGCCTTTACTGCTGTTAGTTTGTGGTAATGACTTGGATATAGAGAGGGGAGTGTATACCAGCTGTGGTAACCCACAGTGCGCTGAGAAGCAGAGGCATATGTCCCGTCATTCCTAAGTTTGTATAGAGAATCACTGCATAATTATTCTATTACCGACGTGTGAGCTACTTGAGTCCAGGGATTGGCAAAGCTGAAAAGAAGTGAAATACTTACAATAATAAGTGGCCCGCCAAACTCAGTGCCCCATTGAGTCAGAAATCCAATTATCATTCTCCTCCGATATGACTTCTTCTTGACAACAGCCGTCCAAACACCATAACCGGTTGCAGCTAGCTTCTCCGCTTCAAGCATGACTTGTTTTTTGATCCGGTAGAATTCTTCTCTGGCCACCAAATCCTGCGGGTCATCCTTCGATTGCCTAAGCCGGCGAAGAATCACCAAGGCTTCATCATACTTGCCTTTGGAGATCAGCCACCTGGGAGACCGGGGTAGCCATGGTGAACCCATTAACAAAAGTAGTGGGCTCAATATTTGAAAACAAAGCGGGAATCTCCAGGCGAATGCCGGATTGGAACCCGTAGCAAAGTAGCACGCGTATCCGATCCAACAAGCTAGCATGTATCCGAAGACGAGAAATATAGCATGGTGGCCCACAAGCCACCCGCGAACAAAGGGACTGGAAATCTCTGCAAAATACATGGGGCAAGCGGTGACAAGGACGCCGGTGGAGGCACCAGACACAAAACGACCGGCTTGAAACATCCTTATGCTATGATCAGTACTGCATGCCATTTCCAGGGGCGTCGCAGGGTACGGCTTACTTCAAATTTGCGGCTCCGCCTTGCAACGCACCTCCAAGGATTGCAAGAAAAGAGCCAAGTTGAATATTGACTTTACGACCCCATGCCTCGCAAGACCACATCATGAAGAGGGAGCCTACAGCTCCGCCAGCACTGAAAAGGCCATTTGCGGCTGCAATAGCATTTGTCGTCACTGTGGCGTATCCTGGTTCACCCTGGGCGGGCAGTTCAAAAAAGGCATACCATCCGGGTTGGCCAATTGTGCTACTGATCACTGAAGCACAGAAGCCATATGTCTAAGGTAAAGGCGGTGATGTTAGAACATCGAAGAAAATCCGCGGAGCTATAGGCCCTTCCCATTCTCTCCAAGGGAAGGGTTTGCAGTAGAGAAACGCGTACCAGTGAGCCCAAAGCTACAAAAACAATGACCAGCCTGTTGTACCGGCTCGTCTGAGATCCAAAGTTAGCCATTGTGGTGTAAATAGTGATGCCAACGTCCGACGCTTGGACCTTATATAAAACTCGTGAGGACAGAAATATTTCTCAGACAACCGACAGTGATTATTGAAGTGGCCATCCCAGGTAGAACGCATATGGTGTAGCCATAACCTTTGCTGTATGACAAGCTTTCCGTCTTGCAAAGGGCGACCGTAAATACGGGATATCTCCTTGTCTAACATAACCATCCTACAGGCGTTGATTGACCTGACTCAGGACTGAGACTGCAAGTGTTGAACATGTCCAACAAGCAACAGGTGTGACCTGTTACAACAGATAAGCAGGCTGAACTGAATTCAACGAAAAAACATGAGCCCGAAGACCAGCATGATTGGGTATACATAATATGCGCAGCGACTAAAGTAGAGGCTTTAGGTGTGATAGCCACAGGATGCGCCATTAGCTTGGGCCCGAATTCAGCCAGTTGCCAGCACCGTCTGGCATTGCAGATATGTCGAGCAAGTGCTGTCGCCATCCGTTCCCGGTGGAGGATTCTCGGAGGTCAGGCTCTCGAAACGAGGAGGTTGAAAAAACAGCGATAACGAAAAGAAATGGTTGCTCCCGCGTCTACCCTGTTGGATTTGGTAGCTTTAGGGCTGGGCCCTGGGGATGCGCCCCGAAGTCACTGCCCCTACCCCCCCCCCTAGCGCCCTTGTCCTTGCAGCCACCGCGACCCGCAACGCGCGACACGGACCTCCAAAACTGCCATCTCTCCCCCTGCACCTCGATTGCAAGTTGCAACCTCCGCTGCCCCTCAGACCTCATGCAGATGCGTCCTTCTCCATTGCAGCCCTCGGCGCTGAATTTCTTCGGCAAGGCGACCCGAAACCCTTTCCAATATGCCACCCGAGTTGTCAGAGTTGGAGGAACTAAAGGCCCGTCTTCTTGCGGCTGAGCAACGCGCTCAGAGGGCAGAGGAACTCGCTGAGAAGGCAGAGGAACGCGCTGAAAGGGCAGAACAACGCGCTGATAGATCATAGTAACAGTTACAAGAGGACAAGGCGAAAAGCAAAACGACCTTTAATGCTTACCTGGATCTCTGCCATTCATACCTCTTCGACGGCCTGTTGGTTCAACCAGATCCGAAGCGTTCTACCCAGGGGACCATTGTGGCACCGAAAGCAAACACTATCCAAAAAAACTAGTCCCCTGGGCGGATTTCCTTGAAGGTCAAGAACATCGATTCGATGAAGTATATGACCTTTTTAACGCCCTTCCAGAGCCGGCGAAACTCTTCCCTACTCGGCGGACGCTCGAGGAATTAGGCGAACTGATATGTGATCGATTGTTTGCCTCAGAAGATGACCTGAGACCCCACCAGCTATTCGCGGTTGAGACGCCGGTCCGTCGCATCGTTGCTGCTCTGAGAGAGATGGAGGAAGCCCAGGAGCGCTTTCAGCTGGGGCAGGGGATAATTTTTGAGAGCCACCAAAATACCCTGGATGAAGAAGTCGAAGAGGTCCAAGAGCTCCTCCTAGCTCGAGAACTGGCAATTACGGGAGGCAAAGAGCACCCAAAGCTAGTCAAGCCAGACCGGATCTGTGTATACAGAGATCTAGCTGGTCAACATACTCTTTCCTACTTGGTTGAGTATAAGCCACCGCACAAGCTTACCGTGTCCGACCTTAAAAAGGGCTTACGTTCAATGAATATCCAGAAAGAGGTGATTCAGGAGTACAGGATTCCGATCAACGACGAAAAGAAACTCCAATTTGCTGCGGAGAAAAAGGTAGCAAGGGCAGTGTCACAAACATTCCACTATATGATCGAAAGCGGTCTAGAGTACAGCTATCTAAGTACCGGAAAGGCGTTTGTTTTTCTTCGTGTTGGAGAAGCTGACCCGACAACATTATTTTACTATTGTTTCACCCCTGATGAGAAAGTGCACGCGTCTGATGACCTAAAAGCCAAAATATTTCAGACTTCCATTGCGCAGGTCCTCGCATTTAGTCTGTTGGCATTTACAGCAGAGAGACGGAGCCCTGATTGGCGCGAGCACTGGAGACACACACTCCCAAAGTGGCCCGTGGATGGAGGAGGCATGGTACCTCGTACGCCCGAGAAAACGAACAAGCGGAAGACACCCCCATCATCCGACTTTAAAGGGAGGCGCCCCTCTGTCTCGCGATCCTACGAGCTGCGCGTCAGGAAACGCAATACGTGTAAAGAAGACGAGGTCCTACAGTACTCCGACTCCGATGAACGTTCATCCTCCGAGTCGGAATCGGGAAATAGAGAAATACGGGTGGCCGGAAGCCGCACGGGGCTTCAACAGGAAACTGTTCCAGATAGCCCAACGCCGGTTAGAACAAGGGAAAGGACACAGCGCCGTGACTACTGCACTCAAAGCTGCCTTCTAGGGTTAGCTTGTGGAGGTTCTCTGGATGAGAACTGCCCGAACGCCTCAGCTCACCGGGTTTCTGGAAGTCTACATTATGCTGAAAGCATGAAGCCTTCCGGCGGGGAGCCTAGCGGTGCTGCTAAGAATGGAGTGACGAGGTGAATGTCCAGTGCGATAGACGGCCTTGTAGGTGTTACGCTCTCCTGCTTGCACTTTTGGGTGCTGCTTACAGGTCTTCCGATTCAAGTGATCTCCATCACGGACTCCGAAGAGTAATCGCAATGCCACACCCATGAAGACTGGGATACGGCCGTGTTCGAGCAGCTCTGCCCCTTGGATTATTACTCTCAATCCAGAGACTCTTGTGCTGCTGCGGGTTGACGTGCCTGAATAATACATTCCATAGCGTACCCGGGTAGCGCCCGGGTAACTATCCACCAAGATGAGATACTAGAGGACAAGTTCGTATTTAGTTCTGTGGAGCTTCGGCAATATTCACTGCAGAGTAAATAGATAGTCATCATGTTTGTCCATCTGTTTTCCGTCGGCGATGATAAACCGTTGCCTCTCGCCGAGATTGTGCCGTCCACCTTTCTGAATATTAACAATCTCCCACTGACGCAGTAGCTCATCGTCTCAAAACGCTCCAAATCGCATCCTGTCCCGCCGTTCTGCCCTCTCCCTTGCCGTCCAACAACACACAGAGCAGCCTCACCCAGCCCTCCCACAATGCCCCTCTCCGTCCGTCCCCTCTCCACGCCCGCCGACCTCTCCCGCGCCGTCGAGATCCAATCCACCACCTTCGCCAACAGCGCCTTCTGCCGCACCGTCGGCGCCTCCCCCGAGGGCAACCCGCGCACTCTCTCCCCCGCCGACCGGCACGCCATCCAGATCTCGCGCCTACAGGAAGCCGTCGAGACCGACCCGACGTTCCACCTCCTGGGCGCCGTGGACGACGAGACGGGCGAGATCGTGGCGGTCGCGAAGTGGAACGTGTTTCTTGACCGGGCTGCGTTGGAGATGTGGAAGCGAGGGGCGCGGACGGACAGGGACATGGAGATTCCGCGGGGCGTGGATGAGGAGGGGTATCGGTTTGCCAAGGGGCGGATGTACGAGGCGAAGAAGAAGTGGTTTGGGGAGGAGGGGAGGGAGCATTGCTGTGAGAGATTTTTTTGACGGTTTGATCTGTTGCTGCGATCGGGCTCTGGCTAATTCTTTTGATTTTTTTTCTAGTTCTTGCTGTCCTCTGCACGCATCCCGACCATCAGGGCCGTGGCGCGGGCACCCTGCTACTCAAGTACGGCCTTGAAATTGCTGATAAGCACGGGGTCGAGTCCTTCCTGGAGGCTTCGGCAAAGGGGCTTCCCCTCTATGAGCGCTATGGATTTGAGAGCATCACTTTCCCCGACGGCACGCCAGGTCTTTTGGAGTTTGATGTTGGGAGATTCACGGGGCGAGGAGGAGACCAGGGCGATTGGGTACGCTTGACGCTGATGACGAGACCGTCCATGGCGAAAAAGAATTAGAATAGATGTTGATTTTGCTTGGGATGATTGAGTGAACCGGCCGGGCCGCGCATATTTTCTACGACGGAATTGGTTATGTATATACCTCGAAGCGAGGCTTGAGGAGGTTCATCTAGAAGGTATATATAATGCTATACAAAATATGACCAAAGACAGAACTTGAGGTGATCTTGTATTACGGTGAGATAGAGACAATTCGACCAGATACGTCATGCGTCAATAGAAACGGGTCGAATTGAGATGGATGGAAAGAAGTTACAAGAGTGATAAAGGTCCATGAGCTGGGACAAACATCATACATACTTCGAATCTACAAGGACAACATTATTAACATTCCGATTGAATATCCACAAGCTACATCAGGAGAGAAGCAGGAGCTGTTGCATGCTCCCTTACATCTTCCAGCAGCTCCTCCACCACCTCCAGAAACGAGTAATTATCTATAGACCCATAAGACATAGCCTTGAGCCCCAATTATCTCACGCTACGAAGTATATAGCTTCGCTATTTCCCGAAACCCGAAAGAGAAAACAAGTCAAAATGTTTGAAGATCAGGGAGGTAAAAAAAAAAAAAGAAAGGGAAGCTCAGCCAGCCTGGTACACCGCGGGCCCAGCCACGATATGCGGATTCAGCAAGCTCAGATTGAACGGCGTCACATACAAATCCGCATCGGTGACCGCTAGGAACATGGTCCCGTTGACTCCCGGGTCGCCGGCATACGTATCGAACATTGGCTGCGTTGTCTGCGCGGTCGTCGAATTGGTCGAGTTGACGCCCGTCAGTGGAGAGTATGTCACGTTCAGCTGCGTCACCCACGCAACGAATGCGGGCCGTCCGGCCATGGAAGTGGTAATGTAGCTGTTATTTGGGCCGACTCGCATACCGGGCCTTTCCCAGGAGAGTCTCACAACTTGGCCCGGCTGCGAGAGGGGCGTGGTGCGGTTGCTTGAGATTGCCGGGGCACAGGTGGAGTTTAGGCACGAAGCGCCTGGGTCGATGGCTGACATGTTTGCCGATCCCAGACCGGGGCCGTACGTCGTGTTGGTCCCGGCGGTGGCGTTGGAAGAGAATGGATTTGGCTGATTGATGACGGCAAGGGCTGGGTAGTTCTGCCACACAAGACGTGGGTTGTTCCCGGGACAGTAGTTGATATAGGGCGCGATCAACGTCCAGGCCCAGGACTGCGGGATGGCGGTTTGGAACCAGACTGGGATGGGGAACAAGCCTTCGAATTGGCGGAAGAGCAGCTGCTGGCGGCCAGTCATGGAGACGGCCTGGAGGAGCAGTTGCGCCGTCTCTCGCGCATCCAGGTGCGGCACAAATCCATAGGCTGTCGATTCTATCACCTTGCTGATCTTCTGAGCGAAATCGAAAAACTCAGGCAAAGTCTTAAAGGGATGGCGATAGCTGCATCTAGTGGGAGCTGACTGGCCAAGGATGTTAGACAGCATGGTAATATGGCCCAGGACCTCAGTCCGCATGAATTGGACTAGGCTACGATCTCTCGCGGTCAATCCAGCCTGGGTGAAGTCCTGCACGGAGAACTGATCAAGGCCGGTGTCCAGCATATCCAGCTGCAGCCAGTCGCAATACAACAACAGCGCCTGATTGGTTATACTTTAGCATACCGGTGCTAAATAGCAATGATAATACTCCAATGGAAGACATACAATAGACTGATAATCATAGTCGCTCCGCACGTTATATACAGGCGCCGTGCCGTTGGTACCCAATCCACCCGCCGGGATGTATGGTGCGGGCTGTGTATCATGGAGCATGCCGTCACTGGGATACCTCGTTGCTTCAGGAGGCGCGGGCCTGGGTGTGATAGCCGTGCCACGTACGGTGCCCGTCAAAGCACCCGTGGCCGTGGGGACGCCGGTCCATGGCCCCGTACCGCGAGGCAGACTGACACCGCTCACCACGGACGGAGTTGCGGGAACCACGATCCCGCTCGCATAGGTGAGATCCGCAGGCTTCGCTTTGGCAGCAGGGAATAACAATGGGGCAACAATCCCCGTAAGCAATGCGTTGTAAAACATCCTGACGAGCGTTTGCAAATGTCCTCGAAGAATTGGATGCTAGTGCTGGGGAGGTTGGATGGGTATGGATATTTCCTAAAGGCAGGGGGGATAACTGTCCCTAAGCTTGTTTCGGGTCCTCGAGGGAACATCACTGACGCAATCTCTTTCATGGCTGTTGTTGATACAATGGCGAATGTGCTCCGCAAGCTCCGGCTAGCTTTTCAAAATGCCATCAATCTTGGATTGAAACGGGATTTGCGGTCAATCCTTACATGTTAATAGGTGGTAAACCTGGGATATTCTAACCCACGGTCGACGAAAAGTCAATCTCCAGCTTGTGCTTCATCAACATCGTATTCTTGACGGCTGGCAGTTCAACGGGTTGGCAATTGAGTTTGGCGAGGAAAGTCAAGAGACGAGTAGTCAGCAACGGCCTGTATAGTTTAGCCAGCTCATCAGAAGGGGATGAAGACAAAATGATATTTTGGTAAAGAAAACGGGAGAAAAACAGCTGGATCAGGATGCCAAACGGAGAGTAAACATTTGTGAAGACTAGCTCTATCGAATTGTAAAGGTGGTATCTCCATGTATGATTAACTTTTCGCTCAAATCAGTGTCTATTGACCTTTGTTGTCTCAATGCAGGAATTCTCGCTGAATGAAATTGTAGGGTGAAATCACAACGCCGTCCAAACGCCGGTTGGTAAATGCATAAAAGATCATTCCGAAATGTCCTCTGAGCTCGAGGCTTGAGGAGGTGGTAGGTTCTCTAGGCCGTCCTTGTTGTACTCCTTATTGAAAGGTTCTTTCGCAAGGATCATGGGACTGGTGCGTTCAAAGTATCCCAACACGCCCGCGTGCAAGAGACCTTCACTGAGATCCGCGTCCTCGTACGGACGGGACTTTTCATCCACATGGCGAGCCATCGATGCCAGCCACTCTTCTCGCAGTTCCTTCACTTTTTGCTTATAATCAAGTTCGGCATCGTAATATTTGCCCACGCCTCGGAGGCGCTCCCAAAGGGACAGATGCGACGGGTGTACGGCGGCGCCATGGTATTCATGCTCACGCCCGCTGCGGATATAGAACCATCGCCTTTCTTGTTCCTTCAAATCGAGACCTGTGGTGTCCGGGAGGAACAGGAAGGTGAGCAGCATTCCAGCCAAACCAAACCATGGCACCACTCGGAACTTGGTGGTTGTAGAAATGTAGCTATACATCACCGCGGCTACCAGAGCACCCAATTTACCAATAGCGGCGGCGAAACCATGGGCTGTGGCGCGAATCGGGGTTGGGAAGACCTCTGCGGCGACAAGGAATGTGACAGAGTTTGGCCCGAATTGGTTGAAAAAGCTGCTGAGGAAGTACATCGCCTGGAAGGCTTTTATGTGTTCAGGGGAGGTGTAGTAATCGTAGTGATATGCTGGGATGATAAAGAAGATGAAATCCATCAAGAAGCCGACGATTTGCATCCACTTGCGGCCATACAGTTTGTTGTCGATCAAAAACGCTGCACAATGGTTAGAGAAAAATATTTCCAAAGTTCACAGGGCCTTGCTAGAAAACTTACAGGCCAGATAGTATCCAAGAAGGGACACGCCCACGTTGAGCAGGTTGTACAGCCACCCTGGCATGATGGAAGTTGTCTGTGGGCTGATCACTGCAATGAACTCACTTTGGAAAAGTTTGTTTCCATAGAAGAAAACGTCGTTTGCAAACCAGGCGCCGGCAGTGGCCAAGAGGCGGAAACCAAAGTATTTGAAAGTGAGTCGGAGTGATTTGGTGTCATAGCCGGTAACCCGGGACTTTGCTTTTGCAATGGCGAGCTGCTTGCTTGCAGCTTTCATCTTATAAAAGCGGTAGTACACTAACCAAAGGGTGCCAGCCGCGGGAATGGCAAACGACACGCGGTATGTCCACTGGGCCGAAACGGTTGAATAGGGGGCATTTCCACTTCCATGGTGGAAAATGAGGAGCAGAACGATCAAGAGCGCCTGGTTGAAGAACTGGCCCCAGCCCTGCATGAGAAAAGCACTTGTGACTTTCCGGCCACGATGTAAACGGTCCTCCTTTGTTGAAACCTTTCCCGAACCAACAGCATTCTCCATGCCGCTGGTGGCAGTCATTGGATATTCGCCTCCAACGCCAATGCCGTAGAAGAACAACGACCAAACGTAGCAGATGACCCATCCATTTTGAGTCACGCCCCAGGCCGCCGTCAACATGACGAGACCCAAAAGCATGATTACAGCGTCTTGGATGAGACCCCATCGCCGTCCAATCCTGGGGATTCCGGTTAGCTTGTATATTGACTGCAAAGATGGGGATCCCACATACCAATCACCGAGGACTCCGACAAGAATCTGGCCAACGATGATGCCACAGATTTCAAGGTATTCAACCGCGGAGATCCAGGTGGGATTGCATATTTCCTTCGTTTTCCAACACGCGGGGAACGACTTCTCAAATAACGGCTTGATATTGCCGATTGAGAATAGAACATAACTAGGTCATGTTTTTAATATTCCAAAATCGGATTCATGCCAAGAGAACCTTCGGATGGAAGCCACTCACCCTTCGAGGCCAAGTCCAGCGCCAGGCAAAACCATATTGCGGAAATACCAAGACACGGGCGATAAGGGGTCTGCCTTGAACATCCTCCAGAACCCGGCAAACTCCCTCCTCGCCTCCTTCATATCGTAGGAACTCACGAACCGTATCTTTTTGAGAAGAGGGAGATCTGCAAAATAGACGCCATCGGAGGTGTAACAGTCGTCCGGACGAATTAGGCTGTCGAAAGCCTCCTTTTCGCTGAGGTTCATCTCCTGGAGAGGCTCATGGGTGCCGGTCATGTCAGGCCCGTGCGGGGCCCGGGGACCAAAGTCGGCCATCTATGCACGATGCTTCGAGAGAGAGACGAGAGAGGGATCTGGTCGCGTGCTCGTCGGACTAAAGTGAGGCCCAGATCAGCATCCAAGACGGCGAAGAAGAAGCCAAGGCACGACAAGCATCGAGCCAACGCTGACAAGAAGCCAAGCATCCTTGAGGCCCAGCGAGCCTTCACAGCACGTTCCGGGAGGGGCCTCTCTGACTGGCTCTCACTGGAGACGGGGACAAGCACTGGGATAAGGCTTGACAGCGTCAAGCAATGCCAACGACGCTGGAGCCATACTCACTTTGGAGGAGGAGGATGGACACGGTGCGTTCGCCCTCTGCAACCAAGGCTCAGGACGGAGGCGTTGAAGCAGGGCGAGGAGTGCGAGGGAGGAGGGGGGGTTAAAGAAGGAGAAGGAGGAGGAGGTGCAGTCCCTGTCCTCCTCCCCCATCGTGCTGACTACGAGCATCCTGTTCGATTCGCCGTTTTCCTTTTTTTTTTTCTCTTCCTCGCTCAACCGGATTTGGCTGGGGTGGAACCCGTTGACGATGGCAAGCAGGATTGTATTGCGGCGGTATCCAGGATTCAATACCGCCACACGTGCATACAATCAGCCGTGTAACGGACGGTACGCTGTACCCGGCGCTGGCAAAACCAGGAGCCACACCCCGGAGCCAATCAGCGCCCGCGGATCGCCCACGTGTAACAGCACAGTGAGCGGCGCCAAGACCAGGGAGCCAGGCTTGGCACGTCTTGTCTGGTTGCCGGGCCTTGGCACCCGCCCGCGCCAAGACCGCGCGCTTCCGTTGTTTGCGTTCAGCAGGCGCAGCCGCCCGATTCTATGGACGGTTTCGCTGCTGCAGAGACATTTATTCTGATCTGGCGCGGTCAGGGCCATGGGCAGGACTCAGGGGGCCGCGGACAAAGACTGACGTCTACGGGCTGTCGTCAACAGACACGTACGCTGCCCCTCCGTCACACGCAACGCAACGCAGGATGGCGCTTGTTCTTTGTGTGGCTTCGCTGGCTGTTGAAACCGTCGTGGGCAGGGGGGAGATTATTCTTTGCGTTGCGTCAATTTCAGGCTGCGACAGGCCTCAGTCGCGTGCGATTCGTCGTGCCCTATCCCTCTGAAAATATCTCAGCTGTTCTACAGCATTGCTGTCGAAGCCCTCGGGCTTGTTTTCCGCTTCTTTTTAGTGTATCGTCAGCAGGGAATTCAGGGTCTTGGTGACCTTGGACCTGTTAGGTGGCAGGCCTTGTCTCTGGTGAAACCTGCTCTTCCCCAGATCGGATACCGCCTGCCACTGATTGATCGCCATTCCAAGAGACATCAGAACTCCCCGAATCTTGATCCCCTTTCTTGGCCAATTAGCCCTACGAGGACGCGTCTCCCCGCACGGATCGTCCCGTTCCTTCTGACGTCTACCTAGATGGCAGACGCATCCTACGGCAGGCCGGCTTTTCGTTGGGGAGCTTTGGTGCTTTGCTCAGTGCTGCGTCACCCTATCTTGCTTGGATGCGATGCACAAAACAGGACCCAAAACGCGTCGACTTGCAACCGAAGCACGCAGAGATTGGTAGATTTGACCACAATCAAGGCTGAAGGCGAGAAAGCGCCGGTATCTGGATGCGTGTGTGACACCCGGTATCACTTTGCGTTGCTGTCAGATGTGCGTTGTGGCTTACGAGATTGATTTGACTTCAATTCCCGTCTGAAGTGCAGTGCCCGTTTTGCAGTGGTCTTTTTTCAGAGAAAATCAAAAAAGGAGACCGATGGGATAGTCGCATCCGTCAAGGAGGCACAATTGTGTAATGAAGATGTGGCTTGACACACCGCACAATTGATCTCTATTCGCGTGTAGTACTAAATACGTAAAGCCTCAATCCCCACATTGATCCTTGGTCAGGCCGGGTTGGCTTCTAGAAATTTTATACCGGCCTAGTCGAGGCTACACTGCATTGAAGAATCATGTCAATCGTTCCGATGATGTAGCACAGACGCCACAGCATCAACGTCTGAGTTCAAACACTTGGTGCAGCATTCCCATAACATCATCCAAAGCAAGATCTTCGAGCACATATATGGTACTGGCTCTCATGATATCTCACAGTCTCCTCGGAAATGGCCAATTGTGGGACGGCACTCAGTCTATATACCGATTGAATTCCTTTCTATATACATTAATTATCCAAAATATAGCCCCAACCGCCCAGTTAGTTTCCCAGAATGTAAGAGCCCGCTTTTCCAACTCTAGACATAGATCACATGGCATCGTCGCATCTAGGTACACTTACCACGTCTCAGCCTTGGCCAGGAACCCAAACTCATCACCACCCCCAGGCCGGCTGAGATCCAACTGTCTCGCAATCTCTCTCACAAGCTCAACTGCCCCCAGTACCTGCTGGCCCGTAGCTCCTAGGTTCTTGCACCCAAAAAAATGCCTGCGCAGAAAAGATTCAGCATCCAAACATAACCCAATACACGAAACAAGCGGAAGTGAAAATACCCACCCTTTCGCCTGGGGCGCAACATCATCCGCCAGACAGCACACAAATTCCAACATGACCGTCTCCATGGGATTAAGAATCCTCATCTCACCCATGAGCTCTCCGTAGACGCCCCGTATCGCAAAGTCACTCAAGTCGCCGCCGGAGCTCTTGCCCATGTTTGCGAGGATACGGTCGGTGTGGTTGGAGTAGATTTGGGAGAAGAAGTGTTTCCCTCGTCTAAGCTTCTCTTCCAGTGGGACCGGGGCCCGAAGCGATGTGTCTTTCGAAAGGATTTGGTGTAGCTCTGGAGAATTTTGTTCGATCGAAGTCTGGAGGGAGGAGAGAGAGTTGATGCCCTGCGCGCAAAAAGAAAGTGGTGTTAGAGCATAAAAAAGCACTCCTGAGAGTCTGGAGTTATCTTACTCGAGGAAATCCAACGAGAACGCTGGCTTTCAGACAGCATTCTCGAATCCTCCGAGCAATTGCGACTTTGGCGACTTGGTCGCAGTTATTCAGGCTATTGATGTATTTCCATAGCTCGCCCACCGCGGCTTCTTGGTGAAAGGATAAAAGCGCAGCCGTAGCAACGACGTACCATAATGACTTGGCCGTGGTGTTGTTCGCCTCGTTGGGTATAAAACTAGAAAGTCCAGAGAAATCAATGCGCGGGTGCTGCGAGCTGGGTTGCGGAGAGGGGGAAGAAGACGAAGAGGAAGCGGCGGACGACGATATCGTCTTATTATGCATATGGCCCTGAATGGCCCGCAGGCGTAATGTGGCTTTGGAATCTGGCATTTCGATCCGCCTCCTTTTATGATAAAACACCTCCGACCGCGACTGATGGTGGGACCGGCGCTGGAGAGTAGTAAACACGGCAGGAACAGTGGCTGACGACGCTGACTGAATAGGACCCAGACACCAAAACCCCGAGATGCCTCTTGCAAGCAAAGGAATTGGCGGAGGAGACATGCCTAGAGGTCGGATCGGGGAGGAGTCAAAGGCGCGCTGGTTATTAATGCCTAGGCAATTGCTTGCTGCTAGATGGTAAACTCTCCGGCACCCGACGCTAAGAATCGTTCGGGCCGGCTGGTTGCAAACTGTGCAAATGTGCCAAGTCTCTCGGCTTTTGGACTCAGATTCGCCGATCCCGAAATTGGCTGTAGCTTTTTATATGTACCACGGATTACTCTGCACTGAGAAATTGAGTGATATGATCAAATATCGAAGATGAGACCCCCCCAAAAGATCTTATAGTTTGTATGTACAGAGAGAATTGTCCAAAAATGTACTTACAACCTGCGCCTTGGCATCAATGTGTTTGTGAAGACTACTCCGTAGCCTTGCTTTCAATTACTCGGCCAGTATTTCTTGACGAGGTCCTTCTTATTTACCTTGCCCATCGCATTTCTCTCAATGGAGTCGACAATTTTCAGGACAGTGGGAACCTTATAGTGCGCCAGTTCTTCCTTGAGCCGTGTTCGGAAAGACTGCAGGTCTAATGGAGATGTCTACCACGAGTTAGCATATTCTCAAAACAGGCAGGAAAATGATCGAGCATCTCGGCATTTCCTTACCCCTGGTCTCTGTTTTATAACGGCAGCAACACGTTGGCCCCATTCATTATCAGGCAACCCAACAACCGCAACCTCTTGGACGACATCTAGGGCTAGGATCTGCCTTTCAACTTCCAACGCAGAAATCTTGTAACCTCCAGATTTGATCAGGTCCACTGAGGCGCGGCCTTGGATGAAGTAGGCGCCGTCGTTGTCTACCTTGGCAACATCACCTGTCTTGAACCATCCGTCGGATGTAAATTCTGTCTTCGTAGCCTCGGGTCGTCTCCAATATTCCAAAAACACATTCTCGCCCTTGACCTCAATCATACCATCTTCGTCGGATCCGGGAGAAATAATCTGACCGGTATCCCTGTCAGTGAGCCGAACTTGTACGCCAGGCAGGGGCCAGCCAACGCTTCCGTCAATCCTCTGATGTACTTCCAAGCCGCAGCTGAGCCCCATTCCAATTTCAGTCATGCCGTACCTTTCCAACAAGGTTTGGCCGGTGATGTCCAGGAATCTCTTTCTTATCGGTGTTGGCAGCGCGGCAGAGCCACTGACTACCAACCGCAGCGCATTAGCTCCGGTTCGAGCAGCAGCTTCTAGAGGCGTGGATTTGATATGTGTATCAAAGTAGTCCACAAGCTTGGCATAAACTGTCGGGACGGCCATAAACATAGTAGAGGAGGCCTCGCCGGACCACCTTTCCCATATGGTTGCGGCATCAAAATGAGCGTACATCTCAACGGTGGCGCCGCTCAACAAGACGGCTACAAGGCCGTTGATGATCCCATGAATATGGTGCAATGGAAGAACGTGTATGAGGTGATCAGACGACGAATATTTCCATGCTTCAATCAAGCAGTTTGATTGGAACATGATATTCTTGTGAGTAGTGACGCAACCTTTGGGGTTTGCAGTGGTTCCAGAAGTGTAGATTATCAGGGCTCGTCTAGACGAGCTGAACGCTGGGTGAAAAGGAGGGAGTAATGTTGACCCCGATCCACACGAAGTGAAGGGTGCCAGGTCGAAAAACTGCACATCGGGGCAGTTTGTCTCCAACGGCTCCCTTCGATGGCTGAAATAGTCGTGTAATATCACCAGTGATGGATCAGAGTCGGAGATTACATAGAGCATCTCTTTTACAGGGTGAGAAACGCCTATCGATATGAATGAGCTGTTTTGATATTGAATCGAATGCAGAGGTAACCTACACAACGGGACACAAACGCCGCCAGCGGCCCATATTGCCCATTGGCAGACAACATAGTCATAGCCCGATGGAGCCAGAAATACAATTCGTTTCTCGTCCAAATCTGTCACTGACAACGCATCCAGGATCTGGCGCTTAAGTCGCGATACGTCGACAAGCAATTGACCATATGTAAAGCGCTCTTCTTTCGTTTTATCAATAACTGCAGTTTTACTGCCATCATTTTGCGCCTGTCTCTTAGCTTCGAGAAACAGTGGCAGAGAAGGCAGCGATTGCAGATGATCGGGATGGCTGATGGTCATCTTGCCCAAAGCCGAAATCGGATAAATAGCGGGCGGTCTAAAATAGGGGGCAGTCTTGAAACCAAATCAACAAAGACAACCATTGACGGCCTTGACATCAGTGATCGAGGGTCAAAATGCGACTGTCGAGGACGCGACCAACAACATTCCAGTCTTTGATTTTACGACGACCAAGCGCTCATCGGAATTGATTTACGACGAACCGTGCTCGGCGGGCTAAACAAGGGTCCACGTAGGAACAGCTTGTGGTTGTCGGGTGGGGGGAGCTACCACGGAGTCGAGGACGAGAAATTGTTTACCCGCCGAAGCACATCTGTTTCAACATCATCTGGATATGTTCGAATGACAGCGGCGTCGACGACGTCCCAACATATCTATCCTCTGCAAAGATTGACAGGCAGACAACGCTCATTGAAAGCTGTCCAGAATACAACTGAGCTCCGGCTTCCCCGCTCTTACCAGGGTCGAATCAATGTCCGCTCATCAGTGACGACTCGTTTTCTATCAGTGGCTTGAGCCAAGCTGAATGAAGGCGGGAGCATCCCAGTCGAGATGAACTTGGGGCGTCGATCAATGCCGTTGCGGCAGCGAATGGCACATGAGGTTGCTGATTCTTGCTTAAGCCCCTCTGAAGGAACATTTGGATATATAAAAGCGCGTCCCACCGCCGGTCAACATTTCATTCCAATCGGACGGTGGAACAACGGGTGCCATGAGCTTGATGTAACTCTGGGAGCCGTTTTCATCACATCTGCTTTCTTAAATATCGGAGGAAAGTGGAAGGGGCCGGATCTGTCGATCAAAGATTCAAGACTATCATGGGAAAGCAACTCGAAAAACAATCGCCAGAGGCTCTTGATGATGTTGAGGTCGATCCGCTCCCTGCGTCGACCGAGAAAGATATCGCCCAGCAGAAGAACCGCGATTATGCTGGTGCAGCGGCAAAGACTGACCCCAAAGAGATCAAGCTTGTGAGAAAGCTTGATCGACGCATAATGGTAAACCTGGGCTCAGTCGCGATGCCTACCTCTCTTATCTTCACTCGGCTAATCATTAGGACAGCCTACATTATTCGCGATGTACTTTCTCAACTATGTTGACAGGAATACGCTCGCACAAGCCCGCCTCAACGGCCTGGAAAAGGAGCTGGGAATGCATGGCACTCAGTTCAATACCACAATTTCTATCCTTTTCGTCGGTTATGTCTTGACGCAGGTTCCTAGCAACATGTTGATCACAAGGGTACCGCCAAGTATCTACATGAGCACTTGGATGGTGATTTGGGCTATTGTTTCAGGTGCGAAAGGCTCAATCGAATTGTGTATCCCTTTCTGATAACTATTTTCCAAAGCATGCACGGCCTTGGTACAATCATATGCAGGAATGGTTGTTTGCAGGTTTCTCCTCGGGATCACGGAGGCACCTGTGAGCAATAAATGAACCGCGCGTTGCTCCTTTAGCTAATATATTTTAGTTTTATCCCGGTGCAACCTATATTTTATCTATCTTCTACACCCGAAAAGGTATTGGCACGCCCAATCCATACGAGAGAGGTGAATCTGATTTTTCAAACAGAGGTTGCTACCCGTATCGCCGTTTTATACTGTGCCCAAATTCTAGCTACCGGGGTCTCTGGTCTCATTGCCGCTGGAGTATTCTACGGCCTTGACCATGTAAAGGGGATTTCTGGGTGGAGATGGTATGAGTACACCACCGAGCATTTATAAACTACGAACTAAAAACGTACCCTGACAGGCTCTTTATTATTGAAGGGTGTACTACGGCTGTGGTAGCTTTGGCTGGGTACTGGCTGCTACCGGATACCCCTACTACAACTCGATGGCTAAACATGGACGAACGTGAGCTCGCGCACGAGCGGGTTGAGAGGGACAAAATGGGCGAACCGGAACAAGCGTCAATGATGGAGGGCCTTCGACAAGCCTGTAGGGACAAGCGGACCTGGATATTTTGCCTAATGCAGAATTTCCATTTGTCTGCGTGCGGTTTCAATAGTTTCTTTCCCACGTGCGTTCGCTGGCATTCCAAATCCATATCTAAGCTGACTTTTGTGGTAGTGTGGTCCGAACCATTGGCTTCGACACGACAATCACACTCCTTCTCACATGCCCGCCTTTTATCTTTGCAGGTGCGGCGGGAATTCTCTTTGGGTATAGCTCTGGTCGATTTCACGAACGTACTTGGCATATTACTACCGGCCTGGCCATTGCGATTATTGGATTCGTCATCGCAGCGTGTACACTTAATACGGCTGGGCGATATATAGCCTGCTTCATCTTCCCGATTGGCGCATACTCCGTGAACTCTGTGATCATTGGCTGGGCGTCATCAACATTATCACAGACAAGGGAGAAACGAGCTGTGCGTATAGAATCCAGCTACCCTCGCGACAGTAACTGACTAACTCTTTCCTATCAGGTCATTCTTGCCATGACAAACGTGGGCGGCCAAATAGGATACATTTATGGCGCATATGTGTGGCCTGATTACGACTCTCCTCGATATGGAATTGGGTTCGGTTCCTCGGCTGGATTCGCGCTGTGCTCGATTTGCTGCGCCTGGTGGATGCGAATATTGCTGAAGAGGGAAAACAAGCGGCTGCGCGAGTCGAACGGTTCTGAATTAATCAATTACTACGGATATTAGGGGGCGTTGCGGGATTCTATATCCTCTTTGCCCTTCAATTTCCCTAGTCAGCGACTTGACTTGTATGTAACTATGTAGTTGATCTCGTCCAAGAAAGAGCTGCGTTGAAGGAGACCGAGGCAAAAAAGAACTTCGCATGAAGTGCCCCCGGCCAGGATCGAACTGGCGACCTCCGGATTTCAAGCAGTTGGAACCACTCGTCATAAGATGGATATGAGACCGGCGTCATGACCAACTAGACCACAGAGGCTAATGGAGTTCATTAGGGGCACTATATCATCAAGAGGCCAGCCTTGGGCAGTTGACTTGAAAGCGGGGGAGCACATCTCAAGCAATCAGAACGGTATTTTGGTCAGACGACCCAGCCATACATCTTGTATCTGCTATGTCCTTTGTAGTTAAGAAGTAGCTCCGCACTGTATCCAAAGAGGTCACTGGCTTGGAAATGTGGGATCAACCGGGGGCCATCGCGGTTGACATCACCTGGACCTCGGAGATGTGGGACAATCGACCATCTCCAACCTGATATCTGAGTTACTGGTTCAAAGCCAACATTTCTCGAATCCCACTTCCGCGGAGAGCACAAGGAACCCGGTTATATGCAAAACGCCAGGTCCCATTGAAACTACATCTTCTCGAAAAGACAATGTCGTCAGAGGATAAAGACATGGAACTCGCTTTGAAGCGTTTCTTCTCCTCCCCACGCTTCGCTGTGGCGGGGGCAAGCACCGACACAAGCAAATATGGCTACAAGTGTATGTACGCCCTCTTTCTATCCTGATCCATTTACTCACCTGAAACATGGACAGTGCTCGCCTGGTACCACCAGCACTCGCTGCCAGTCACCCCGCTCAACCCCAAATCTCCCGAGATCAATCTGCCCTCCAAGGCCTATCCCGCCGTGAAATCGCCCTCTGAGCTTTCTTCCCCAGCGCAAACCTCGCTGTCAATCGTGACCCCGCCCAAGGTGACCCGCGAGCTTCTGAAGGAGGCCCATGCTCTGAACATGCCCGCCGTGTGGCTGCAGCCAGGGACGTTTGATGACGAGATCCTCGAGTATGCGAAGAAGAATTTCAAGGCGGCGATCGGGGGCGCAGGCGGGAATGGAGATGAGGGGTGGTGTGTGCTGATGGACGGTGAGGATGGTTTGGCGGCTGCAGGCGTGGAATGGACGGTGCAGAAGCTGTAGATTCACTGGCACTGACCGGCTTGTCGGCCTGATGTTGTTAGCAATGAGATCATTATGTAAAATATTTGATTCACGTAATATGGCGTTTCGCCGTCACTCAGAGCAAGGAATGAATGCAAGCAGAAAATATTGTTGCTTGTCAAAGCGGATGAGTTTTTGTTTGGGGCGCAAGCCAGGTTGAAGAGTGAAGTTGTGACCCCAACCACCTCTTTTGAAAATAATTTCTAGCAGACTGAGACGAACCAACACATCATATGCCAGTCTTCAGCAATCCTCACAACTGGTCTAATAGCCAGGAGGATCTGAACATTCTACTAGACGCTGCGTTGGCTGATTTGATCAGCTACATCACATTCAGCGTCATTGTTCAACCCCATCTGTTTACCCTCTCTCGACTGATCACCAGCGGCAGCTAAGCACACCCGACAACGACGATTATGACCCTCACTGAAGCACCCATGTCTGGAGATTTCTTTCTTGACAGCCCCGTCCCTCCAAAGCTCGACCTTACCGGCGCTAGATCGCAGTTTTATCGCCCTCCGCAAACCCCGTCCGCAACCTCATCGCTATGTCGGTCGGTCACATCCACCGCTCACTCCAACAGTCGCAAGCGCGCAAGATACGGCTATAACGATGTTAGCAACCATCAACCAATTGGTAGCTTTGATAATCGCGTTGCATGGGCGGCGGAACAATCGGCCCAGCTCAACGATCCGACTAGTCCAGCTCCGCTTGCGAATGCAGACTATCGTTTAGCTGGCGGAGGGTTGGAAGCTCATAAGCTACCTCTTGCGTCTGCCACGGCAGCCCTTGGGTATGATGATAATGGCGCGGAGTTGGACTACAGGCCTAGTCGATATTCTCTGTATCCGTCGACACCGGTGAGGCGAACAAGAGAAGCGCGAAGACCCGCCTCGTCCGGAGAGACATAGAGCAAACACGATTCGTCGACTTCGTCCTCATTTGGATGGGGAAGAGCTATGATAAATCTGGTGGAGGCGTTGCAGGGAAAGTCTGGGACTTTTGCTGGTCAGGCCCATTCCGCGGGTTCTATGCCGGTGGTGGGAGAGGTTATGATATGAACACTCCCACCGTGAATGCCACTTTCACACCGTCTCTTGACCAAAGCGCTTGGGAGAAATTAAGTCAGTTCGATGGATCATTGCAACAAACCCGTTTCAAACCCAACGACCCTATTGCTACTCCACAGCAGCCAGAGAACGACTGGGTACTGGTGAAAAATCAAAAAGATTTCGGCGCGAGCAGCCCGTCTTATCTGCCCCGTAGGGTTGTCCGGCGAAATGGCATCACGCACCCTAGCGGACCACGAAGACCAGCTGCCAGAGTAACACCGAAAAGGCCCAGCTTGATCCCCGTGAGATCCTCCTCTTCACTGTCTCATCAACAAGCGTCCCCTCAACATCTTTCCACCAGTTCTCCCGTCAGTAGCAACCTCCCAAGGACACCAAAAGAGAGCCCGTTGGCTCTCGATGCCCAAAGATACGCTGCAAAGATACGCCGCAGAGAAAAAGAAGAAGATGCAAGCATTCGTCGACTCAACCAACAGCTAAAAGCCATGATTCGGGAAGGAAAGGAGGCGCTAGGGACGAAAATCGAGATTGACGAAGCCATGGATGTGGATGACTTTTAACCAAGCTTCTGTCTGCCTTTTCAAATTCTCGGTTTATTTCGGATCGCTCCCGCAGGTTATTGTTAACAAGTATTATTCCCCCGAAATCGTTACGTGTGCTACTAGGCCTTTTATTTTAACGATGACATGACCTTTTGTATTCGTTTATAGCTGTTTCCTTTTCGTACCTTTCTCTCGCTGTGGATTACTGCCGGAAGTTGCAGCAGTGATAATTTACAGACTCTTTGCTCACTCAAGGTCTTTGAGGCCCAAACGAGGCCATATAGCAAATCATCGCTTTGCTTTATCGTCTTCGCGCGGAGTCCATTTTCGCTTGCTCCGCAGCACTACAATATGTTCTCACTTCCTCTCGAACTTGTGTTTTCCAGGTTTGCTTTTTCCCTGACGAAATTGTAGCTTTTAGCCGTCTCCAATTATCCATGGCGCATCTCGTGAGGATGAATGCGTGTAATTAATGGATGTATGATGAATTAATGAAGTCGATTCCAAATGTTGTATCCATTCCGGCGTTTGTCATGGTTCTCGATCATTCCTTTTGATAGAAAAGAAAAAAGAAAAGAGGAGGGAGAGGTAAAAAGCCAGATGTAAAATATATCTTATTAACAAAAAAGCAATGGCGACACCGATGGGATTCGAACCCACGCATCCGAAGATACGGGCTTTCGCTGCTGTTCGTCCAAGCTTGGATTAGGTTGATAGCAGGCCCGCGCCTTAACCACTCGGCCACAGTGTCTCTGAGCGGTGGCAACGCCCACTTGAGCATCTTGAGCAGCTATGGAAGTGGGAGGTGCAGTTCCAACGCTTCATCTGCCCGGCTTTTGAAGTATTCGATGCCAAAAAGGTTTGAACAGTGAAGACAACATTAATTAGATTTCTTGTTGATTGGTTTTTTTTTTTTCTTGATCTAACATCCCTCAACCAGATGCCGCCTTTTGTCCCGCGCAAAGACCAGCCTGGACGGGACACTCCTTCAAAGCGTGGACTACTGGAGGCTCTCGACGCGCCTCCAAAATCAGCTACGTTGGAAGAACTCAAGAGACGCAAAATTTCCGCGGATTCAGACTCGTCTTCATTAAGCTCCTTGTCCAGCTCAGACGAGGAAGACGCGGGTGATGACGACGAGGAAGTGTGTTGGGAAGATGTCCCTGCGGCGCCGTCCGGTTCTATTAGCACCACTCCCGCCGCTGAGCTGCGAGACTTGGATATCACCCTTGAGAAGAACCATGTTTCGCTAAGTGAACCGCTTGCGGGCAAGAAGGGCCCTAGTAAGATCGAGCGGTTCATTAGGATTCAGACGCATTGCATGCATGTCCAGTTTCTTTTGTTTCATAATGTTATTCGAAATTCCTGGATAAATGACTCCGAAATACACAAGATACTACGCGAGAAACTACCTGAGGGTATTGCAAAGGAAGTGCAAAGATGGAGAATTGCCGCAGGCCTCGAAGCTCCTCCCAAACCGCCTACGCAAAAGCGGGCGTCGAAGAAGAGGAAACGCGACCGCGACTGGAGTGAAGATTCAAATCTTGCTGAACCCAGCCGGCCGGACATGAGCAGGGGAGATCCAACTATTCTCTTGCTGAAAGTTTTGGCTGCTTACTGGAAAAAGAATTTCAAAGTTACATCCGCTGGTTTATGTAAAAAAGGCTACAGGCCAGCCTCGGTTTTGGAGGAAGAACTGAAGTCGTTTAATAGCGGCGGCGACGACGAGAGGCGGTTTGGCGAGAAGATCGAAAATATCGACCAGTTTCGGGATCGTGCCCGTGGTTTATATGGGTCTCGGGACGTGGGTGCCCAGCTATTCACAGCACTGCTAAGGGCGCTGAGTCTCGAAGCTAGGCTGGTTGCAAGCCTCCAGCCTATTGGGTTCGGATGGACAAAAGCGGAAAATTATGCGGGCTCAGACGAAAAAGGTCAAGATAGCGATGGAGAGAACTCCAGAGAAGAGGTATCACAAGCAGGTTCCAGGGCAAAATCTAAGAGTTCCAGCAACCGAAATTGTGACGAATATCCTCCGTTTCCGACGTACTGGTCGGAGGTAGAGTCGCCGGTTACTCAAGATATCATACCTGTGGAATCCTTGGTCTTGCCCAATTCGGTTGCGATGACACCAGAGCTTCTGGCTGCATTCGAACCCCGAGGAGGGAAAGCTGAAAAAGCGAAACAGGTGATAGCATATGTCGTTGCCTATTCGCCAGACGCAACAGCGAAAGATGTCACGATTAGATATCTTAGACGGCACACCTGGCCCGGGAAGACGAAGGGATTCCGAATACCAGTTGAAAAGCCTGTTGACATCGGCTTGAGTACCGGGCCATATGCATATGATTGGTTTAAAGCTACAATGAGGGGATATGCTCGCCCAGTGAATAAGCGAACGGCAGTGGACGCAAAGGAGGATCTTAACCTAGTACCTAAACAGCCTGAGAAGAAAGCACCGAAAGAAGGAGACACGTTACAGAGCCTCAAAGCCTCCAAGGACTTTGTACTCGAACGATTTTTACGTCGCGAGGAAGCACTCCGTCCTGGGACAACCCACGTGAGGACTTTCACCTCTGGAAAGGGAGCAAAGCAAAAGGAAGAAAAGGTCTACCGGAGATCAGATGTTCAAAAGTGCTTGTCTGCGGAAAGCTGGCACAAAGAGGGGCGGCGCGTTAAGCTTGGGGAGACACCGTTGAAGCTCGTTCCCATTCGAGCTGTCACGCTGAATCGAAAACGTGAAGTCGATGAGATGGAACGAGAGACCGGAGAGAAGCCAAAGCAAGGCTTGTATGCGCTCCATCAAACGGAGTACATAATACCGGATCCGATTGAAGACGGAAAGATTCCGAAGAACGAGTATGGCAACATAGACTGCTTTACCCCTTGGATGATTCCAAAAGGAGCTGCGCACATCCCATGGCCATCCACCGTCCGGGTTTGCAAGAAATTGGGCGTTGATTACGCAGAGGCAGTTATCGGCTTCGAGTTTGGTAGTAAGATGGCGGTGCCTATCATTCAGGGCGTGGTCGTTGCCGCTGAGAATGAGGATCTCGTCAAAGATGCCTGGCGGGCTGAAGATGCTCAGAAGCGCGAGAGAGAAAGATTGAAGCAGGAGAAGCTCATTCTTTCGACGTGGAGGAAGTTTATCATGGGCCTTCGAATACCGGAACGGATACAAGAAGAGTATGGGAATGCTGAGGAGGCGGAATCCCATAATCCCTTTTTCAACCGAAGAAGTATACCGTTGCCTAACAAGAACCATGTTGGAAAAGACGAGTCAGACTTGCATGAAGGAGGGGGTTTCCTAGTCCCTGGTGAAGATGGAGCTGAAGATGACCATCTGGTTGTTCAGGGAGGACCTCAAGAGGCTGGAGGGAGTAGGAGGTTGCCTATAGAACTAGACGATGACACCTCCGAGATCAGCGACGCGGAGTCCCTCGAATCTGAGCTGCTATAAAGGAAGAGCTTTGCATATCGCCAGTGGTGGATGAGGGAGAATGCCGCTTTCTGCGAGTTCTGGTGACAGCTTCATGTATAACTGCAATTTCAGGCCGGCTACTTTTATCAAGTCATATTGGCAAACCCTTTTAAAAATTAAATTATATTTTCCAAACAACTGTTCAACTTGTTGGGCTGTAATTAATCACTCGCTTGACACGCAATTCTCGGCATGATAAACTGTTCGGGGGTTCAGCACCAAACTCTCCGCCCTGCACTGTGAACCCCAGCCCTCACACATCATATTCCTCAGCCATGGCCCTGATACCGAAAAGTCCCGTTTATTTCGGGCCCTTTTTAGTGACTCCACAGGTACGTGATCACTAATAAATGTTTTTGGATGATATAGAAGGCTTTCTGTCTCCCAAATCCCATCCCATTGATATCTAGAACTCGGGTTTCCGTCTAATTTACCCCATCCAATCTGGAACAGGTCTTCTTTATGACATCCCTGAGCTTCGCTCTTGTGAACCTGAAGCCTCTTCTACCCGGCCACGTCCTCGTCTCTCCCATTCGCAACGTCCCTCGCATCTCTGACCTCACACCCGCAGAAACCTCCGACCTCTTCCTCACCGTGCGTCGCGTAGGCCGCATGGTCGAACGTGTTTTCAAAGCGTCGAGTCTCAACATCGCCATACAAGACGGCATAGACGCGGGCCAAAGCGTGCCGCATGTCCATGCCCATATAGTTCCGCGGCACAGAGCGGATCTAGATCACAAGGGCGGGTCGGATGCGATTTACGGCATGTTAGACGGGGACGAGGGTGATATCGCGCAATATATGTGGCAGAGAGCGGAGGAAAGAAGGGGCCGTAGGTTCCCGGCGGTGGATAATGAGGGTAGAATGCCGAGGAGTGACGAGGAGATGAGAGCGGAGGCGGACATGTTGGCCCTGGAGATGGAAAAAGAGCAGGTAGACTGAGGGATGTTGCTGGAATACAAGGATTGGATACAACAGGGAGACTTTGCCGATTACTGGGTTCCTCGAAAGGAAGCTTTGGGCAGGATTCTCTACACTGAATTGAAAGGCGTGCCTACGAAAAAGGCAACAATATCGTCTAGCTTCAGAATATGCTCCAGACAGCATCGCAGGATCATAGCACACTATTATTGATCTTCAGGGCCTGCGCCATCCAACTCCGAGCCGAAGCTGATTCGACCGATAAAACTATTCATAACTTCTAACTTTTGGACATAACTCATCCAATCGTCGAGAGCAATCATGAAAAGGAAACTCGTCAGGATTGACGGAGAAGCGGTGCGCCGCCTTTGTCCGCCCAGAATGCCTCTCTTTCTTTCATCACTGCTTCCGCCCACTCCTTGACCTCCGGGAGCTGTATACGCTTCATGACACCATAGAATTCCGTCAACTGAAGCTTTCCGCGATGTGTCCGTTCGTATTCTATCGTCTGGAGCAGCAATTCCATCTTGTCGATATCATGGACAAATTTCGCCTCCAGAGTTTCATTGTCTTCATATTCCTGGAAAACCGACTGCAAGGTCTCTCCAGCTGAACCGCCATATACGCCACCCAGCAGGCTTTTCGAGATATACTGCATGACTTCAGCTTCTCGGCGCGCTTTCTCAGCTTTCGTGACGTGGGTGTCAACCGGCGTGATGTCTCCAACCACCGACTCGGCCATGTCGTGAATGAGAGCCATCTTCGTGCAGTGAGGTATGTTGAGTTTCCGTGCTAGAGACGGTGGCGCAAGCATGGTCATGATTGCCATGCGATACATATGATCCGAAATGGACTCGCCATGCGTAATGTTAAATCGGCGCCAGCCTTCTCGCTTCGTAGTTTTTAAGCGTTCCAGGAGGTGGAAAAAGGGAACCGGGGAGGAGGTATTTTCCGCTAAGGGTTGAGGAAATTCTGCAATCACTGAAATGAATCATTGTTAGCATGGATTTCAACAAGGATCAATTCCCCTCTTGCTTCAGCGCACCTGATTTCGCGGACCATGCCGCTTCATCTGCAGATTGGGATCCCATCGCTGTCGTACGCAAAAAAGATAATTCCGAAGAAACTATGAACAAGAAGAAAAGTCTATAACAAGGGGAAACAGGTAAGCTGGCTATTTATACCCAGAAAGCAGAAATCTATCAGGCCTACAAAGCACCGAGCCATTATCACAAGCAGTTTCGCGCAAAGACCAGGAACAACGAGCAAACAGTGCAAACACCGCGCGACGAGCCACTTCATTCATGCAGCTGCTTGTCCATCAACACACAACATTCCATTGAAGACGGGACGCAAAGCATCCTCTAGAAGAAGAGAGCGTCTGGCACTTTCTCGGATCATCCTTGGGATAAGAACATGCATTCAGCTCAATGCAGCGCTCCTCCGCCCGTTCACCTACCAAGCCAAAGGCGGAAACATGGCCTGGCCCAACACCTCTCGCGATATTCATCCGCAACTTGAAACTCCTTCGCCTCGACGCCCGTTCAGACTGGCCAGATATCACCCCGGTAGCTTTATCCGGTTCGCAAACTAACCTCCGTCGGAGGATCCAAGCCGTGGAATGGTCATTATATCACTTGTTCCTGATATGGGACAAGAACGAGGCACACACTGTACGCTACTTCCACTCATGCGAAAAGCAGAAGCAAAATAATGACAATAATGTAGAAGCTGCAACCTTTTTTTCCGCCGCTTGAACCGCTTCAATCCGTCAATCTAAGAGCGGCACTTTTCCGTGCGCTTTCTGATTTGAAGAAGAATGGCATTTTGGGGAAAGAAGCGATGCTTCGAAAGACGATGTTGGATGACTGCAAAGGTGAACGATTTGAGGAAATTCTGGCAGCTTTTTCCTCCGCCGTTTTGCGAAAAGCCCTCCTTCCCGGCAAGGCTCCAAGCCAAGCTATGCATTTGGCCGTTTCTCAACAGTTAACGGCATGTGAGCAAGAGAATTTACTTCCACTAGTACTTAGTTATCGTTCCTCTCTGACTTCCATCATCGAAGAGAGGAAGAGGCTTGGCAATTTCTATGAATACCTTAATCAACATTATGCTGCGAAAGCAGACCAGCTTTCAGCCCGTGCTTCCACAACCTCACAACCTATCCTTGATGCTAATAAAGCGGAGCGTGTACGTCGCAGTATTATTTCTTCATGGCATGGGAATGAAGAATGGGCGGAGTCGCTACTGCGCGGCGGTTTGCAAGTTGATTTGGACCCTTTACTGGAATTTGATTTCTCCCGAGTACGCTCGTTAGCAAAGAATAACGCTTTAGAATCCATAAAGTCGAAAAGGCCCTCAGACCTTCTTGCGGATTTGGATCGACGGGTTGCGCAGCAGGAATCTAGGCTACAACGATGGCAAGAGTTCAAACGGTCGTTGACAGGGGAGAAACCTGGAAAGCAGCAACCAGAACCGGACAGCCAGAATCGAATATTGACATTTCGCAATCATCAAACTTTGAACGTGGCGTCCCTCGCGCAGTTGAATCAATCAGCGAAGGAATGTGTGCAAGCTTCAGAGTATCGAACTATTTTGGCTGACCTCGAAGGCTCCCTTGCTAAGATCAAAGGATCTAACATCGGTCGGGAGAAACAGCGGCAAAAGGCAGCGCGCCCGGTGCCAGAAGATAGGGCTCTCGAAGGAAGGCAGGGACTGGCCCAAGAGTCTGATGGTTTTGACCATGTTCCCAGTTTATGGTTGTCTTCGCATCATGGAGAAACACGGCCGTTGCCTAAATCCGGTTCGGTCAACGTTCCTGATGCCAGTGCCGGGCGAACCACCAACTCATCCACAGACACACCAGATGCCAACGGAGTTGAGACAGATGCTTCACAGGATGACGAATACCTAAATCCCCGCCCTAGAGGCCCTACGCCAGCCATGTCCAAACGAGAAAATAATCTACCCTCCACCCTCGTAGAACGGACGCGAAAATCAATGTCGCTTTTGCCGATTCCCGAGGCTCATCCCCAAAAATTAACCGGAAACTCGAAAGCATCCCGACATTCACAATCGTTTCCGGTTAATCCTCTTGAGACCCCTGATAGTAAAAGCAGACGAACGGCCCAACAAAGGTCGGGAGCTACCACTCCGCGAGATGAGCTTTTTGGCGAAGATGCAGAATATGCCAGCGTGTTCAAGAGTCGACCGAAGGTTGCGCTAAGCCCCGTCAACTCTCCTGCCGTTCACGTCCCAGTCTCTGTGGACCATGAGATATCAGATGTCGAGTACGATGAAGGAAATAGTTATTTTAATCTTGTAGCACAAGATTCCCCTTCCATTAGGCGAAAGACGATGTATATGTGATCAACGAATGATGAATAGTTATAAATGTGTGCAATATTTACAGTGATCGTCTAAAACACGATTCGATGTCTAGCCAACCTGTGTTTAGAGCGGCGAGCTCTTAATAACACCGACTTACAGGAGTTCAAACGCCGAGTTTATATCTAGACCAACTGTGCTGGTACAACATTCGACTAGGGCGTGTTACTGAGTAAACGAAAATAATAGTTATCCTATTGGCGAGCTGTAAGCGTCTTTTATTGAAACAACTATATAGCGGTTGATCACGAGGGTGATACGGATAGGATAAATAGGCTACGCCTTGAGCAGGAATTTCAAAAATCATCCCCCTTTGAGACTACTTTCTTAACGTCCCCAAGGAACTCAAGCAGACTCTCCCGCCATACCGACGGAGTTTTGCCTAGTCCTCTACCAATCAGAACGAATTTCGACGCCTTGATAGCCGAAGCTTGCTGTGTCTCAGAATCTGTGATTTCAAATATATCCCGGACGCCTTGGACGATTTTGACGCTTCCCTTAGTGAGGCGAATAATTGCTTTGAGACGATGCAGCTCAAAGTCGAAGGGCCTGTCGGGTGCCCCTGATGGAAGTTGGCATTCCCATAATATAGATTGCAGCCACTTGTCAATAGTGGGAAGTTTAGATTCTGGGATGTCGGGTATTGTGAAGGATAACGTGGAGATGGACTACAGCATTATGTTAACAAGCGTCCGGCAGTTGGTAGAGGGATTTAATAATCAAGTACCGGGTCAAGTTGGCTCTGGCCTTTTTCAGTAAAGTCAACAGTTGCTAATCTATCATAAGCATGAAGTTCGAGCAATGCTCCTTCAATCTGCGGCACTTTGCTGTGGTCAGTTATATGGATCGCTGCTAGGCCGTTGATCCCTGTAATTCGGCTTTTAACTTGCTCCAGCTCTGCGGCTGTAACGAGGTCGCTCTTGTTCAAGATGATCACATCGGCGTGTGAAATCTGCAGATGAGCGATAGTTAAAACTGTGTTGTCAGGGGACTCCTGGGCCTCCTGCGGCTCCGGCTGATCGAGATGGTGGAGAATATTCTTTGCATCTACTAGGGTAACGATGCCGTCGAGATAAATGGAGCTCCCCAGTCCATCGTCTACCCAGAATAAGGGAGCTATGTTCCCCGGATCGGCAAGTCCGGTGGTTTCTAAGAGTATATAGTCGAAACTGCCGCGTCGGCTCATAAGGGATTCTATGGCAATAACACCAGTGTCTCTATCAAACCGAGTGAGCCTCAACATGTCCAAGGCGTATTCAACAGACAAACCTCACTGAGCAACAGAGGCAGCCATTGGGCAACTCTAGCCATTCTTCAACTTGTTGGCCCTCTTGATTGACAGTAAGCGACTTCTCAATATCAACAGCTAGAATAAAGTCAGACCTGATCAAGTCAAGTGATTTCCGAAAAACATACAATCTCCGAACTCTACAATCAATCCGTTAGCATAACGCTATATCGGATCAAAAGAGTATATCTAAATAGGGATGTACGAGCCATTCAGTATGACAGCAATCTTTTTCCCGTGTCTTTCATTCAGGATATAATTCAATAAGGTGGTTTTGCCAGCACCCAGGTAGCCTATAGTTTTGTCTATTTAGTATAGCTACTTTTGGAAACGAGCTTAGATACGGATACAGCTCTCAGAATCCAATGGGATGGTGGGTTGGTACCTGTCACAATAGTTATAGGAACCCGCGGGAGGTCAACATCCGTAGGAGATTTTGGTCTCTCTGAGGTATCAAGCTGCTCGATAGAAACCAGCTCCGGCGGGCCGTCTTCATCAAGCTCATTGATATCCATTTCAACCAAGACAAGTACTGTATCTGTATCTAGACGATCGATGCTCGATGCCAAACAGTTGGAGTTGCTGGAGAGCATGAATGTAACATTAGGAAACTAGGGCTAGGGCACGAGACCGGAAATGGACACTCTTTGCCAAGGCACTAAGCTCCTTAGCTGAAGTTTGTCAAAGTGCTTGTGCTCTCATTGTTCTCCGAGCAGATGCGCTCATCCCATGTTGATACACTTGACGAGCATATGAACACGTCTTCCATCAATGAATAGATAAAATCGCTTTTCTTTCAAGTTCTAGAAGTCCATATTCTTGAAAACCTGGTGACAACTTAGGTGATGGTCTCAACAAACCTATAGGCTCATCACAAGGGATATGTGACATTAAAACGGTTGCATTCATCATTCCTCTCTTCCTTGGTTAACGGTTTTTCAAGGAAGCTCCCACAGGTCGTCGAGATCGACTGGTATGCTGCCGATATACCACTGAAACCACTTCCGTCCACCCCAAATGACCTCTTGATTCACTGTTTTGACCAGAGTCACTGGTCGCTGGTGATTTGAACGGCACAACGTTTACGCGGTCGTAGCCTCGAGTCAATAACTCAAGGCGTGAATCCTGATCATATATCGCCTTCAAATGCGATGCCAGGTAATGGACTGAGATATACAAGAGCGAGGGGACGACAAAACCAGACCCTGAAACATGCTCATAGGTTCGACTTGCTGTGTTTATGTTCAACTTCTTGGAAATCGTTGTATAGTGACTGAATGTTCGCATACTGGTCTGCCCAACACTTGTTGATGATCTCTGCATAAATGAGGCCATCAGTTGCTGGAACCTCTTCTGGCCTGGGAAAGCGATTCTCTTCAAAGTAGTCATAAGTAAATACGGTCCAAGAGGCGATTGAGTAGATGACACAGCCGATTCCCAATAGATCGGCCCGTGACAAAAGATCTTGCGCGCAGATTGATTCCATATCTGCGTCGAGTGGGAAGATCGCACCGTTCGCGAAATCAGCGATTTTGAGGAAATCGTTGTGAACAAATACAGTACTTTGCGGCAATAAACAAAATAGAAAGCATAGATCAACGATCGAATCCAAGCGGTGCAAAATTGCTCGGGTGGGATATCATGCGCTCGAATGTAGGTCTCGAGGTCGCCATGGGTTGCGTATGCCAGCTTGATCGCACCGGTTTCGTCGCCAGGCCCATGGTAGGAAAGGATCCCTTCATGTGGTCCCAGACGTTCGTAGATTTGGCGCTCAACTTCCATCTGGTCTAGGCGTATGAGGTTGTATCCCTCGGCCTCTTCACCGGTCCAAGATCTTGGATACTTGATGACGTGAAATTGGTCGACTTTGCATATTTCTCCGGTATAACCCAATGCAATGCGCCCAGGGCGCCCCTGGCTTGCGACTGAATCTCCCATTTTCTCCTCCTTCCCAACTGACATTTCACGAAGCCAAACTGCCGTAAATATTCTTCCAGTCGACTCCTGACTACAGAGTAGCTTTCCCCCTGAACTAGTTAACTGAGTGTCAGCTTGAAGTCTTGGCATGGGAGCCCTAGCCCTAAGCCCTAGATTCGATTGAGCGGCCATTAGGCATGGATTATTCCGAATCCTAATATGACGTTGTTGACCTGCCGTTAGTAGCTCCTGCCAGCCTCCTGCTGGGTTTTGGAGCCTTCGAGAGTGTTTTGAGAATCTAGGTCAGCTTCTATCTATTACTATTGTGACAGGTACCAACCCACAATCCCATTGAATTCTGAAAGTTCTCTCTGTAACTATTTAATTGGAATCCGTAAACCAAAGAGCATTATCATCCTGAGTTTTTTCCATTATCAATTACCGATGCTCCATTGTACCGGAGGGCAGAATTTTGACCTCATTGAGCTGCCACCTGAGCCCATTGCTGAGATGATATGCGAACACGCGGAATAAAGAGGGATGGTCAAACGATGAATGAAACGCAAATGGGAAACATCTTAGGAGAAAGCCAAGCCCGGGAGAGACCTCTCCCGACTTGGGGTTCGAAAGCGACTCTTGTGACACACATTGGAGCACACAGAGCAATCAGCTCCGCGATTACACAGATGCTTAGTTACAGTCAAGATCGGCCTCCGCGCGTATCTTCATTGCCATCAACAAGGCTAATACCGACAAGTTCCCATGCGTGGACGTCAAGCCCAATCCTATAACTCGTCAATAGCGGTAGAAGCAAGTCGAGATCATATTCTGGAACCGGTTTATTGGGCAATAGAGATTCCTGGTAGCGGGATTATGGCGACGTGTTCAATTGGTGCAATGGGCAAATTTTGCACAATGTCAGGCGAGAGAGATATCAGGTGTCAAGCAGAGCGACCAGGCATCTGCGAATGTCACAGTCAAAGGAAGAGTAAGTCTGGCCGAGAGCAACTAGCACGTGACTGACTGCTTGTCAACTTCACTTCTCAACTTTTGTTCGACTTCAACCCGTGACGCCCATGGTCTACCTCAAATCAAGGGGAAATGGTGACAGAACTGCGTCGACCCCAAATCAGTACTCAGATTGAGCAGTATGGGTTTGTGATTCAAAGGGACTAACCCATAATCAGCCGTTTACAGCCGAAGTGAGGCACACCAGAGGTTTGTACCCGCCGATATGGACGCCAAATCTGGAAGCGAGCCTGAGATGACGAAAACCCCTGACTTTGTCTCAATCATCAACCAAACATTTTGGGATGATGAAGTCTGGCCGAGATGACGATCTGGCTTTGCAGTCACATGCAACAGGTTTTGTACCACAATGCCGATCTTGATTATCAGGTGTCGAGAATACTTGGGGCCACGAGTGAATAACATCAGTTGCTACTTTGAGCAGAAGGCATCTGCATGATACCCACCATCTAGCAACTAAACAGCTAGAGAAGGATCTTTTATGAGCGTGTCATTGCGATTGTTGATGCAAGAATCCGTTGGCCCAATGCGCCAGCTTCCGATCCAAGCCATATCTCATATCAGATGCGGCCCTGGACGTAGAGCTTGATATGCTATGTCGACGACCATTTTTGTAAAACATCTCTAACACCCAATTTGACCGTTCAAGCTCGGTGGAGTTCATACTTGGAGTGGTTATGCATTCCTGCGGCCATTTTATATTCTACTTACATGCAAAGGTTCAACATCTTCAAGATGTTATTGTGCAACGTTGGCAAGAAAATTTAAGACTGGCGTCCCATGAGTATTTTTCCCCTTTCTTTTTCTTGTCTTTCCATTCTCCCAGAAACCCAAAATGTGGGGGGCTGAGGGCCCAATGATTCTCATCTCAGTTTCAGTTGACCGCTTTTGTGGAGAGTTTGTTTGCAAATGATGTTATGAATGGAAGACTGCTTCCAATGCTAGGCAACTCATCTTCTAGTTTGCTACAGAATTCAGATCGACATGAAATCACAGGTTCACAAGCCGCACGTATGACCACCCGGGCTACAACCCCCAGGTATTTAAATATCGTCAGGGTCATTCCGTTAAGTTCAATATATACATTTTGCTTTCATCCGAATCTTGACGGCGGTCCAAGGAAGAGCAACTACCTGCGATCCGCAGTGCCATTTCGATAGAAAGTACCGCCTTCAACCTAGGTTTATGCCATCCTTTTCGTCACCTTTTCTTACGAAATACGGAGTAAATATTATAGTCTATTGACATAATGCTCCACCAGTTTAAGACAATTTTCTGTTTTGTTGTACCTTGTTTGATTGGAATATCGAAAGGATTTCCTGGAGAGAGTGGCTTCTCAGGCGGCGGAAATGACAAACAGCTAATCCATGATGTTTGCATTATTGGAGGCGGAGCATCAGGCACGTATGCTGCAGTTAGGTTACGAGATATGAACAGGTCCATGATCGTCATTGAACAAGAAGATATACTGGGAGGACATACGAATACACACATTGATTCTTCGGCGAAGGGGCCGGCCAACTTTGGGGTCAAAGTATTTGATGACGTGGACATCACCAGAGAATATTTCAAGCGCCTGGGGGTTCCCTTTCAAAAGACGCATCTAGAGGGCGGTGAAGGGGACAAACTCTACGCCGATTTCCGAACTGGCGAATTCATCGATTACAAACCGCCGAACATGACAATGGCTCTCGCGTCGTATGCCCAGCAAGCTGCTAAATATCCGCAGTTGCAAAAGGGGTTTTTTTTCCGTGAGCCAGTGCCGGAAGATTTGCTCCTCCCGTTTGCCGAGTTTATAAAGAAATACAACATTGGAGACGCAATTGAGATAATATACACTTACTGTCAGGGCTTTGGCGACCTTCTTAAACGGCTTACGCTCTACGTGTTTAAAACATTTGACCTCACGGTGCTGAGGGACCTACAGAATGGGTACTTGATTCCTACTAGCGGGGACAACCACGAAGTATATGACAAGGCTTTCGAAATCATCAAATCCGATGTGCTATTTCGAAGTCGAGTGGAGCGCGTACACCGTGGTCTCGACTATGTCACAGTTGTTGTGAATACGGCCTCCGGCACAAGGATAATTCGTGCGAGAAAGCTATTAGTTTCCATCGCGCCGACTTTGGACAATCTTGGAGGCTTTGACTTGGATATGGAAGAGGAGTCCATCTTTAAACATTTTAAGACTACTGGTTACTACACCTCCGTGGTCAAGGTCCCTGGGCTCCGGAAATTCGATAGCCTGACCAATTTCAACCCCAATACTGCGTATAATCTTCCCAAACTACCAGGTATCTACTGGGTCACACCTACTGCTCCCGATAAATACGACATCAAATATGGCAGCCCCCGCGCATTAGGCGACGATTACGTTAAAGCGGATATTATTAGGACCATGAAACGCTTCCAGGCACCTGGTTCAGAAGAGCCTGAAATTGTAGCTTGGTCTAGTCATACTCCTTTTGGAGCAACGGTCTCAAGAGATGCCATTAAGTCTGGGTTTTACGAAAGATTGTACTCTCTGCAAGGCAGACGGAACACTTACTACACAGGAGCTGCATTCCATGCACATAACTCGGGACTGCTTTGGAGGTTCACGGAAGAAGTGCTTCAAGAGATGATGAAGTAGGATTTTATTCAAATTTATTTTGGTCTTGTGAATCGCTATGCTGGGACCATGTCCAGGTTATGTATACCATTTCTAATCAATAACTGTAGCTAGAATTAGCTATTAGATATGCTGTCTAGATGAATGGCAAAGGCAACCTACCTACAGCTTCTAGAGGCCGATCAGTTCAAATGTCCAAGCAACCCTTCTATGATTGACCTAGAATTGTTATGCTGTAACCTGCACATTTTTGCCAATGTATTGAGTCAAACGAACCGTGCCCAAACCGGTGTATTTCCCCTCCCATCCAAGGCAATAGGATTGATAGGTCAGTCAACTTGCATACTACGGAGAGCAGTATTTCCAGACAGTGATAATCGAAAAATCCAATCTCGGGCCGGATCAAAACAGAAATGACTGCGGAGCTTCGATCAAGTCACCGGGATCAATCAGATGCCGACGATATGAATGGCACCGGTTTGGTAGCGTTCCAGGCTCCAGTTATGTTGGCCAAGTCTTGGAAATGAGCAGAGGGCAAATCACTGCGACTTCTGCTGTCCAGATGACTAGCAGTGGAAGCCAGAGGTCCGGTTGAAGATCTTGATTTGATGCCATCCTGTCACCGCGAAGGAAAGAGGTCAACAGGCCCAGGGAAGCCGTGTCTTCTGATGTCATGGAGTTAATGGAGTTAATGGTGGGCTGGGCTAAAGGTTGTTTGGCTGCCTTTTTTCAGATCTAGTCAGTAAGGCCGGCTGATGTATATATTTTGAAGACTCTGGGAACTGAGAAAGGAAAGTAGGCAACCGGTACCCTGTACACTGTAAATTTGACCTCTATCAGTTGCCGTCAAGGAGGGTTGATCAAGAAGATTACATAGGTTAATAACTAAGCTAGTTATAGCAAGATTAGCTAGCGGTCACCTGACACACCGCGTGCTCTTCTAACCGCATTACGTAATCACAGCCCTCGACCGGCCCACGTGACCGGCTCCGTCATCCATCAATATCGATCTTCATTTCAGCTTCAACTTCACCACGGAAGAGACACGGACGGGGAGGAGAGCCATTGCTGGATTGTCTATCATCCCTGTGCTCCTGTGCAACCAGCTAGCCAACCATTGGACGTGGTAATCTTAGACAAGTCACCAGTCCATTCCTTCTTTGAGTAGTCTGTGCCGGATGCGAATCCACAATGACTGCCATCGGAGCTTCGCCATCTAGCTCTCCGCGCCTACCCAGCCCCCCTCCGTTCACAGAAGTGCAGATTGGTCCCAAATCGCCGACTGTGGATGATAGCCTTATAGGTACAGCACCCGCACAAGATGGCTCCTCTACGCGACGAATCCGCCCCGGCACCAAGGCTGCGGACATGGCCTCCGGGCCACCACTCATTCCGCTCTCACAAGTGCGTTATCCGTTCAGGTCTTTGGTATTCTGTGAAGAATATCAAACTAACGTTTGCTTCAATTCCTAGCTCGATTCCCCTTTCCAACTTCAAGAACACCTAAAAGCCTCCTACCAGCATTTCACGCATCCATCAGGCTCTTCAACCGTTCCAATTAACCGAAAGTCCGCAGAACAACTCGCTGAGCCTCCCGAGGGCGTCGAACGGTCTCTGTGGCTTTACGAACTATGTCGCTTCTTGACAATGAAAGCAAACAATATCGTCATTGCGTTCTTCGCAGACAACCCGCCTTGCTCAGCACAAACATGCCCAGAAATGCGCGCTTCTGAATGGCAATACCTTTGCGCTGTACATGATCCGCCAAAGCCATGCTGCGCAATCGATTACTGCTGTCATACTTTGGATTGGGCAACGAATATCCTAACCTCACCTAAATTCTTCCCAAGCCGACTAACTCTGGGAAGCGAGGCTGCGGGCGGGCCGCAGACGAGCATGAGACATTTAACAAACATCTTCCGGAGAGTATATCGGATCTTTGGGCATGCTTGGTTTCAACATCGAGAGGTGTTTTGGCAAGTGGAAGGCCAGGATGGATTGCATGTCTTCTTCAAAACAGTTTGTGATGTGTACAACCTGCTTCCAGAGGACAATTATACCATTCCCGCCGAAGCAGAGGGCGAAGATCCCCACCCGAAAAGGCCAGACGACGGAGGTCGAAAAATGACTATACTTCGGAAAGAAGATAACCTTCAACCAGAATCAAACTCAGACCATACATCTACTTCTCTAAGCCCAGGGGCAACGACAAGACGACACCGTCATTCACCATCAACGGGCGCGGCTGTCACTACGATAACGGAAGCAGCCGAAGACGATAGTGACTCAACTAAGGAGACTGGTAACACCTCTGTCGTCGATTGTTCGCCGGAGCAAAAGGAACAGCAGGATAATGACCCACCACGAAAACCTCAAGAGGAGACACCGCCATCATCACCTGAACAGCCTTCTAATACCGCAATAGAAACAAACGATGATAAATCAACGGCGTCACCGGAAGATCTTGAAGACGAAGAGCAAGGCGAAAGGACGAATACTCCCCCGGCGACTGCTGACACCAGTTCCACCCCAGATGGCGAACCTGCCCAAGACGAAAACCATACCGAAAGTAAGACCCAAGAACAAGAACAAACACAACCAGATGAGCCAGAGGAGAAGCAGGAGGAGCAGGAGAAGCAGGAGGAGCAGGAGGAGCAGGAGGAGGAACAAGCACTTGCGCAAGACACAACACAAAAATCAGACCTGCAACCGGACTCGAAACCGACTGAAAAGCCGCAACCGGACCATAAGCCTGAGGACTCTTCTCCACAACCTTCTGATGCTCCTTTAGCTGAACCAATACCAGACGAGCCAACTCTAGGTGACAGCCCGGAAAATACAGATGAAGATATTCCACAGGAAAAGGCAGATGCGCAGATCGAAACGCAAACAATGCCAGATCCTTCTGATGAATTACAGCCATCTCTACTTGAAAACGAAGAGCATGAGAACGCAGAGAAAACGTAATATGCACTCGAATTGGCCGATTAGGGTCTGGAATATCGTGTCCTGCTCTCTATCTCCTGACGAACTCTAATGTAAATTCTTGGTCCTAGTGTATAATTATCTTAAATTTAATACATGATTAACTACTGCTAATATTCGGATTAAATAATCTTAGATGCAAAGGACTTTAGTTATCATTCCGTTTCACGACACGGGTTTCCTCGTTGAAGCCGGATTGGCTGAACTTGTCATAAGTCATAGTTAACTAAAGGAAAGGTACGGAGTATATATACATTTGAGAGCTGAGGACCTCGTAAAGCTACGCCCCCGAGCTAGAGAGCGAGCCCTCGCCTTATGAAGCAAAAGCATTTCGTTACGGCGTCACAGAAGCCATGCAAGGCGAAAATGCAGGAATAACCAGACGCTGAAAAGAAAAGCGTGAAGAAAAAGATTAAAACGCCCCAAACAAATAGGAAAGCAAAGAGGGCCAGGCGAAATGAAACGCAGAACCCTTTTCTTATAACCAAAACCGACCTGACAGCCGATTCAACGCGATTGCAACGAAAGGGGAGACGGACGACAAATGCATAGGCTGAAAATCAACGTCCTGGGAGAAGGTATAGAAGCTGTGGATGTCACTGTCACCAGTTCAGATCAAACAGTGCCAGCAAGATCAAAAGTGGAAAATGTCCAGGCTCACCACCGCGTTGACCTACCGCAAAAGGAGGAAGTAGTCCCATCCATACGAAATATAATCCACAGCTTTTGAATTTAAAAGAGCTGTTGCCAGCTGGTCAAGCAGGTAACGCTGAAACCATGAAACCGCTTATTAAAAGAAGCGGTTATCTTTGAAAAAATCATTCTTTGAAAATTTGCAAAAATTTGTGAAGTTCGAATCCCCTTCCCTTTTGCCTCCCAGAAATGCTTCACCATACAAGCAGACGGAGCTAGCGTAGAGCAAAAACCACATATTCAAAAAGCAAAACCAAAACCCAGATGCATATTCCCACCAAATATTCATAGAAAACTAGCGCCCAGGAACCATTTGGAAAACTCCACCATGCTGGCTTTTGTCAACAATAATCTCGTGGCCTTGTTTCGTCGCCGAAGTAGAAATTTAAGTCGCGTGCAAACTGATTGTGAATATAGGCCCCGATAATATAAAAAGTAGATGTTCGTAAACCGCCCGTATGTGTAATTAGACAAGTGCAAGATCGTGCGCATAATGAGTGCGCAATCGCGAATCTTCACGATTTCAGGTGGGCCGGATTTAAAGGTAAGGCGGACGTAAACAAGTCGTCGAGCGGAATAAAGGATGCTGAAGAAGGGAAATCCGGTTCTATTTTAATACAGGGAGACGAAGGTATGGTTGAAATTTGGGCGTCGCAGGGAGGATTTATTGACGACGGTCTAGCTAGGTCACAAGCAGGATTAATGGGCAATAGCGACATGATCAAGCTGTCGTTGTCTAATGGAGGCCGTTCACGGTGTCGTCCGGATGACTCGACGGGTACGACAGATTCGCAAACGTCAGTGGGCGGCAGAAACTGCGTATCGGGTTGAGTATCAGGAATGCGACTTTCGTTTGACGCAGAATTCCGCGAGGATATCTCGCCGCCAATAGTTGAGCAGTTTGCCAAAGCCGGATTGATAGGTAATCTTGACAAGAGCAATTCATCGGCACTAACAGTATAGAAGCTATCTGCAATGGCCTCACGGCATGCGTCGCTATTCAAGTCACCATTATCAGGAGCCTCTTGGTTGATGTCTGAATTTGCCTTTTCAGATAAAACGTCAGTTTCGGACGCAGTCAGTAGTGTCTTAACTTTCGCGTCTCTTGGAATTAAGGAGTTGGGAAATGAATATAACATATGGTCCCCAACGCCGGTAAGAAGCTCGGGAAGCTTTTCAGCCCCAGGAGCAAATATCCTAGGGCATTCAGTCTGACTCGCAGGTGCTAAAGGATCCAGCCACAACTCCTGTCCACAAGGAGGAGAACCAGCGAAAAGGGCAGACTGGAAAGCTAATTGGTTCCTGATATCACCCCCGAGTTCATACTGCGCAACATCATCGAGGACAATGTGACTGTTAGTCGGTTCAGCTGACAGGCTAGCTCCCTCCAGGTTGTATAGATCATCCGGCGGCAAAGGCAGAAGCGGGTCCTGATTGAGTTCACTTTCTGGTCCTGGGCTGTCATGCAAAGAAAAATCACTGTTGGTCACAGGTTTCACCGGGTGAAGCAGCGCTGCCTGGCTCGGCGACCCGACGTCGGAACCCATGTCGGAACTGTGCAACCTAAGAATTTGAACGTTGTCAGCAGGTCGCTCCCAGAAGTCAATTTGGTGAGGATGACACAAGCCCAAATCCGTAGTGTCATACTTCTGGGTAGTTATGAAATTGCCAGAGTCTTGTTCCGGGTATTCCAAGAGCTCTTCCGTTACGGGATTAGGTAACTCCTTTGGGAAAAGAGACAACAATTCCTTGGCTGAAAGGCGATTCTGTGGCCTTGGGCTTAAGCAGATCTGGATAATGTTCTGGAAATATTCAGGGACCGCTGAATCACTGGGGATTGTCAGGGGGCGAGGCTGTGTCCCCGGCTCATCTTCTTCCATGGCCATAGCCCAAAGGGTCATACCCAGCTGGAAAAGATCAGATTTCACCCCAATGTACATTGATATTCTCTGCTTGCTTTCAATCTTTTTCGTAAACTCTGGCGGCTCCCAGCCAATGGGGCATCCACGGCGATTAATATCAATGATTTTAGCGTTGTCGTGCTCATCAACGACTACGTTTGACACCGTAAAGTCTCCTTGAACGAATCCGGCTTCATGGATGTCCGCAAGGCCTTTAATGATTTGTCGAGCCCAGCGCTCTCGCCGGGTCCATTCTGTGTTGCCTTTGTAGTCAAAAAACAGATCGGCCAAGGAGCCTTGGGATGCAAAGTCAAGTAGTAAGCCTTTGACCACGGTTACTGAATCATCCACCAAAATGCCTTTAAACTGGATCACACAGTCAGAATCCAGTAAGGCATGGAGAGCGTTAATTTCATATAAAAACTCTTCAACCGTGTCTGGTCCAGTTATCTCTTTCTTGACATAGTTTTCCCCATTCAGCTTCACATGATAGACGAAACCGGAGAGATGACTATGAAAAGCGATGTGACTTTCGGGAATCAATGGTGGACTTAGATGGGCAACGCTAGAGATTGGCGGATAAGGGATGATTTCGTTGACATCCTCCGTGACGTGAACATGCAAACGGCCCTCACGAGTCTCCAATCTGAGGTTCGTCACGGTGTCGTAAAACTCAATTTCATCGATAGATTCTCGAATGGATTCATAGATTCGGGCATTCTTGTCACGGTGAAAACGTAACTCCTTGAGGTCTCGCTCAAGTGACTCAGGCTCCGCATCGCGATAATCACAGGATACAGTTACCCTTCGCCAATGATTGGGGCTCTCTGCGTAGGTGATGAAAAATTTTTCGCGGTCCAACCTATCCCGAAAACCCATACTCAGATTCAATATCCATTTTTTATCCAACTCCGATTGCAATACACGTTCAAAGTCTTCGCCATTTGCCGATGCGGCATCAGTGTGCGTCGCGGTATTGCAGTGTTCAAGGCTAGGGAAACAATCGTTCCCGGATCCTCCATGAGGAGTGAGGCACGGGTTGTCCCATGCCAGCTCTGGCACGGAAGATCGAGGGACGGAAAGGGCACGAGTGGATCTCGGTCGATGGAAGCTAAGGGGTCGTCGATGGTCCGCGGAAACGGCGCGACGATGGTTCTTATCGGTCTTTTCATTCGGAGTCAAAAGCTCTCGACGTTCAGATTCCTGTCTACTGAAGGTAGCTTCGGGTGAGAATTCAAGGTTGATGTTATTCACGGATCGTCTTTGGGGGGGAGACGTTCCGAATTTCTCGTCGCGATTGTCGTTGAATTCGATACTGGCATGGCTGGGTCTCTTGATGGGCGGAGGAGGTTCAATGGGCGGTGGAGGAGCAGCAAGAGGGAAAGGAACCGGCGGCGACGGGGGAGTAGCCGGGCTGTGGCTCTGACGATGGCTCTCTTTGGCTAGCCATTTTCGCAAACCCAATCGGTGCAAGAAGCTCTGTTTGACGGGAGCGGATTTCTTGAGGTTAGGCATGGGTAATATAGGGTCCAAGAAAGGCCCGGCAGTGTCCGCAATTGAGATGGCCATGCAGCACGACTTGACGCGAGCTCTAGCTCGACAGCCGCGTTACAACCGACCAGGACGACAACCGGCTAGACACAGTCGGTTTGTCCATATGAAAGGGCAACGTAGGGCAGGATTGATTGACTTCTTCTCCCCAGCCTCTCTCTCTCACAGCATGCGTGCGTGCTGTGTCTGCGAGGTGAGGGGATGCAATAGACCAGGACGGTTTCGTGTCGCCTAACGGATCCCGCTGGCCTTCAAATGCATTAATTTCCGCTCGATGCTGAAAGAGGAGACGTTGTGCCCAGTGTAACCTGACCACGCACAGCGAGGAGGTGGTGTATGAGTTGCGAGGCCGCTGTGTGCTATGGGCCAGCGACGCTCACCAACGCAACGCTGGCAGGCGAGAAGACAGGGCGATAGTAGTTAAGCAGACAGAAATCAATCGAGCCGGCTTGCGATTCTCCGTCAAGTGGGCATCAATGGGAAGAAATGGGGAGGCGTCTTGATCTGGTGCGGGACGAGCAGACGGCCGTGGTGGCGCTTCGTTGTTCTCTCTGATTCTGTTGGCGGGATGGCGGGAGATGGACAGTACATTCTATTGCAGTCCTTTGGCTCGTCACTGTTACTTTGCTCGCAACGAATTGGCCTGCTGGCGATGCTGGTTGAGTGGGAACGTCGAGAAGCGGAATCAGCACAAATTGAGGCTGATTGTGGTGGTGTTGAAATTAAATCTCGACTTTATTGAATGAAAATTTTCGACGCCGACAAGGTCTCACCGCCAACAGGAAAAAAACCCTTTATTAAAACAAACAAATAACAGGCGGATCTCGAATAAGAGAAAGGCCCCAGAGGCATTCGAATTTCTCCAGTTCAAGGCCGCGATTTGCCAACGCTACCAAGTCGAATCCTACCTACGGGCAACGGTTGCTTGGATATCTCTCGCGCGCGTTCTTCGGCAAGCAACAGAGAAGTATGTAAATGCACGTCAAGTCCAGGGCGCTGAGGCAGTGCGAAGTGAAGCAACGGCCTCCTGCGTGATTTTTCTAGAAATTCTGGACAAAAACTTCCCACATCCCAGGATATAAAAGCTCCCTGCACCCGCCGCTGATTTGTCGAAATCCGAAAAAACCTCCTGTGATCCCCAATCTTTGGCCCGCCGTCGCCTTTCCGTGGTCGTACTGTGGCTCTCCCGTTCTCCTGACCCAAACTTTTGCAGCCGTTCCCAATCCCCTAAACTCACGCCCGGGGCCCCGTCGTCTCGCCGACATGGATGCGCAGTACATATGTACAAAACCCGCTCGATGATTTGCCTGGCTTCCCTTGTTCAACATCGAACCCCAGCTTCAAGCTATCGCACACGACTCGAGGCCAACATTGCTCTCTGTCCGTTGGGCATTCGCATTGGTAAGGCGCCCTCACCCCATCCACTGCCTTACATGTCTATCTCTAGGCATCTGCATTCTCTGCATTAGCGGGAGTTTGTCGCGAAGCCCTGCTTGTTTGCTGTCAACTTAGGTCATTTTAGGGCAAAGCGTGCTCGAATTTGATGGCGGCTTGATGCAAGTTCACTGCGTTGGCTCCAATTGACCGGCCCAGATGACGCTATTCAATGTGGTACTGCCCCGAGCCTCCTTTCATCATCGGTGCACATTTGGATCTGAATTCCCTTCCTAGGTGTCGGATGGAGAGTCAGATCCTGACAGGTGGCCTTGTTTGAGGAGGGATTCTCGTTTTGCTCATGCATTTCTTTAATCTCGAAAGCGCCCTCCTTCAAACATCGTGGGCTCCATCCCCTTAAATCCTTTTTAATTGTTCACATGCGCTGCAATCGATCGACTATCCTGTCATTGGTTGGGAAGTGAAGCATATTCCATGCGACTTGGTTACAAACTGCATTTTCTCAGTCTCGTCATCCATGTGGTTTCGTTCACGTCGGGGCAAACCCTCGATAGAGAGCATTCATGAAGCTCGAATCCAAAACCAACCCCCAACCGCCAGAATGTACGCATTCTGGCAAGGATCCTTCCAGGATTCAGTCGGCGGCTGATAATGCTGCAGCCCGTCACTCGCAGCTCATGTTCTCCTCGTTCATTTTCAGATCAAGCATCTGTACACCCCCAACGTGCATGGATGTACCCCGTATGTGTGCTGACAGATGCATTTTGTGGCATGCACAGCCAGCTGCCGGTATATATGCCTCAGGCATTGTGCTTTCAATCAGATCGTCTCTTCGTTACCAAAATATTCATGACAATTAATATACACGGATGTCAAAGCTTGCTAAGTAACAAACCATGCCCCTGAAAGCAGCCCGGTGAACGAGTGGAGTGTTTTTGGGTTTTTTTACCCTATGGAAGCACACTACCTTTCCACTGCATACGCCCGGCATCGAGGCGAGTTTAAGATGAAGTCAAAAAAAGAAATAACAAAAAATCTATACATGCGAAATGCACCACAGTTCCAAATGGCACAATAGTTCTTTTGCAGCAAAAGAAAAGGGTGCAGTATCACAGAAATATGCGGGGAGCGTATAATGGTCTGCCCAAAAAGAAAGAGACAAACTCCAGAGCATGCAGAAGAGGTGGGAGAGGTACATATACGCCAGTCAAAAATTCCAGACAGAAAATATTTTGTCTAGCACGGAGACGCAAAATCGGGGAGAAATTCATTAGGCTCGCACAGAGTGTCTGGTTGTAAAGGGAAACATCAGCTCAGGCGTCACTGTGTACTGTTGTCACCGTACCCACTACCTTCATTTCTTTTCATCGGATTTCTCTGGCTCGATCAGCTGAGCCTTCCATACGCTGTTCGCTTGCGTTCGATCAAGCCCCTTGAAAATAAGATCAAAGACTTCGGAGTACCAGCTGACAGCATGGCCTTCAATGCCCTCTTTTATATTCTAGATTTGCAAGACAGAAGTTAGCCAACCTGATCGACCAGTTGGAAGAGAGTGGTAACATGGATGAGTAGGTTACCTGAGGCAGTTCAAGCCAATCGGATAGATTGTCCGCAGGGAAGATGATGGTTTTGGCTCCAGCACGGCGAGCGGCAACAGTCTTCTCCCGGAGCCCGCCAATCCGCAACACTTTACCCGTAACGGTAAGCTCTCCCGTCATCGCAATGGTTGGATCGATGGGCTGGTTAAACGCGAGAGACAGCAATGAAGTGGCCATAGTTATTCCAGCAGAAGGGCCTAAACAGAGTAGGTTAGATCAACGAATCTCCGAAGATCAAACAGTGCATCCTCAATTGGGACAAGATACATACCATCTTTTTGAACCGCACCTTCAGGACAATGGAGATGGAGTTTAGCCTTCTCAAAGAATTTGTTCTCTGGGAAATCTTTGGCCACGATAGACTTGGCAAAGGAGTATGCAATAACCGTTGACTCTTTCATGACGGTCATCAAATTCCCTGTTTGTTCAAAGCCCGGCTGTGATGATGGTGTCAATGCTGATTGCAGAATGGATTCAACATAGAGCGCTGCACCGCCCATGCTCGTCCACGCCAAACCCATGGCCACACCGGGTGGAGTGACCTCATACAATCGATCGGAGGTGAAAACTGGTGGACCGACATAATCCTTCAGGTTGTCTTTCGTGATGTTGACATGCACGTCTTCCGGAACCTTTGCTGGGAGTAAGGGAGTCTCCTGGCTTAATGTTTCCGCTTCCTCCTCGTTCTTCGCAGATTCCTGTGCTGCCCGAACTTCTTCTCTCACCACGTCTTCCTCGGTGGGCTCTTCCTCACGTAGATCCTTGATAATCCTCAAAGCTGCCTTTCTATAGACTTTTTCGATTTGTTTTTTCAAGTTCCGCACCCCGCTTTCTCGGCAATAAGACTTGATGAGCTCTTCGATGGCGTTTTCCTCCAACTTCACGTCGACGTCCTTTAGTCCACTCATCTCCTTCGCGGCAGGTGCTAGATACCGCTCAGCAATCGCCATCTTTTCGTCTGCAACGTAGCCAGATAATTCGATCGTCTCCATACGGTCTAATAGCGGCCGCGGGATCGTGTCCGTCATATTTGCTGTACAAACGAAAAGAACTTTTGACAAATCCACAGGAACATCCATGTAATGATCTAGGAAAGAAGAATTTTGCTCAGGATCCAGAAGTTCGAGCAGAGCTGAAGCTGGATCTCCTTGATGTCCACGTCCAATCTTGTCGATTTCGTCTATGAGGATGAGGGGGTTCTCCGTTTGACATTTCTTGAGCGCTTGGATAATTCGTCCAGGTAAAGCACCGACATAAGTTCGTCGATGACCTTTGATTTCCGCCACGTCCGTCAGGCCACCAACGCTGAATCGATAATATTGTCTGTTAAGAGCACGAGCGATGGATTTTCCGATGCTGGTTTTGCCCACACCAGGCGGGCCGACGAAGCAGAGAATTTTACCCTCTACGCTTCCACGTAGTTTTCCAACCGCGATGAACTCCAAGATACGGTCCTTGACATCTTGCAGCCCATAGTGATCCTCATCCAGAACCTTCACCGCGTTTTTAATTCCAAAATTCTCAGCGCTTCTTTTACCCCATGGAATCTGTGTGATCCAGTCGAGATAATTTCGAGTAACGTTGAATTCAGATGCAGCCGGCTCCAGGTGTGCTAGTTTGTTTAGCTCCTCGTCAAATACCTTTTTCACTGCTTCTGGCATTGCCAGCTTCTCTGCCTTTTCTTTGAATTTCTCCACCAGCTTGTCTTTTCCATCAGACTCAATACCAAGCTCTCTCCTAATTCCCTTCATTTGCTCCATCAGCCAATATTCTCGCTGTCGTTTTTGTATCTTGGCTTCCACGTCCTTTGATATTTTTGACTGTAGCTGGGCGTTCATGAGTTCTTTCTTCAGCACCACAAGAGCCTTGGATAGACGTTCTTCGATATTCATTGTTTCCAGAACATCTTGAAGTTCTTTTATTTCTCCGGCAGACACAGCTGCGGCAAAATCGGCTAGTTTAGCTGGCTCTTCTATTACATTACCGGCGGATTGGCTCATGGAGAAGGTGGAAATCTGATCACGGAACAACGGATTCAAGTTCGCCACATCCTTGAAGACATTGACAATCTCACTCGTGACAGCACGGATAACAGGGCTCTTCTTATCGACAGGTTCTTCAGTGAGGTTATCCACGTTAACTATGCTGACAGGGTACTTGCGTAGAAACGATGTTGGCTCGTAATTAAGAACTTCCTTCGAGGGTTGTTCGACTGTGGCCTCTTCAAAACTTGCGACGACGTCTCCCTGCTTCTCTTGCGACGTATCCTTCGAAGTTTGTGAATCCGCCTCCTCTTTAGGTGGTTTCTCTTGCGGCGGTATTAGAGAAGACATCTTTATCCTGCGATGAGGATATAGTACAGCAGTCAATCCGTTCTCATCGCCATGGACTGGGAAAGCGCTTGTCACTTGAGCAAAAACTCCGACGTCATGGACATCATCCATGCTTTCAATGATATCTTTGTCGGCGTTTTCATCCTTGAACAAGAACGCACCGACATATGGCTGTCCGCGCTTCATCATTTCCTGGATTGCGGCAACAACATTGGGGTCTTTGATTGTAATTGCTTTGTAAAAACCAGGGAATAAGGGCCTCCTCGCGATCGGAATAGCCATAACCTGCGGATACACGTCTGGAATTGACGGTTTCTGAAGCGCCCGATCCGCGGCACTTTTCCTCCCTCTTTTGCTTCCGCCATCACCAGCCCCAGACGAACCTGAGCCACCTCCCGCGCCGGCACCACTTGGTCGGGATTCACTTGGTCCGCCAGACGGTGGAATCGGTGCCGGGCCTTCTGAGGGCTTTCCATCTTTATCTAATGATTCCTCCTGTTTTGGCCGCTCCTCAACATTTGTATCGGTCTTCTCTTCACGCTCCTTTTTCTGTTGCGGAGGTGTTGGTTTCTCTTTCCGTCGGGCCGGGCTCGAAGAGAAAGGATGTGCATAGGAGGGGCTGGACCTCGTAAGGATTGACGGCCGAAACTCTGGAGGTACTTGAGCGGCAAGCCTAATTGGGATAAGGCGAGATCTGCATTGTATGTTTAGAATTGTTCGGCGTAATGCGCCCCTCCAGGGAAGGCTTGAGCTTCGAAGCATGCTCCCAGTCAGAGGTCGCGAGAGAGCTAGTCGTGGCTGGTTGTAGGCGATGGAAGCGCTGCAGATGGCCTTATTACTAGTGTACAAGCGGGATATCAGAAATCAAACAGCAATAGCACACAAGAAGCAGCAGAGAGAAAGCAATCTGGAGGCGGATGTCGTTGCTGACCGTCGAGGCCGATGAATCAATCTCGAAAGCAACGTCGTCGGCGAAACCTTTTCCCGGAGAAACTTTTGCCTTCATGGAATCTTCAAGATTCGCTGGCGATGAAGCCCGGCTTCATTTTGCTTCGTCAGTGCCATTGCTTCTTTTCGTCGTATCTCAATTGTTCTCGATTGTCTGTAATCTGGCCTGCATTCCCTCGACTGCTGAAAATAGCCGATAGGCTTGAGACTTGCCGATGGCCGCCGCAGTCCCTACTCAGCTCCTCCGCTCGTCGCGATGCTGCGCAAACCAATGCACGGGAGTCTCCCGGCAGATCCAATCGCGATCATTTCACAGTAGTAGCACCCCGTGCTATGAACGCAAATCCTACATTCAATCGCCGAATCGACGCTCTTATCTCCAGTCAAGGGTAATGGCAACTTCCCATGCTGAACAGGCCCGAGCCCGTGCATTGCTAACCCTTTCGTCGTATATCTACAGGCATTTCACTCGTCCTCGCCCGCTCAAGCGACAGTAAAGGACCCCTACGGCGTACTTGGAGTCAACAAAAGTTCATCCGCTTCCGATATCAAACGTGCATATTATGGTCTAGCAAAAAAATATCATCCGGATACGAACAAGGACCCGGGCGCCAAAGATAAGTTTGCGGAGGCTCAGTCTGCTTACGAATTGTTATCGGATCCAGAAAAGAAGAAAGCTTACGACCAATTTGGAGCGGGCGCATTCGATCAAAACGGTGGCTTCAATCCTCATGCCGCTGGCGGCGGCCCATTTGCAGGCGCCTCCGCCGGCGGATTCCATGGCTTCGGTGGATTTGGTGCTGAAGTTAACTTTGAAGACTTGTTCGCGCACGCTTTTGGTGGTGGAGGTCGGCGTCGAACTGCGAGAGGCTCGCCGTTCCAATCAACTGTGCTTGTTGGAGAAGATGTTGAGGTTCAGACCAATATCTCCTTCATGGACGCAGCAAAAGGAACCAAAAAGGACATCTTTATAACACCACTGGTAAACTGCAAAACCTGTAACGGAGAAGGATTAAAACCGGGAAAGAAGAGATCGCAATGTTCGTCTTGCGGAGGCTCAGGAACCACAGTCCATGTCATGGGAGGGTTCCAAATGGCAAGCACTTGCGGAGCTTGTGACGGCACTGGTAGTACAATCCCACGAGGCGCTGAATGCTCCAGTTGTCGTGGGAATGGAGTCACCCCGGGAGCGACGCACGATCCAAGTCGACATTCCAGGTGGTGTGGAGGATGGCATGAGGTTGCGGGTTGCCGGCGAGGGTGATGTGCCTCCTGGGGAGCCTGGAGCGCGTAAACAACGGGGCGATCTCTTTGTTTTCATTAGGGTTGCTCCCGATCAACGCTTCAGTCGATCCGGCGCCGACGTTCTTTATACCGCTTCCATCCCATTCACGACAGCCTTACTGGGCGGTGAAGTCACGATCCCAACCCTCGATGGCGAAGTCAAAGTCAAAGTCGGGACTGGGACGAGCACCGGAGACCAAATCACGCTGTCCGGGATGGGGATGCGGAAACTTGGTGGCCGCCGTGGAGGTAACGGCGACCTCAAGGTTCAATTCAAGGTCACAATGCCTAAATATCTAAATGCAAACCAACGGACAATTCTAGAAGTTCTCGCCGATGAGATGGGCGACAAAACTGCCAAAAAAGTCATGAATATCAATACCGACAGGTAAAGCTACTATAAGCTAGTGTCTCCATATCGTTTTTCGCCCCCGACTGACACTGGCTTTCCTAGATTCAGTTCCAGCACCGACTCACAACCCAAGAGTGCGGAAGATCCTCACAAAGGCGAGGGCTTTCTCAAAGCTGCCTGGCATCGTTTAACAAACCACCAACATAAACCGTCCGAATCGAGTCCTGATGGCAAGAGCAACGACAGTCAAAAGAAAGACTCGGATTCAAAATCCAACCGGGACCATCCCAACGACCGCAACGAATCCAAGAAGGCTTCGGGTTCCGGCTAGAGCACGCCTTGCCATTAGCCCTCTCTCTATGTTTGACATTTGCTTTTGGTCATAGCGTTCTTCAGCATTGCTTCGGATTTTTTTCCTTCTAGGTATCTTCTGCGAAAAAGCCTACTACTACGATTGGTTTTACATCCTGTGAATACATACAAGCACATATAGATTGAGGCAGACTTCTTTCTCTGTATTACTATTCTGCAAGGCCATCTCCACTTGCTTTTTGAGGTTGAAATAATGTTCTGATGTCGGCGTTGATCCTTGCAGCAGTGCATGCGCTTATGTATGGTAACCAAATACCTAGTTAGTGCGTGCGAGAGGACGAATTAACAAAAAACTATTCATCAAACTCGCCAATATGCAATTGTAAGTCAACCAGAAGGCATCAGACTCGCAGGAGCGTGGAATGTGCGGAGTGGCGATGTTTGCTGTTTGATATCTCTCTCCAGGATCGTAGTAGTCAGCTTGTCCCCTTTTGCAGCGTCATAGCGAACTACCAACGAAGCCCCTCGCATTTCTCGCCCTGCAGCCTAAGAATTTATCCTCAACGTCAGCTTACCCGGTTCAACGGATAATTGCTTCTTCGATCCCTTTCGGCCGCTCACCATTCGCCCAAGTCCACCAAAATCTATATCGAACGGAGCGTCGTCATCTCTTTGCGCCCGCCCGAACACCTCCAGCCAGCGAAGTTCACCGCATCGAACCCATCGCCCACTTTGCGCAGCGTCGGCCCGTCGTCCTAGCGCCAACCAAAACCGCGGTTGCTAATATTGTTCCGTCTATTTTGGCTACTTTACAAACCGTTAATTGTCCTTAACGTGGTGCTGCTGTGCCCTGCGTCGGCCAGCGCTCTGGAACAGTCCGCCGTCACAATGCTACAGTCACCGATGATATCATGTCCCCTCAAACAGACAAACGAAATCGACTGGATCCAGCCATTGAAGTCGTATATCCGGAACACATATGGCGATGATCCCGAAAGGTACTCGGAAGAATGCGCTACGTTAAATAGGCTACGGCAGGACATGCGGGGAGCGGGGAAGGACAGTGCCACTGGACGTGACCTGCTATATCGGTATTATGGACAGCTGGAATTGCTGGACTTGCGGTTCCCGGTCGACGAAAATCATATAAAAATCTCTTTTACATGGTAAGAGCAGTTACGGGCTGGGTGAGAAATGGAAAACCTGTGCGCTGACATATCCGGATTATTCAGGTACGATGCTTTTACCCGAAAGGCCACTTCGCAGTACTCGTTGGCATACGAGAAAGCGTCCATAATATTCAACATCTCCGCTGTCCTGTCATGTCATGCGGCGAATCAAAGTCGCTCAGATGACACCGGCCTAAAGACAGCGTACCATTCGTTTCAGGCGTCTGCCGGCATGTTTACTTATATCAATGATAATTTTCTCCACGCACCTTCTACCGATTTAAGCCGAGATACTGTCAAAACACTGATAGCGATCACGCTAGCCCAAGCACAGGAAGTTTTCCTTGAAAAGCAGATCCGGGATGAGAAGAAGCCTGGCTTTTTAGCTAAGCTTGCTAGCCAAGCAGCCCACCTATATGCTCAAGCCAGCGAAGGGGTTCAAGAAAACGTCGCCAAAGGCACCTTTGAGAAGGTGTGGACAACTCTAATTCTAATTAAGGCCTCCCATTTGTCCTCCGTTGCAGGGTACTATCAGGCCATCGCTGATGATGGGAGCGGGATTCACGGGATCTCGATTGGCCGGTTAAAGTTGGCTGAAAAGCAGTCAAATGCGGCCCTTGGCTTAGCTAAATCGTTTCCATCTTCTGTACCAACGGGCTCAAATCTAAATTCAGACACAGGCTCGGCCATAGTCGAAATCGTTCGAAGACACCTCACCAATGTCCAGGAGAAGCTGGCGTCATTTATAAGAGACAACGATTTTATTTACCACCAGCCCGTCCCCACGGAAGCTGGTCTGTCTATGATCGCCAAACTCCCCGCTGCCAAAGCTATCCCTGTCAGTGAGTTATATCAAGGACAGGACATCCAAAGAATTATTGGACCTGATATCTTTCAAAAAATCGTGCCAATGTCGGTTACAGAGTCCGCGAGTTTGTATGACGAAGAAAAAGCTAAACTTGTCCGGGCTGAAGTTGAGAAAGTGGAAGCCGCCAACGGAGAAATGGCTGCTAGCCTTGATTTTTTGAAATTACCTGGAAGTCTAAACATATTGAAGGGAAGTATTGACCAAGAGATGACTTGCGATCAAGACTTCAAATCGTGGTGCGAGGAGATTGCCGGGCATGACCCGTTCCGCGGTACCCTTGATGATTTACAAGAAGATAAAATCACACTCCTCAGCACATTGGAACAGTGCTCTAAACAACTTGACATGGAAGAGAGTGTTTGTGAAAAGATGCGGTCGAAATACGGGGTGGAGTGGACCCAACAACCAAGCGCACGGCTTACAGCTACGCTGAGAAGCGACATTAGGACATACCGTAGTACCATTGACGAAGCAAGCGCTAGTGATTCACAACTTCTAGTCACCCTCAGGCAGTATGAAGCAGATTTTGAGGACATGCACGCTGCTGGAGAGTCAGGGGAAGCAGATATTCTTTTCCAACAAGCCATGATCAAGGCAGGATCAAAGCAGGGCAAGAATGGAGGCACCAGCCCTTACTCTGCCCCTGAAGGCAATCTATTGGACGACGATTATGATGAGGGCGCTATGCCGATATCAGATCAAATTGCAAGAGTCGAAGAACTGCTGCGAAAATTAAACCTTGTCAAGAGAGACCGGATGCAGACCTTGAAAGATCTGAAAGACAAGGTAACTAATCGCTTCTGTTTCGGGGGAAGATACATGGCTGACCCACCTAGGTTCATAATGATGACATCTCCAACGTACTGATATTGAATAAAAAAGCAATCGCTAATCAAGAAGAGCAGCTCTTTCAGGCGGAGTTGGAGAAGTTTCGACAGCATCAAAATCGACTATTCCAAGCAAATCATAAGCAAACAGCGCTCATGAAGGAGCTCGCTAAAGTTTATGGGGACTTACTGCAGGATAAAAGGGTGAGAGCAGAGCAGTCCAAATACGAGGCTTTGTCGAGGCAAAGAAACACCGCAATATCTAAATACCGCAAAGTCCATAAAGCGTTCAAGGAACTTCTATCGGGCCTCGATCAAGCGCAAGCGTTCTATATGCAAATGAAAGACACAGTTGATAGCTTGAAGAAGAATGTCGACACCTTCCTCAACAATCGTCGATCCGAAGGAGCACAACTACTAAATCAGATCGAGCGTGAGAGAAACTCGACAGGCCAAGAAGGACGAGAGCGAGGAAACCTGAGACAGTTAATGGAACGATTATCAATGGAACCAAATTCCACATCACCAACATCGTCAAACCCAAGGCCAGGAGCAATCAAAGCATCGTCTTCGGCCACAAGGTCATCACCTATTTCTCCCAATCACGGCACGGTTGCTACAACAGGGCAAGCCTCCGGCTCCCACAACCAAAAGCCTGTGTCTTATCCTCCTCACATGCCCGGCAACGGCGCCGCTCTAGAAGTTTATAACGCGAGTCAACCTTATCAGCAACACACACCCGAAGGCTACAACCCCATGGCTTACTTTTATCAAGCACCAACCTCACCACCACCCAATCAACAATATTTTAACCCAGCCTATGGAGGGTATCCGGGTCAATCTCCCTACATCCCCCAAGGCTATGTCCCTCCCCCACCTCCACCCCGACCCCAGCGTTCATCTGGTTATAACGTTCCAGCAGGCGCGTATATAGCGAATCCCGGTGCCGCTAATTATCAGCAAGGGCCCGGAAGGCCACCAAGCCAACCGCAAGGAGTCCCCCCTGGTTCAGCCGCAAATGACCCGTGGGCTGGATTGAATGCGTGGAAATGAATAATGACTTTTCGAAGCGAAGATGGTTATGTTTTACAATAGCCCGACTGGATGTCCCTTATGGCCGGTTTATGCAACATATTAGAGGAGAGAACCTCGGCTGAGGGCGAATTATTCGTACCCTACCATAGGTGACGACGTGATGAGGGAGATGGACTGATATGGATTATATCGGCGTTGGAGTATCTATGCCTGAAAAGAATTCAAATTCCCCGATTTTGCAGGTAGCTAGGGATATAGAACTGGGACTGGGGAATGTTTTCAGTCAATACAATATTCTATTATTGGCTTAGGGTACATTTGCCAACTAACGCCGACATTTTGTACTGCAAGTTGCATTATTTCCCATTTAATGCGTCATGGTTAACTATCCTCGCCCTTTTGGATCTTGCTTTTCTTTATCCAGCACTGCAAGGCTCTTTCGCGACCCCCCCGTTTTCGCACCTGGGGTGATTCGGCGCTTGTCTGAATTTTTAATCTTCAATCTGAGACGTATCTTTGCGCCAGATTGCCTTTGGCAAAGTCTTAGATATATATATCGAAAGTTTGCAAGGGAGCCATTGTATCATTTTGATTTTGAGTATACTAGCGATCTGCTGGGCCCCCTCCCTCTCCGGGGGGCCCGTTTCGGCTGTGTCTACGGAGTATATAATTGAAACAACATGATTCTTTTCATCGAGAGAATTCTTTTTTTTTTTTTTTTACTAAAGTGTGATTCCAGAGACCGGCTTCGTAAGCCTGGCAATGAGCTTTCCCGGTTGAGCATTTACTTGATATAGAAAGGCTATACATTTTTAATGATATAATGTTAAAATATACAAGACAAGCCCCCGAGAGATGATCAATATCCATCGCCCTTATACTAGAAAAAACCATGAACCAAGGCCGGAGGACTAAAAACAAGCATGAGCACTCCCAGGCAGCCTGATGCAGGTCCATTCTCCTCAACACCCGCAAGAAAGCCCCGGGTCCCTATGCCAGGCCACAACAGCATTCACCCCGTCAGGTTTTTCTTGTTGGATTGTGTTGTGTTTGTGGTATTGTGAGAGGGTGACTTGTCAACCCAGCCATCAGCCTCTGTTTCCACCGCCGGGGCGGTGGTGGCAGGCCAAATGCAAAGCTACCCATTCCTTCAACGCCAGCTGTTGCCGCTGCATGGCAGTTGCACTGCATCTTTTCGGTTCACAGAAAAATAATATGGGATAGCCAGTCACTGTTGTTGATTCCTGGCTCGGCGAATTCCAAATTTGTTCACAGAGGACCATTTTTGTTTTCCAAACCCTGGCATGAGACTCCAATGGATCTCACACGAAAAAAGCATCTTTTTGCAATTGTGGTACGGATATTTCTGGTAGTCATATATTAGAAGATTCGAATCCAACAAACTTTCCTGTTGATAACCACTGTAACATCCGCCGTCTCCGGGCTTCTTGAAAATGTCATGGGTTGTGCTTTTGCTTGACTCAGTATAGCCAACTTCAGCACCGAGGAAAGGTAGCATTATCCCGGCTCCTTTTCTGTTGGATATCAAGTGTAAACTGGCATATACAGCCGCATGTAACTGGAGGGTTTGGTAATTCCTCATAAAGATCCCATAAGCAAGATGGAGATCAGAGATCTATAACATTTAGATTAGTTGGTAAAAGGGAGGAGGGGCATCGATTGCCCGTTGTAAGTTAATTCCATTACATTTGCGACAACTGCATGTTAGAAATGAGCAGCCCCTTGGTGGCTCACTGGTAAGAGGTCAACAAGACCTGGACAACAGATGTCCTGTCCATGAACTTGTTTGCCTCATTTGCCTTTGCATTGATGCTCGTGCCCTCTTCAATGACACTAACATTGACAGCCAATAGTGTCGGCATCAAAGTGAACAACTCACAGCAAGATTGGTCAGTTGCAGAAGAGTAGTATTTGTTGCTTTTTTATCAACCATATGCCCCTTGACCAGACTAACAAGGTATTGAAGATTGAGGGAGTTGGCACAAATGTAGTTGAGCATGTAAGTTTGTTCTCTGGGCCGGCAGGACATCGGTGTCTTGTCGCAAGAATAGCTTCCAGTGAGGACTGGGCCATGTTGGAGCCGGGCTAAGTAGAGGTTCACACGAAGAAAAAGGAGAGGCCGTTATCTTGAACCAGATTCTGCCAGTACCTGATGCGATGACTCAGATCTCAGGAACCGGTTCGGTACCAACTCCTCAAACTTGAGGGAGAATGCCAAAAGGGACAGTCGTCGGGTAATTTTCCAGTCGCGAGTACCGGCTCCCCTATATTGTCAGGGAGACTGGCATTCCCAGGATATACCTTTATATTTGCATCTCCAGGGCAAGAAGTTGGTCTCAGTTATCTGATTATGCGGCTGATATGAAAGAGCATCCGTTCTGGTCGTAGCTTAAGACGCTTTGGTGGTAGGTAATCTTTATGGAATGATAAAGTAGTACAACTTCCGGGGGTTTGCCTGTGCGTAACTTATTGCAAGCTTGGCCCCCAACATCTGTAATGCTAGTCTGTATTAGAACTGGCTTTCCATTTTCTCCCTCGAGACACTTACTGTGTTTGCCGGGCCTGGCTGGGGGGAGAACCTAGTAGTTGGTATATATGAGTTGTCGAATGGCGATTAGCTATACAGCATTAAATCATGTAAATAAAAGTTTGTCACATTAGAGGCTGTATGAACTGTCTGGCTCTTTTCATTGATCTGAAGGATGCGTCGCACCCAGAAAAGGAGTCTGCTGCTTTAAAGTCAGGCTTTTGTGAGCGCGTCAAACTCCCGGTGAGCAACTTTGTTGTGTCCCAGGCGCCATTTTGAGAACATCTGTTATATCCCGACAGGAATTGATAATAGTAATAGAAATATAGGAATGGTATTCTCTGATGGCCCCACCGTGTATGTACCAATGCCGTGGTATCGTGAGAGGGTCTCCCCATCTTGCCCCGGTAGCCAGTCATCGAATGCTGGTGGATATGAAAATCCTTTTATCAATGTTAAACGGGCCGGGGGGCTGAAGACGGGGTGAAGCAAAAATGAAGAAAAAAGGTAAAATGCTTCTCAGGGAGCTCTGGTAATAAGTTGTGCTGTAAGCGAAAAGTAAGAAAGTGGCGTTTGAAGATGGGGTCGAGGCCAGAGAGGCTGCTCATGTCAAGCCTCTTGTGAGTTCTCACCACTGGCCCCCAAGATTCTTATCATCAGGATGTCGAGCATAATCTGGGGGTACTGGGGGCTCAAACAGTTGTTGCAACCCCCCGTTCAGCCAGTGTTCAGGTCCCCAAGGAAAAAAGAAAGCATAGTGTGTAGTTGGTCCATAGAGTTTACCCCGGGAAACGGTGAGTTACCGGCGGTGAGGGTAGTTATAGTTGCAAAGAGTCGCCGATGAGAAAAAAGTGAGAACCCGGTGAAGGCAAAGTCAGAGCCCTGCTAAAGAGTATCCACGGTCAAGTGATCAGCTTCCTGTCAAGACGTGCGATGAAGCACAGATGATCCGGTCACCCAGGCAAGCAAAGTGAGCTGCAGCTTGATCGCTGATAGTAAGTTATCAAGTTTAGTTGGGCGATCGTAGAGCGATCTTGAAGATCAGCGACAAGCCGCTGTCAACCGCGGCCAACCCAACCGAGATGCCAGAGAAAAGAAGAACGAGGAGAGATTGCTTGGGCGGGGAAGAAGTAGTATTCAAATGGAGCTGATAAGAGTGAATCGCAGAGGAGTGACTCCGTGTCCCCGATCTGCACCTTTGATTCACGGGAACGCCTTGACTGGAGATGCTATCAGGATCCCTCTGTAGACTGTCCCAGCCCAGACCGGGGTTGCAGCGGCATAGCCCCACGGAGTTTCACTTTTGATGATTACTCCGATACGAGGATGTTGAGATCTGAGTATGGGGGATCACCGGTTTATACTGTGTGGGTTACACCGGGTCAGGAGCTTCATCAGTTGTTCACAGCTCCTGTCCCAAATCCGGGGGTTGCAGTCTGCGGAGAGCGTCTTGGTAGCATCCGGAGAAAAAAAAAAGAAACGAGAGACGCAGGGATCACGAGGAGAGAGGAAACGAGCTGATTTGTACGTAACGCCAGATCTCGTTGTGTTGCTCGCAAGGTGATGGCAGATGGTGCTTCTTGTTCTTCTCCAACAACCCCGTAACTCGTATAGTTGTGTCCTGCTCCAATCGGCGGTCGTCTTCCGATCGGGCCCAGTGCGCCGAAACATCTCTTTGATGCTTTTATTGGGCATCCGGTTCTTCATCTTTCTTTTCTCTTCTTTTCTTTTCTCTTTTTAATTTGCGCTCCCAAGGTCCGCTGTGCTCGCCAAGGGAGACAGCGACGCCCAGTTCCCCAAAAAAAGAAAAGAAAAAAGACGCCCATTAGAAAATGACTGGTGCCTCCGTTCTTCCCCAGGCTGCCAAGTGCCCGGATCAGATAACCACGGAAGCGGTGCACACATGGCAGCACGGCATTGGGATTGTGGCCCTCTTAACGAATCTTGCTGGGTCACCGCCTCTGATGCCCAAGGGTTGCCACATGAAACATCCAGTCAAGATGGCCGATTTCAGATGGGCGGTGACAAGAACACATCTTCGCCTGTATTCTGAGATGAATTATTAGAGGATTCCGGGTTGACGTCATGTGGCCTGAGGTTTTTGATATTGTTGCTATAATTACTCTGGAGAGGATAGATTATATTGCTACTCTACGAGATACAGACGAGTCTCTATCTGATACGCGCAGATTGGCGCGCGGATCCCCCAAGTTCCCCACACCGACAGCACGCCCGCGCGGTGAGGCTTGTTCTGTGTTCCCTGTTCAGGGGGGTTGCTGCGCTGGTTATCACCCTTATCACTTATCAGTTGACAGGTGAAACCGGCCACCAGCAGGATCAAAATCCGTTTTTCCCAGAAAAACCTCGGGAAGCAAAAGGGGAATCAAGGCCATCATGCCGACGTCAGGACAACGCGTCCAGACCTAATAAGCTGGGTTGACAACTCAAAAGAGCGCAACTCCCGAGATTCCCCGAGCGCTCTCCAGGATCCAGACCGACTCGTTTTCGCGCAGAATCAGCCAATCGGTGTGGCGCAGGCGCGCATTCTCCTTGGGAAAACTGGTGGGGAAGAAGACAAGTAAGGATAAAACTGTTCGGAGGGTGAACCGCGGCTCGGATGAGATTCCTGTTCGGCGACGTAGTGATTATATTGCAGTTTTTCTCTCTCGAGTTCAGGGGCAAAACTGGTCGGGCCACCGGCAGCTTATAAGCAGCTGGAATAATGGGATGACTGTTTTTGCTTCCCCACATCCCACTCAAGCACAGGATCTCGGCAGATGTAACAGTCGTGGAGGTTCTTTTTTTTGATATTTTTTATTTCTCACATGATAATATCTAGACTGTCAGTACAGAAAAGGTGTGTCCCATCTCTTGCCTTGGTTTTCCGGAGCAGAGCACGTTCAGAGCTCGGTGTGTCGTGACATGGGGAGAGTTTTTTCTTTCTTTTTTTTCTTTTTTTTTCAAGGTCGCATTTCCCCAATAATTAACCAACGGACTAATTAATTGGAGGCGGCTTCCGAAACATGGAACCAACTGGAGATCCGATTGCTACTGTACCTTTTTTTTTTTTTTTTTCCCTTCTCTTTTTACTCGAGTCTGCCCTATGCTCGCTCCACCTCCAGTTGTTCCATCTGCCCAAATCACCGTTGCTGGCGTTCCCATGTGCTGCCTGTTTCTTGGTTTCCGTCAATAGTCCAGCCTGTCGCCGGAGATTTGCCCTCGATGGGCCATGCAATCAGAACCTGCAGCAGGGGTGCCCGGGGCGTTGTGCCAGTGTGTGTGAGATAGAGCGTGTGTGTGTGGTTCGATCGCCGCATGTGCCGAGAACCGTGCTTCAAGATCGAGTTAGAAAGTAGTTAATAGAGTATCCTCGGGCCAATAGAATAGAATTCCTCGTTGACATGATTGTGGATTTGCTCGTCTTGACATTGATTTGGAACTGGGCGACAATTTACAAAGCAGAGCAACTCTCGCTGTCCAGATCGATCGCGATGGTGTCATTTATTTCCCGTATTTGCTCTCTTGCTGCCCCACGCCCGCGCTGGATTTGCCCGGTTCCCCATGGCGGTTGGAACCCAAGGTACCTCTCGTGCTGGCGGGCGTGGCTTGGTACTTGCCCGGGCCATACAATTGTGCGGCACGGAGCCGGTATCTTCCCCGGTCAAAGACTTTCGACTCTGATCTGCCCTACGAAAGTCTACTGCGGAAAAGCCTCGTCATCAGCTTTAAATCCTTTTTTTCTCTCTTTATGATTTAACTTATCCCGCTGGCTCCCTGCGCGTGTTTCTTTTGTTTGCAGTCAGCCCTGTCTCGCTTCGCTATATTCAACTCCGCCTCCCAGCTGCTTTCTTTTCTTTTTGACCGTTTCTTCACTACTCTTCCTCTACCCCAGACACTCCCCCAAGGTATGTTCAAACCAACAGCCCCCCCCAATCCCAATCCCAATCCCTGCTGCCTGTTCCTGCTGCTCCTCCTTGCTGCCCTCTCCAGTCTCTAGACCCTCTCGACCCTTTTCTTTTTTTTTCTTTTCTTTCTCCACTCCTGCTCCATTGTCTTTGATCCCTGTGTGGCCCGGCTTCTTTCCCTCCTGCCTGGCGCCGTTCCTTATTAAGCCGATCTCCGCCGTGACGCTTCTCTCTCTCTCTCTTCCTCTCTCCTTTCTTCTCTTGCTCTCAGATCACATCATTCTGACACTACTGTGAGGTTATGATACTAAAGCCTTTTGCTCTTAGACATCATCCTCACTTTCGTCCCATCACACTCACACAACCCCAACAAAACACTTCACGGCCATCCGCTCAGGTGACACGGATCACACTCCCTCCGACTCTTTAAAAAGGCCTCTGCTTCTTCATTTTTCCCCTTCTCCATCTCAACGGCCACAATCCGGAGACTCGACCGCTCGCCAATCCCTGAACGATCGATCTCAAATTCTGCATCTAGACCACGTCATACATCCCTTCCCTCCGTCCGTGCACCCCTTTCGACTCCCTTCGTTAACCGCTCGTCGATCCTTCAGAGTCTGTAATGCCACGTTCATCCTCCGGGGTGGCCTTTTCGGATCTATTAAATCCCCAGACCCGTTCTGGTGACCATCACGCTGCCTCTTTGGCTTCCTCAAACCACTCTGCCGCTTCCGGTGCCTTCCAGTCTGCACACAAGAACGCTTCTCCCGCCGCCATGTCGCCCTCCATTCTACCTCCTCTCGCCAAGGGACAGCGCGCCGCCGCTGACGAACCCCGTCAAGAGCTGCCGCGGCCCTACAAGTGTCCGCTCTGCGACCGTGCCTTTCACCGCCTAGAGCACCAAACTAGACATATCCGCACGCACACCGGCGAGAAGCCACACGCTTGCCAGTTCCCTGGCTGCTCCAAGCGATTCAGTCGCTCAGACGAACTGACCCGCCACTCAAGAATCCACAACAACCCAAACTCGCGAAGAGGGAACAAGGCACAGCAGCTGGCTGCGGCTGCGTCCATGAACGGCATGCCCGATCCAAACCACGCCGCCGCCGCTGCCATGATGCCGCCGCCAAACAAGCCCATCACCAGATCCGCGCCTGTCTCGCAAGTCGCTTCGCCAAACGTGTCACCGCCGCACACCTACGTCACCTATGCCACTCATCTGCCCTCGAACCTTGGCCCGTACGGTCGAACGGCCGGGGAACGCCCAACGTCTGCAATGGACATGAACATGCTCGCGACTGCGGCGTATCACGTTGAACGCGACGATCTCGCCTCGTACCATTATTCCTCCAACGTTGCGGCTTCTCGCTCGCCATTCCACAACGGATTGCGCCCGGCACATCACTCCCTCCATCCCAACAGCCGACTGCCATCCTTGTCTGCCTATGCGTTGTCGCACTCCATGTCCCGGTCGCACTCGCAAGAAGACGACGACTACGGCCACCGGGTCAAGCGTTCAAGACCCAATTCTCCCAATTCAACCGCTCCCTCTTCGCCTACCTTCTCTCACAACTCACTGTCGCCAACACCAGACCACACCCCACTTGCCACGCCGGCCCACTCCCCGCGCTTGAGACCGTTCATCGCCAATGACTTGCATCTGCCTGCCTTGCGACACCTGTCTCTGCACCACACACCGGCCTTGGCTCCCATGGAACCGGCAGCCGAACCGCAGACTCACTATTCCCCCGCGCAACCGCACTCCGGTCCTTCCATCTCGGATATCATGTCTCGTCCAGACGGCACCCAGAGGAAGCTCCCCGTGCCGCAGATTCCCAAAGTTGCCGTCCAGGAGGTTTTGAATCCGGGCGGCGGCATCGCCTCTGGCAACTCGTCCGTTGCCGGCGGTGATCTCGCGGAGCGCTATTAGATCCCTGGCATTTCGATTTTGAAAAAAAAGATCAAAAGAAACGAAACGCATGCATTCTCAAAAAATCTTATTTGCATTGCTCGGCGACTATAGCAAGAATTATCCGGAGCTTCTTTTACACAAAAAACATTTTTTACTTATAGACTGGAATGGGGGTTATGGGGTTTGATTTGATTTTTTATTTTTTACTTGTCTTTTCTCCAATTGATTACTCTGGCACAAAAAAGCAAAACCTTGATTTCTTTCCTTTCTCTTCGACCATTATTACTATTCGACAAACCATTGCCGGCTCACCGGCCTGGACTGGGAACTCTCTGCTCTTTGTCTCGTTTGTTGCGGGGAACAACCAGGTGTCCTGCTGGAGCCCAAGAAAAGATTGCTTACACTTCTCTGCCGCCTGTGTTGAATTATTAGCACTACTATCCTTCCATTCTATTTTTTTTTCTACTTTTCTTTTTTCCTACGTCAGCAAGCTTGTATTACGAAACCAAGATAGAGAAGAGCTGGACTACGAAAACAGACACAGTCCACTTTGAAACCGGGCAACCGAGATGAATTACTCCTAATCAGATATACACACATACTCTCTCTCTCTCTCCCCCACTTTCTCTCTCGTTTTGTCAGTTTTCCAATTTCCCTTTCGTCGTCCTCTCTCACTTGTCACTTGTGCCAGTCTTATGACCGTGCAAAGAAAGTAATATAAAAAAAAAAAAAAAAAAAAAGAAAGAGAAGCAAGGATTAATACTTAATAATACAACATAGAATATTATTATCTAAAATGATCGACGCTCGCCCAGCGATCCTGTTCTGCCTTGAAATCTCTCCGCATCCCCCATCGGTTATTAGCTCAAAGCAAGAACAAGATCCTAGACCGGAGTGCGCGGAAGAAAAGAAGACTGCTTTTTTTGATGTAACCGCGAGAAAAAAAAAAAGCCAACAACTAATAAGTAACTACTCCGATGTGTGAAACGACGTATATACGTTTTCCTCCACTGCATAAAAGTGGTTTTGCTTCTGGGCCGTGGCTTTGCGGTACCTTACCTTGTCGTTAGGACCCCTGGGGCTTCTGCTGGTCTTGTCGATCTGCTTGCATGGGGGGGGTGGATTGAGCTATCTGTGAAGGGTTTTGCTGTTACAGATCGTTAAGAGACAAGACTTCTTGTGGGGAAAATAAAGTAGTATAGCACTAGCAAAAAGCTGGAGGGGAAGGGAGGAAGAAAAAAAAAGGGCAACGCCCCTGACAAGCCTGCGCATTGGCCTTGCTTGGGGCGGGGGTGCGAGTTGAAGATCAGTTGCGCCGGCTGGAAAATCGGGAAGAGCATTCTCGGAGAGACCAGCTGAGTAGCTTCAGGGTCCCGGCATGGATGACCGGTTAGATTCCAGAGATTCAAAGTGCGGAGGAGAAGGAGAAGGGAAAAAAACTCCGTTCGAACAGGGCCAGACCAGAATTCAACCTATTTGACGCCGAAATACTCCGCCGTCGGTCTCCTTTTGGTTGCTATGACCGGGACCAGGATTCTCTCTTTTCGGAGGAAAACCTTTTTTTCTTTCTCTCGACTCTCGAGCCTCGAAGTTCTGCTGCTATTTGTTGCTTAGGAAGATTCTCGAGGCCTCCCCTGGATCCTCGTCTGTCCTCCCCCGGTCCCGTCCTTGCCTGGTGCAGGAGAGGTTGCATTTACTGGGTACTATGGAGGAAGGGATATACGTATACGTATACTCCGGGACTCATTCGGCCATCTAGCCATCATCGTCAAACCCTGGAGATCGATGCGTCAACAAGGACGATGACGGAACAAGGAAAAAAGGACCTGTTCCTCTTCATCGTCGTCATCTTCCTACTCGCCTTCCTGTCTTCTCGATCGATTTCAAATGCAGCGGGGGCGGGAGGGGGACACGCACAGGTCCCTCTCTCCTCTCGTCCACCTCGTCGCCTCCATCGCCCTGCAGTGGAGAGAATCCGTGCGCGATTCTGACACCGACTGACGATCAGAATCGTGCTCCTTCTTCGATGAGGGCAATGAACATACACAATCCTTCTCCTCCCTCCCCCCGCCCCTTGGGGTAACTTACTGTTCCAAGGTACAAAACTCCGCCCGGTTTGCAAGCTCGCTTGAAGGCGAAACACGTTGGATTGCCAATCAATCGGCCACCCTTCCTCTCTTCCCATCCGCTCCTCCCCCCTCCTTTCGATTCTAGAAGCAGGAGAATGCGTGGGTCTTGATGCGCGCAAGAAGAAGATCATCCTGTCAAGGACGAAGATGAATGCACGCAGAAGTTTAAAACATTCCAGAAGTTCCAGAAGACACCCCTGGCCCGCTGGGGGGTGCTGTGGGTTCTTTCTTTTGGTCCTTTCTCAGATGCCTGGTCAAGAATTGGGGTCTCGCCCTCTGCGTGTGTGCCTTGGCTGAGCGCGAGTGGGTGAGGCGAGGGCTGATAGAGCAGCATTATTGCTGGGTTCAAGAGGAAAGAAAGAAGCAGTTCTGCTGCAGGGAGTCGGATGCCTGACAAGACGGTACCGTAAGTTTCGCGTTCGATTAGATGAGATAAGATAACGGTGTTTAAAGTTTGAACGATTGATTGGCTTAACTCTCGGTTTCATGGACCATTCAGAATGCTAGAAACAATCAAGTTTGCAAAACTAATAACCAATCAAAAGCCTTATTCTTTTTGCGGTGATGTCACAGGGACAACACCCGCACTAAACCATATTAGGATTCGGCGCGTCTTTCACCGATTGAGCTCTTCGTGATCGGTTTCTATCCCATTTGCTCTCCACCGCGTCAGAAAGCACATGAAGGCCAAGCTGTGGGCTGATGTGCTCTGATTATTCCTCCCATGCAGTGAAATTATACTTGCGTGCTCCCATTTGACCGATAACATACGCCACCATGGCTCCGCCGCGACAGCGAGGACCAGCAGCAACCAACCTCGACGACTCTAGGTCAGAAGCGTCAAGCGGCCAGCGAGAGCGGCAATTTGGTGCGTCCAAAGGTCGCAGAGGAGGGAATACAGCTACCGCGACGAGCAAGGATGCAAAACCCCCGCATCCGGCGGTTGTACTCGCAGGCGAGGCTGAACAGACAACGACAGAACACCCTGCAGTGAGTTCTTGGAATTTTTCGTGCAATTTGTCTTTACGCTTTGAGGTGAATTTAACGCGAAACTACTTTTTTCCCTTCTAGATCAACTGGTCCACCATGCCCCTCTCCGTGCTCCATCAATACCGCTACGTCCACAACCTCCCGTGCCCCAGCGCCTTCTCCTCACAAATCAATTCCATCCTTCTCTCCCGCGGAATCGGCCTCCGCTCCCCCACCGCCATCGCAGCCCGCAACGCCCAACGCGCCGCGAACAGGACCCCGCAATCTTCGTCGTCTTCCTCTAAAAGAGCCAAGGAGGCGACATCCGGGACGCAGGACGGCGTGGGTTTGCATCCCGTTTCCCAGGCGCGAGTGTCCAAGGACCATCTGGCGTCGGCGGTGAGGAAGCATTTTAATAACACGGCGATATCGGAGCAGGATGCTATCGCGAGGTTTGTGTACAAGGTTTCTGAAGAGAGGAAGGGGAGGGACTTTCGGTTGCGGTTTCAGCCATAAGAGCAAAAGTACCTGGGAACATAACGATTGAGAGGCATAGAGTTTCGGCAGTTACCGGTGTTGTTTGGGAGTTTGGTTTTGTTCTTTTTTCGCTTTGAGGAGGATATGGCTTTGGGTTTTTGAAGTGGATATTATGTCTTTATGCCCCGCCGGCGTTTTTAGTTATAGATATATAACTATCTGAAGCTTGGAATGACTCGTAAATATGCGCAGTATAACATGAGAAATGCGACGATGCTGTCTTTTCTGTTTGGATTGAATCATGAATGCCTCAATGTCGACGGCGGAGTTTGCCCTTTGGCCAGTTCCCAAACGTCGTTGAGTCGTCTATCGGAGTATATACGTGCGAAAGGAATTCACTTTCAGCGCTTTTATACGTCTTCCAACTCGACTTCCTTGTAACTGGAGAGTGCATGCGACTGTCCCATATCATTCTATCCCTTCTGATTTTTTTTTCTTCGCTACTTGTTGCGAAGGCGGCAGTTTATTTCCGTTCAAAGAGACGAGCCTGCTGTGGAGTTGGATTCCGCTCTCTTGAATTCTTCATAATGCAGCTTTGTTTGGCATCAACCAAACAATTGGCTTGTTTTCCCTCCATGGCCCAATGATTCAGGCTCAGCTCTGGCGGTGAAAATATCTGGCATCCCTCAACAACTTACTCAACGGCTCTCAAACTCAGACCACCAGATCTCTGCGCGCTCCGAGCCGAAAAGCTATGGTTGTCCAATTCTGTGAAGACTGCGGGAACCTTCTCGACGACATTCCGGATGAGCTTTTACGCTGTGAGCTATGTGGTCAGACCGCCAAAAGTAGTCTCCCCCCCCCCCTTTTCCCTCCGCTTTGGGGGGCCCCCATTGTTTCACTTTTGCCTGATCGTTGTTCTCTCGAAATAGATACAGCATTGAACTATACGCAAACGTCTACCTCTGAGAATTTCCCGTCGAGGCTGAGGAACAAGCTCAAGTCGTACACTCAGGAGGTGACGAGGGAGGCGGTCGGGTCGGGTCCGCAGATTGAGATGGATTGTGTCAAATGCCCGTCGAGAGAGGTGACCTATGCCCAGGTGCAGTTGAGGAGTGCGGATGAAGGGAGTACCATCTTCTATACTTGCATGAAGTGTAAACATAGGTGGGTAAACTCCACGGTTTTCAACCTAGGCCCATGAGCTAACATTGTGATTTAGGTGGCAGGAAAACAACTAAGCAGACGGATCTCGATTGCCTTGATTCTGGCCGTGATAAAACAATCTACTGGCTGGAGCCGAGTTGAGTCCTGATCTGATAGTATACGGGGAACCGAAGGAGATAGAGCGGAGCTATCAATGCCAAAAATCCAGTAACATGCTACTACAGTCTTTCCCTCCTCGTCTGAATGTCAAAATGAATGCTCAATATTGCCAGACAGTGCCATCCACTGTGAGATGTACAATCGATTGGAGAATAATGTGGTCCGTGCTTGTGGGTGCGAATCAGCAGCTTGGGAATATCATTGGCATTTTTTGCACAAGTAGGCTCTGTTAGAGAGACGGAGAAAGTAGAAAACAGGCAGGCGGGGCTCTTTTGCATAGAAGCAAAACGGGGGCGGATATAATACTTGATGGTTTGCTCGAGATTTGCAGAAATGTAGTTCAAGCCGAAATGAGCTCCCAAAGCCCTTCATTTAACCATGACATAAGTTGAGGGAGGTATATCTCCAAAATTTTGGATAAATCTAAATACATATTGTTGAAAAAAGGGATGCCTAAAAGGTGTCCTAAAGATTTCTGAGTGCGGAAGGAGTGCATGGAAGGAGATGGGATGCAGACCCGTTCTACTCCTTGATGTAAAAATGCTCTCCCCTTTCCAGTACTTCAACTTCGTCACCAACATGGATTGTGAATTCTGAAGAGGCAACTGTTAGCAAGATGGATAGACACTAATCGACAAGACAAGCACTTACTTTGCGAAACCGGAACCAACATCATTCCCAAACAACCACTTTTGTCCGCGCCTGCGTCGATATTTCTCATTGCTTTCAGCGTCTTATCCGGCTCAACCTGATGTCTCTCGCCCGTGTCGGGGTCCACATTGGGCAATCGACATCTCACCGTGCGACACGCAACGAGTATGTCAACGCCCTTCTTGTCATCGGACGATGAAGATGGCATAACCCTGCTCTCCGGACCCGGTACAATGCGCATCTTCTTCCAGTCATCTTCATCATACGCCTCCAATCCTTCAAGGACAATGTTCGGCCGAAATCGACGGACAGTGAACTTGGGGATAGCGTATTTAACCTTTTCCGCCATGCTTCTGATACTAGCCAGATTTTGCATTTGAAGAGGATACTCGTCTGGGAATCCCATGGTTGGTTTGAAGCCGAGATCGGCTTCGGTTGGAGCGTTTCCGCGTACTGGACGAGGGTGCTCAGGGTCGAAACGGAATAAGGATAGAGGCTTGGTGCTGCCTAAGAATGCGCCTAGAGAGCTAGGGATGTGGGTGCTATAGTTGTATGCGTTGGGGGTGTCGCTGAATATGCGCATCGGGATGGAAGAGTACTCGCCGTCAGGCGGGAAGAGCGGTACCTGGAACGATTCTTCTCGCGAGCAGAGGTTAAGTTTCATGCCGAGCTTGGTGAACAAACCAGTTCCTGTTCGGGGAAAATTGATCACCAAAACACCCTTGGAGCGGACTTCCGGAGCCTTGGGAGAGTATGTCGGCGATGAGGGGTCGGGAACCCAGATCTCAGGCCGTATCAAAGCCATTTTGCTAAATTTACCATCACGAAGGGTCCGACAGTCCCAACGACCCGCCACGGCTTTTTTACCATCATCATTTTTAGCTGTCGTTTCGATGTACTCCGCAAAGGCGAATTGGCGGTCGTACATCAGTCCAGTGTTCGTGCCATCGGCAAAGTTGAATTCCACACCAGCACAGCTCTTGATCGGGTATGAGATCAGTGCTTTGACTTTGATTTTCTTCTCCCCTTCCGTCCCATCCTTGGAGCGACTCTTCACGCCGTTTGTGCTGTACTGGTGTTCATCAGCGAGGTTGGAGAAAGATTTCAGTCCCAGTTTTCGACATCCTCTCGGCTGTCGGGACCGGGTTCGCCGGCCCGCGAGCTCATTGTACAGGAGGAAGAGGACGGGCGTGAGGCAGACGGAGTAGATGATGAAGAGGGAGACGGGAACGGGAAGGTCAAGGCGGGGTACGATAGCAGCCAGCCGGAGCATGGTTCTTCGCCGGTTGCTTCAAGAACGTCTGTAGTGACGAACCGGGATCAGATCTGAGAAAATCTATCTGGCCTTCGCTGGGCGATTGCTTGCAATGTCAGTGATCGAACGAGATCCGGGCCCTTTGCTAGACAGTCATGACAGGACGGAAGGCTTCGACGACGAGACAAGAGAATGTTAGTACATACGTGTCCGGTTGGATCGGGTTCACAATTCCAATGCCGACGGAGAAATAGATTTTTAAGAGATTTTTTGCGATCAAATCCCCCGGAGAGGTCGTTACTTTGATTAGCAGTTGTAGCCGAACGAGACAGCGTGCGTAGCGAGATGGCAACCCATGGAATCAACCCTCAAAGCTACCGTGAAGAGCAGAAGCTGGGGGGTCGCCCGTCTTTGGTTCTGATAATAAATAGTCCATGATTCCAAATCCTAGGAGGAGATATGGGATAATAAGGGCGCGGTCTCGAAAACTCCCAAGCTCTGATAAGCTCGGCAACACGAGTGACACCACCGCAATAGGCTATCAGAGCCGGTTTGCCGTGAGATTCAGAGCGTCGTTGCGGAATGCGATGCAACCCGTCGTGCGCGGTCATGCAAGGGCGAGCAAGGTGCTGACAGGCATGTGCTCCTTGGTTCTTGATAACAAACAGCCATTCGAGTTGCAAGTTCAATCAAGCGGAATTGGCCATCCAGTAGTTAGTTAGTCAATTAACCGCGACGCGACAAAGAAATCCACACTCTGCAGACTCGACACTCGACCATGACCACCGAAGACACCGCCAACTTCTCCAGTCCCGATAGCCGTACGTATAAGAGGTCCATTCCCGCCGTCGTTAGCCCCGACGTCTAGTTCCATCACGACTAATCTCTCTTCACTAGCTCGCAGACGCTCTTTGAGAGACGCGCCGCACGTCAAATTTGGCCTAGTCCCGGTGCTTGAGGAGGACTCGTCTTTATTGCAAAATATATCGACGGGTCTTCCGCGCTTAGATCTCGCCTTGTCGCTGCCTGCGGAGCCGCGGCCGTCACCGCTAGGCTTGGGTCTAAGCCGGCGCTATGTGGATGGCAACGCGGGCGCGGATGATGATATTGCTGCGGGAGTGCGACGGGGGGAGGTGACGGAGATTGTGGGACCGAAGGGTCAGGAAAGACGGTGCTGGCGTTAGTGTGTCTCGTTTGTTCATCTTGGATTTGATATTGGATTCTTTCATGAGCTGATGCGGATCCCATGATAGGACGAGTTTAGCTGCGGAGGTGTTGCGGTCGCAGCAAACGGTGGATTGGAATGGTACGTCTGTTCTCGTCGCCATTGATCTCGTGGCATGGAAATGCTGGGTTGCAGTTGATTAATATGTGATATACAGATACTGCGGGGCCGATATGCATTTCTCGACTACAATCTATACTCAGGGAGAGACGGGAACGGTCTCCAGCGGAGGGTGAGCCGTCACTGGCAGACAACAAATTCAATCTCGAAAAGCTCCTACACTTCCGACCAGCGTCCCTGGCACACCTGATCGCTCTCCTCTCGCATCCACCCCGTGGCTTCCCTCCTAAGAGCACGGGCCTAATTGTGGTTGATTCGATCTCGTGCCCTTTTGCTGCCGAGTTTCGACCCAGGCTACCGAAACGGTTGCGTGGGGCCGAACTCTCGCACGCGGAGCAGACCAAGTTAGAGAAGGAGTCAAGCCTGTATTTCAGCCTAATTGGGAGTATCTTGTCCGATTTACGCAGGCTGGCAATCCGTCTAAACTGCGCGACGGTGGTTATTCATGAAATGGGATCTCGGGTCAAAACCACTAGGCAACCGATGCTTCATGAAGTGATTTCCGGATTTACCTGGGATGCTGGAATTGCTTCGAGTATACTTTTATATTGGCATTGGTTGCCGTGGCGGATGAGAAAACAAACGGGGATGAAAAGGGTTAGGATTGCGGAAGTACGAAAAATCGGCGGGGCAGGCCTAGCGGAGAGGTCGATACGACGGATTGTCCCCTTTACGGTTGAAGTAGTAAGTATCGATTTGTCCTGCTGGCCCGACATGGGATGCTTATCGTGTTTAGGGTGGTCCCCGGGAGATTCTGGATGAGGACTCGATTGCCATAGCGGTTCCAGCGAGCCAAAATATACCGGATATCGCGAGCGAGAAGCGAAAATTCGACGGGATGGACAGCACTCCGAGCCACAGATTGAAAGTTGAGCCGACGATTGTGATTACAGGCCCTGATGATGGTGATGACGACGACGAGATCTTGGATCCATTACCAGGCGCCAACGAAGAGGACTACGAAGTGCCGGATAGCGAAAGCGACTTCGAGCGCGATGACTTGATATCCGATGGCTCTAACCATGTTGAGTCGGAGACAGAGATTTTGTTTCAGACTCTCCAGGACGACTCGTATCTGTATGATTGACGTTAGGTGTTGAAATGAGAGTATTGGAGACTGCCTGCTCCGTATCAACGAGGCAAAGAATGCAGAGGAATGAACATCGATGGGCACTTGAGATACGACCGATATCACAGAGGATTTCATCTCGGCCTCGGATAAACCCAGTGCTCGCCGATGACGCACATGCTGGGGGTATTCTCGATGATTATTAGCACAACATGATCATTGCCATGGCCGCATGGCGTGACGTCCGGGAGCTCCGTGATTAGCCAATGTCTGCATGAGTGACGGGGGATGGGTAAATCCGGGGTAACTCGCAAAATGGTTGGGGAGAACAGTCTCTTTGGGCTTTTGCCACGTAATATGCGGTGACTATCTCATCTCAAGCCTGACCAGAATCAGGGCGATGGAGGATGGAAGTACTAATAGTAGGCATACTATACTCCAGCCAATGCTAATAAGACCAACTCCCTTCTGGAGGGCAATCACAATGTCGCTGTGCCTCGGCTCGGCGGATGGCTCGCCAACAGCCCTAAAGGTCCGCCGTATTCGTTCTTGGCACATCCGGGCTTCCGATGCAAGGGCACAGCCAATCAGAGCCCGCGGATTGGGCGCAAGAAAAAGGAAGTCGCCGGCTGGGGTAAGCTTACTTGTCCGGGCAGGGGCCCCACGAGTCTAAATAGAGCCGGCCAATGAGAAGACAAGACAGGGTGGGGACTTGGAAATCCGTTGGGGGAAGCCTGAAGGGGAAAGGCGTCGATGTTTTCAGTGTGAGAGCGCCGTCGTGGAGAGGCTCTGGCTGAATCGATAATAGTTATTCAGGAATAGGATGGTTTGCGAAGCTGAGCTGGCAGGCGATCTTCGGTTGGTTCTTTGTTGCTTTCGAGGGGAGTGGTTTGGAAGGAGGGAGCGACATGCTTTGTATGCTGGATTGTGCCAGAAAAAGTTGTTGGGGAGCGCTGTCATGACATGGTATTGTATGTACAGAACCGGCGAAATCGAAGCGCGGTGCAGGACAGCGTCCACGATTGATCTCCAGCACTACAATTTCCCAGTGCTGCCTTGAATTCTCCGTCAAGACTTGGTCCAAAGACCATTGAAATATGCAGAATCATTTGAGACAGTCTTGCAGGGAAAGTCAGCAGTGTTGCCTCTTCTGTTGATGGGAGCCAAAATTACCGGGAACTAGTAACCATCAACTTGTTCTCTCCCAACAAGAACCAACTTGTGGTACCGCAGTCACTCCGGCGAACTCTGCGCGGCATCGATCCCTGCCATCCACCAGCCGAGCGGAAAAAAAAAGGCCAGAAAGAAGCAAAAAGAAGAGAGTGACACCACTTTTTCCTTTGCTTCTCCATCTCCTCCTTGACATGTGCCTCCCGTCAACCGCAACGCCAACAGGTTGAGTTCAGGTTTCAACAAAAACTGTGGGCCTCGCTGTGGCCAACATCCAACTCGCTGTTCCATTTATCTCGCCCGCTGCTTCTGCTTGATCTTCTTTTCCTCCCTCTCTTCTATCCCTTCCATCAGTCTTCCTTGCACCTTGGTCTCTTTGACAGCTCCTTCTCACCCGGACCTCAACCCACGGACAAACCAAAGACCCCTCCGAGTGCATCGACACACCGAACCGTCACCATGGCTTCTCAAGAAGCCGTGGCTGTAGAGTCCTCCAAGGCTCCCTCGACCGGAAATGACAACAAGAAGCTTCATATCACAGATACCCCGGTCACACTGTCCACCTGGCACAAGCATGTCAACTGGTTAAACGTGATTCTGATCTTGATGGTTCCCTTGTATGGTTGCGTTCAGGCATATTGGATTCCCCTTCAGATCAAAACCGCCATCTGGGCTGTTCTCTATTATTATATGACCGGTATTGGTATCACGGCCGGTATGTCTCCCTTCAACGCTCTTTTTGCTCTGGATCCGACTAACTCACTATCCCAGGTTACCATCGCCTCTGGGCTCACTGTTCCTATTCTGCAACGCTCCCTTTGAGAATCTATTTGGCTGCCGTCGGTGGGGGTGCCGTCCAGGGCTCAGTCAGATGGTGGGCTCGCGATCACCGTGCTCACCACCGTTATACCGATACCGACAAGGACCCATACTCGGTTCGCAAGGGCCTCTTGTACTCCCACCTTGGCTGGATGGTGATGAAACAGAACCCAAAGCGTATCGGCCGCACTGATATCACTGATCTCAATGAGGATCCAGTCGTTGTCTGGCAGCACAGGAACTACCTCAAGGTCGTCCTCACCATGGGTTTGATCTTTCCCACCATTGTCAGTGGCCTCGGCTGGGGAGACTGGTGGGGTGGTTTCATCTATGCTGGCATCCTGCGAGTCTTTTTTGTCCAGCAAGCCACCTTCTGCGTCAATTCCCTGGCCCATTATTTGGGAGAACAGCCTTTTGATGACCGCAACTCTCCTCGAGACCATGTTCTGACTGCCTTGATCACCATGGGTGAAGGCTATCACAATTTCCATCACGAGTTCCCCTCTGACTACCGTAACGCTATCGAATGGCACCAGTATGATCCTACCAAGTGGATCATTTGGGTATGGAAGCAAGTCGGCCTCGCATACGACTTGAAGCAATTCCGTGCCAATGAAATCGAGAAAGGCCGCATTCAACAATTGCAAAAGAAAATCGACCAAAGACGTGCTAACCTTGACTGGGGTGTTCCTCTCGAGCAGCTGCCCGTTATGGAATGGGATGAGTACGTCGAACAGGCTAAGAACGGCCGTGGTCTCATTGCTATTGCCGGAGTCGTCCATGACGTTACCAATTTCATCAAGGATCATCCAGGAGGCAAGGCCATGATCAACTCCGGCATTGGCAAAGACGCAACCGCCATGTTCAATGGCGGTATCTACAACCACTCCAATGCCGCTCACAACCTCCTGTCGACGATGCGTGTTGGTGTTATTCGGGGCGGTTGCGAAGTCGAGATTTGGAAGCGATCCCAGCGAGAAAATAAGGACATCGAGTCCGCCCGTGATGCCTATGGCCAGAGAATCATCCGGGCCGGCGAACAGGTGACCAAACTCCCTGAACCAGTACCAAGCGCCGGCGCTGCATAATCGGTTTCCATTCCTCGCACAATTCTTCTACCAACTCATTTTGATGTCTTTGACTCATTGTAATGGCGATACGAAACGGCCGTGCTGAGCGAAGGCTTATGTGCAACAATTTCTCTCTTCTCCGCATCCATTCACCTCTTTCGTCTCGTGACAAGCCTAATTTTCTCTACCTAAAAATACCTTTTGAAGCGAACCCGATACTCTTAAAGGAAGGGTGGATAGTTGTTGTGTTTCCTCTTTAAAAAAAATTGCCTTTAACGATGTATCCCTACTTGTATTGTGCTTCCTGTTCCACATTTCTCTACCTTTGCGTTTGGCGTTCTGGTTTTTGGTCGGATGGACCGGGTCATATTTCTGTCGAGGGTTTGTTAGATTGGTTCTAATTGTATGCAGTACGTCAACTACCACAGTTTGATATTTTTAAAAAGGTGTTGAAACACTTTACTTAGCATAAGAGGAAAAGCAGATTCTTTTGGTTCAGGTTGGAAGGAGATCAAACATCTATTATGCATGACCCACACGACGTCCCGCCTCAACATGTTATTAGTCAACGGTTAAATGCCAAGCCTGCTCCCAAGCTCGGATTATTATCCCAACCTCCGTCAACGACAGGCCTATTTACATTTACTCACTTGAAGCATCAAATTGCTTTCCTTTTTAACATGCAGCAAATCATCAAGATGAACAGATTTGCTGGAATCAAAAGGCCACTGGAGACCATATGAGAAACATTCCAGTAGTCAGATATTCATCGAATTATTATCAGTGAGAGGAGTCATTCTGATATACCAAAAGTGCACCCAGGTCACTCCTTTCAGTGAAATCTTGTCAACAGAATGCCTGAGAGTCTGGAGGGCATGAACCCAAAGGCCAGCAATATCTATTGTGAATATACTCGGCGCGAGGGAGGGTTAAAAGCCCAAACCCCCCGCGTTTTCGTCAAGCTTACGAAAGGTTACGAAAGATTACACCGGCAGATACCCTCGAACCGGGTTCCATCATCAACTCGATGGATACAGAATGTTCTCTGCCTAATCCCGAACATATATTTGGGATAGATCGTCTATTGTTTTAGCCGGACCATGAACTCAACCTTTACAAGCCGCAAAGAGGGTCGCAATTTGCTTCTTTTATTCTACAAACCGTTTGATACATTTCAATGAATACTATCTACGTTCTACAACGGAATATAGGGATTGCCTGCCCGTTTCATTAGGCGAACCTGAAAAATTCCTGCGGGGAACGATGGTACAGAATGCTGTTGCATATCAAGAGTTGCATCAGCTTCACCGGCATGCCCTGACACACTACGGCGTGTTCCTCCCTCGCCAAGCTATGCGTGCTACGGAATAATCTCTGATCAGTCGAGTTTTGATTTAGGGCCCATAGTATAAGCCGGGACGGAAACATATCGTACTCACACTACGCAGAGTGGACAGACAGGAAGGATACTCAAAGTTGTATGCACAAATTCTAGAGAATGTTCTTAGCGGTATGATTCATAGACCTCTAGTGGAGACTGGAGTCTTTGTGAATTATGTTTCCCAATAAAAATAGTAAGTCTCAAAATGACATACATATCCCGTCAGGCCACTTGCTGGGTATGCAAAAACATAGTTGAAGTTACTCCCTAGCTGGGAATCGAACCCAGGGCTGCTGTGTGAGAGACAGCGATGTTAGCCACTACACCACTAAGGACTTGATAGAGCGCTTGAGTTTTGGCCCTATATCTGGTAAATTAAAATGGCGAAAGCAAAAAGGTATCCACCAGGGACAAAAAGTAAATTCACTTCGCTCCCTAGCTGGGAATCGAACCCAGGGCTGCTGTGTGAAAGACAGCGATGTTAACCACTACACCACTAAGGATTACTGTAGAGACCGAATTGGCTGTAGGATCTAATGTAAAAAGGCGGCTTTGGCATGGGTGTGCGGCGTGCCCCGTCGAAAACTGAGTAAAGACCCCATCTATCCAGGAAGTCAACCAAACAACCTTTCCGAAACCTGCAATACATAGCACAAAATCAATCAATCAATCATTGTGCAGCCTCTGCTCGACTCTTGACTTGGTAGCCGTCCATACTCCGCACATCGAGTCATGAGCTAACTGACTCTAGAATAGCCAGCTAAACGTTCTTGTGAGACGGATCTCCAAACTCGAGCTCAAGGAGACCTTGTTTGATTAAGCTATGACTAGTCCTTCAATCATACAAGTTGATCTTTTAAAAGGGACAACTTCATTGACCGTCAGGCTTTCGAATGGTCGTTGACTCGTTGCCCAAGTCTGATCTCGATTTGCTTCTGTTTGTGTGTGTCGATATCACAGCAGCTGAGTGCTTCCGAATTGATGGGTGAGGGCGGCGGCAACGATATCCCCAGATCTTCGCTTATCCCGGTCCGTGCCTTTTATCTCATTAATCACAATAGAAGTCAGCCTTCCATCCAGTCCTTAGTGGTGTAGTGGCTAACATCGCTGTCTCTCACACAGCAGCCCTGGGTTCGATTCCCAGCTAGGGAGTAACTAATAATTTTTTTGTTTCTTTTCTTCCTCCTCCTCCTCGCCTTGGCTCAGGGAAACATGACCTCCTAAACGAGTACTCCATCCGGAGTAACTAGTTGTCGACTGACCAAACGCCCTTCAAATCACAACTCACCGTCCCCTCTCCGCTGCCCTTCAACAACAAAATCACCTTTCCGAACACGAGCCCTTCGACGCACGGCCAGTGAGACCATACAGAAACGAGGAAAATGTTTTAGATGCTGTTCCTTGGCGCGCCACTTCTTCAATGGAGATTCGATCATGGCTGATCGTCTTGGACGAAAATAGCTCCATGTCTCAGTTTCCGGGAGGCGGAACGGTGAGATGACTTCAACGGCTTGCCATTGTTCAGCTCGCCGTTGAGCGGAAGTCTGACCAACGGAGGGATATAAAAGAGCAAAGGATGTCCGGGTACCAGAGGGGATTGTGTCACTCAAAACATCCTACTCCGTACTACTGAAGCCTTCCTTCCGCTCTTCAAAAATGCGTTTCTCTACCATCCTGCTCGGCGCTCTGGCCGCCGTCACTGCTTCCGCTACACCCACCTCGTGCCCTCCACCCAAGCCTAACAAGGAATTCGGCGTCGTCGCCATCCACGCCGGCAGCGGTGTCCACAACCAGGCTTTCAATGCTGCCTTGAGGAGCCTGTTCGCCGGCCTACCTGACCAGAACGCTCAGTGCAAACGGTCCAACGAGAAATTCGCCACTTTTTACCTAAAAGACGGCGCGCTCTTCTTATACACACCCAAGTCCGCTGAGAAGCAGCAGATATTTGTCGACCGGTCTGGCATGGGTATGGGATCTTTTCTTATGTCACGACTTCTCGGTAGCTTCATCCATCTAAAGTACTAATCTCTCAATGTAATAGGTATGGGTAAAATCGGCTACCTTACTGGTGATGAGGGAAAGCCCCGGTATGCCGAACTCACTGGGTGGTCGATCAACGGGGACAACCACCTTCAGTTCGCTGGAAGCGACTTGGTTGCATGCCCAAACAGTCTCAACGGGTCGTGGAGCATCTGGGCTTCTGGGTTCAAGACCCCGGGTCATAACCAGAACTGCATCGACATTGCATCGCGCGTGGAGTATACGAAGGATCCTAATCCTTGCGTGTACTCGCGATCTCCGTAGTATTTTGGATTGTGGAGGAAAGCCTTATTATTCTAGAGGGAGTTTTATCGCAAATTGCTTGTCTATATACCTAATATACAATGGAAATATAATAATCCTACGGATCCACTGTCCGGACAGATCTAGTTTGGCAATATTAAATACTTTTGTGTACTCCGTAATATTGTTCGGAAGGTCAGAAAGTTGGGCCCTCAAGAACTGCTTGCTGCTTTGACTATTCACATGTGCCTTGGCATGATAACAAATCCTTAGTGGTGTAGTGGCTAACATCGCTGTCTCTCACACAGCAGCCCTGGGTTCGATTCCCAGCTAGGGAGTTAAAAGGCATTTCTTTTTTGCTCCCTTTCACTTCAATCTTGCGTTTGATGTGCAGTTTCATTGCTCAGTTTGCTCCTCCGGAATGTTGGCAAAGCGAGCCCGTTATCGATTTACCAAGTGTAAGACATCGTCCAACCCTAGTCAGTTTATCTAAAGTTGAATCTGTCCTTTTGCCGACTGAACTACGTAGTTAATTCTGAATTTTCACATCAAGTCTGTAAATTCATAAAAATAAGCTTGCCTTTGGCTTGACGCATAGTCACCACTTTCTTTGCTACCCAAAATCGACAGGAAGAACCAACCAAACTGGCGCGCATCACCCGCTGCACCTGCTCCGTCTTCTGGCTCGCTCTGCCCCTCTTCCTCGGAATCGCCCTCATCCTGGCTGCCTCACTTCTCCTCCCCGCCCCCAGGCTCCTACTCGGCCAATTCCGACCAAGGCCAACAGCTTTAAAAGCGTCATTTCAATCTTTGATTCCAACCGCAGTATCTACCAGTCGACACCCTCTCACGACAGCAGCCATGGCCCCGTCACATCTGCGAACCCCGCCCCAGGCGCCCCCATTGTTCACAGGAACACCGTCGTCCATCCTCGCCGACACCAAACGGCTCATTGAGCAATCTCGAAAGGTGCAAGATGCCGTAGCCAAGAGCGTTGAACTCGAAGCAGCCACGTTTGACAAAGTTGTGTTGCCGCTGGCGGAAGATGAGAATACCATGGCGTTGGAATCGCACATCTTGGGCTTTTATCAGTCTGTTTCGACTGATGTGGGGCTTCGTGATGCGTCGACTGAGGCTGAAAGATTGATGAATGACTTTGCCATTGAGACAGCTATGCGTGAGGATTTGTTCAAGTTGACTGATGCGGTGTTGAAGAAGGGTGAGAAGCTGGACCCGGAGTCGCAGAAGTTGCTGGAGAAGGAGCACAAGGACTATATCCGAAATGGGCTGGGATTGCCTGCTGGGCCGAAGAGAGATCGATTCAAGGAAATCAAGAAGAGGTTGAGTCAGATCGCCCTTGAATTCCAAAAAAATTTGAATGAAGAGAGAGGTGGTGTGTGGTTGACGAAGGAGGAGCTGCATGGGGTGCCGGAGGATGTGGTTTCAGGGCTGAAGAAGGGCGAGGGAGAGAATGAAGGGAAGCTGTTCTTGACGTTCAAATACCCCGATCTATTCCCGTTGACAAAGTACGCTACGAATGCCGATGTGAGGAAACGTGTCATGATTGCGAACGAAAACAAGTGCAACCAGAATGTTCCTCTGTTTAGAGAGGCCGTCATCCTTCGCGACGAAGCCGCACGGCTGCTTGGGTACCCAAACCATGCTACCTTCCGTGTCGAGGACAAGATGGCGAAAACACCGGAGACGGTTGATAAATTCTTGGGTGATCTTCGTGCCAGGCTAAAGGATGGAGGCCTTAAGGAAATTGCAAAGCTGAAGGAGCTCAAGGCAAATGACTTGAAATCCCGGAATCCAAGCCAAGAAAGTGATGGGCATTATTTTCTATGGGACCATCGCTTTTACGATCGCATGATGCTGGAAAAGGACTACCAATTAGACCACCAACTGATTGCAGAGTTTTTCCCATTGCATACCACTATCCGTGGGATGTTGAAGATTTTTGAGGAACTCTTTGGCCTTGTTTTCGTGCAAATTGAGGGAGAAGAACGAAGCAAGCTTTCAACGACTGGCAAGGGAGATGACATCGTTTGGCATGAGGATGTTCAGGTTTTCAGCGTTTGGGACGATGAGGGCGAGGGCAATGGCTTTGTCGGTTACTTGTATCTCGACTTGTTCCCAAGAGACGGCAAATATGGACATGCAGCCAATTTTAATTTGCAACCGGTATGCATCTTTCTTTTCGATAATAACGTACCCAACTAACACTATGGTTAGGGATTCATCGCCAGAGATGGAAAACGCCGATATCCAGCGACTGCCTTGGTGTGCAACTTTTCTAAACCCACACCTAAGAAGCCTAGCTTGCTCAAGCACGATGAAGTGGTGACACTCTTCCACGAGCTGGGCCATGGTATTCATGATCTCGTGGCGAAGACAGTTTATGCCCGTTTCCATGGAACGAACACTGTCCGTGACTTTGTGGAAGCACCTAGTCAAATGCTGGAAAACTGGTGCTGGACGCCCTCGCAATTGAAATCGTTGAGCAAGCATTTCTCCTATCTCTCACCTGAGTATCTAGAAGCTTGGAAAGATCAGGCAGGCGATAAACCACGACCTTCAGAGCAGATATCTGATGAACTCATCGCAAATCTTATCAAGACTAAACATGTCAACGATGCTTTGTTCAACTTGCGACAGCTTCACTTTGGTATCTTTGATATGACTGTGCATGAGCCTGCAGACCATGATGCTATCCAAAAACTAAATATCACGGAGAAGTATAACACTCTTCGCAAAGAGATTACGAGTCTTGAAGGACCTGAGGCGCTTGGCCTTGGTTATGACTGGGGACACGGTCAGGCAACCTTTGGCCATCTCATTGGAGGATACGACGCTGGATATTATGGCTATCTTAGGTATGATAACCCCATATTTTGTGGGAAGAACGGATGCTAACCTCCGATTCCAGCTCCCAAGTGTACTCGGCGGACATGTTTTACAGTGTGTTCAAGAAGAACCCGATGGATGGGAAGGAAGGGCGGAGATACCGGCATGTTGTTCTTGAGAAGGGAGGCAGCCAAGAGGAGATGGAAACATTGAAGCAGTTCCTCGGCCGCGAACCTCAGCCAGATGCATTCTACAAGGAGCTAGGCTTAGCTTAAGTGGAGAGGTTCATTGCCAGCAGATAGTGCGACATGCCCATTATTGCTGCCAAATATGCACTAGTTATATATGTAACTATCAATACTACTGGGCTGACATATCCCAACAAGGGGCCCTCACCCTCACCCTCAAGGTAGAAGCCGCCAGAGTAGACTTTCACGTGATCTAGCGTTGGCACCACGCTCTTATCGATAAGAGCTCTCATCTTTGCTGACGACGGGGAGGTTACTGAGCTGCGGTCTATGTGCATATTGTCTATAACAATGACATCCTCACTACTTAAGAAATCTGAGTCGCCTAACCTCCCCGGACCTAACCGTCCGGTATCCCCGATCGCACAAGCCGATCAAGATGAACCCTTAGCGACGGAGCCGGCCCGCAAACGAAAGCCAATCCGCACCTACCACTGCGCATTCTGCAGCCACCTCCTCCTCGGCAGCACGCGTGATATTCTCTCCCTACCGCGCCGAAAAGAGCCAGCACTCGACCGTGCCGTGATCATTCCCTTGCCAGCCCCTCGCGCCTCCTCGCCAGCTTCCGAAGAATCTGAACCCGAATCCGAAGGCCCCTCGTCCGGCGCCGAGGGAGAAAAGGACGAAGAGGAGGAAAGAAGACCAGAGAAGCATGTGCGATCCGGTAACAACGACTCGATATCGTCAAAGTCGCGAAAAAGGAGAAACGAGCGGGTGCCCAAGCGGAGCCGCGAGGACCAGGAGTATACCATCTTGCTCTCGACCACGGCGCGGGATCGGCAGCCGCTTGTGGTGCGGCGGGCGGATGGGTTTGAGAAGCGGTGGCTGGTGCGCTGTGGGCGGTGTAGGGTTGTGGTGGGGTATCATCTTGATGATATCCATTTCTCAACTGGGGAGAAGCAGGGGGTTGGGGAAGGCCGGGGAGAGGGCGAAGGGCCGAGAGCGGCTTACTTGCTTCCGGGTGCAGTGGTTCAGACGGGGGAAATGGGCGCGAGTGAAGTTGTTGTGGAAAAGGAGGAGTGGGGAGGGTGGGATAAGTTGTCCAGTACAATGGAGGGCTAGGTTGGTTGGGCCATAATATCCGTACCCGGATATTGGATTGGACCTGAAGCCGCGTTGGCGTTTATAGCAGGTTTTATTGTGACTGTGTTGCGATCATTCTGGGGTTGAATGGGGTTTCGCACCATGTACCATTTACCGCAAACAATGCTTGCCAAAATATACAAAGTAACCATAGGGAGTAAAAAGCGTTGCTTTGCAATGTCAATGTATGTATGTACGAGGATCATTTAATGTCAATTCCCGTTACTTTGTCCCCATAATACCAGCACCTGCCATACACCAGCCGCCGTCAAAAGTAAAAAGCATATCAATGACAAGAAGTAGCCCCCTAAGATACCACAGAATTATCCCTCCAAGTCAAGACCAGACGCTGATTTGAGTTGCGTTGTTGGTTTCTCAAGCAAGGTGATAAAAGTATAGGAAGCCGAAAAACACCCATCAAATTAAGAAAACCTATTGTGTCATAGCCCGTAAAAAGGTCATTCAATTCGAAACGCAAGCGTGTACTTAGTTGGCAAGGATCGTGCGGACAAGTTCTAATCAAAGCGTCATCAGAAAAGTGCTCCTAAAGCAAGATAATGCTGACATCGCATACCAGTGTAATTGATCTCTCCGGAGCTAGTGTCAACGGCCTTGAGGAGCTCATCAACTTCTTCATCGGTCATTTTCTCGCCAAGGTTTGTAAGAACTAGGAGCAAACCAAGGCAGTTAGCAGTCCGCGACCACCAAACAATAAGAGAAGGTCAAATCTCACTGTAGCGTAACTGTCCGACTCCAATAAAGCCAGTCATATCTTTATCGAAAACTTGAAAACCGCGACAATACTCTTCTGGCTCGCCGGGATCACGGAATCCACCAGGGCGGTTAAGAACCTTTTGAAAGGCGTCGAAGTCAACTAATCCAAGGAACATCATCCACATCAGTAAACATTGCTCCAAAAGCCACCGTTTCTCTACATAATTCTCTCCACGCCAAAGTGTATCAGGCCCAAGGACTTACAATCACCACCCATTCCCTTCTCCAACTCTCTGATCTCAGCAAGTGTGGGGTTCTGGCCGCACGCGCGGAGCAGATCGCCGAGCGATTCGAGAGCAACACGACCGGTGCCGCGCTTGTCGAACAGAGAGAAAGCTTCTTTGTAGTTCGTGGAGGCCTGTTCATCGTAGTCTTGTTCAGCTTCAGGCTCCGGAGCAGCTTGCCTGCGATGGGTGTCCGGACGGGTAGGGGCAGTCTGCGCGCGAGCACCAAGGGGCTTTGAGGGGCTCATGATTGCGGGCTGAATTTGGAAATAGAAAGAGGTAGATGATCGGGCTTGGAGATGGAGATGATGATGAAAGTGATGGGGCGGGGAGAGAGAGAGAGAGAGAGAGAGAGAGAGATGCGTGTGAACTGCGTGAGTTTGTTTGCTGTCGCCGGGACTTCAATGTCTCTCGTGGTGATGAACAGAGTCACGTAGCAGGCATCCTGTTTCCGCGGCGATGATACAGCACGTAAATAGCACTGCTCTGGCAGTCTTCATGCTTTCTCTCTTCTTGCGGCCAACCATGGATGCAACCGCGGGCCAGTGTCCCTGGGGCTGGCTTTGCCACAACTCTGCTGACTGGAAAGTAAAAACAGTACGCACCATGTTTGGATGAGGAATTGCTGATTCTTTTGGATTGTTTTTGGATGCTGCAGATGTTTTGCAGGATATAGGGAGGAAGGGAGGTTGCTCAAACTGATTCCAGTGTTTTTGAGGGCATCAAACCAGAGATGTGAGAGGGAGCTCGCCGTCAACACCACTCCCCCTCAAAAACACCTAGGCCCGGACTGGCTTGGTTGCCATGGGAAACAGAACTTCCATACTCACTTGCGAATATCTTCAGCAGATTTTTGATTTTCACTTACTATTACTGAATCTTGAAATATTTCTTACTCATAAGAAATGAAATACTCAGCAGAGAAGATGAGCAGAGTTATTGTTATGATTTTATTCTCAATACTGATCTATCCGTTCGATCCCACGTTCAATTTGCTAATTTGATTTCAGATTCAATTTGCTAGGGACTTGATTCTGGAATTCCATACCCTGCTTAGTTCCATCAAGAGCTAGCCAGTACAGAAGCTAGAGCCACCTACATGAGAAGAGACGAGACGTGAGACCCTCTGGTTTCCAGCTGAGAAGGCAACTCTCACAAAATCATTCGTCTCATCGACAAATTCCTCGAAAGGATTATTGAAAATATCAACAGATGGCTTGCGTTTTGTTGAAAGTATCCACGTTAGGAGGACTCCCTGGCCCTCACTTGGTGTGAGGCTCTGATCCGCCCATCTTTGATGTCCATCGACCAAGTTATACAGAATCCAAATTCATAGTCAGGATTACGGGCCAAGATCAGGAGATGGAAAGGTCCTCTTCGTGGTGGCCGTTTAGTCACCCACCAGTGTTCCTGGCCTCTAGCCTCCTTGCGGTAATATCCAGAAACCCACAACTTACAAGTCGTTCACCACAAAGAGAAAGATACCCAAGTTTATATCGTAACCAGTTCAGCAGCTACTCATGACTATGACGCGTCCAATCTACGACCTGATGCTGAGAGGACAGCAGGTCCTGATAGCCGGCCAGAGAGCTTCATATCTGGTGGATCGCGCGATCAAGAGCAACGTTTTCGAGGGCCACATTCAAGGCACTTCGACTCCGTGAGCTAGCACAGCATAACGCCTCATTGATTGCTGGCAAAACTAACTGAGTGACATGAAAGCGTCATGATAAAAACAGAGGACCTCCCCATTTTATATAAGCGGGAGGTGGGTGCGTATCAGTTCAACTGCATCCGAAACTCGCCTGTCATAAGATCATTGCACGAAGCCGTCGATAATGGTACAGACAAATGCCTGGTATTTGAGTGGATGGACAGTGATTTGTGGTCATTGCGGCATCAACGAAGAGCTCCCAGCAACGCGCTTCTAAAAGTAGTCGCAAAATCGGTTCTGCAAGCTCTGACGGCTTTTGCGGACATGGATGGACAGGGCATTGCCGTCCATACAGGTACGAGTGTCTCCTTGTCCTTGAGCTGAAATGGTCGGATTGTTCTGTATGATATTCAGTATAAGCTGACTAACGCGTTTTCTAGACATCAACCCAAACAACATCCTGGTCTCCAGCGCTGATTCGGCCTCACCAATTGTGAAGCTCGCTGACTTGGGCGGTTGTAAGCAGCATTTACGTCCCTGCAACTACTATGTCCTTGCTGTCTGACTCAGTATTGGTAGTGATCCGGAGCGGAAGATGCTTCGACGAACGTATCCAAGGTCTCGCTATACGCGCACCTGAAGTCTGGATGGGGAAGCCAGTAACTCCCGCGTGTGATGTATGGTCTGTGGGCGTTAGCGTAAGTCCACACCCCCCATCCCCCCTCACAGCTTGGAGTTTACTAATGGCCCCAAGCTGGCTCATTTTCTCGCGACCAAGACATTGTTTGGACCATCAGGACTCACCTTTCAGATTTCATCAAAATCTCCTGAGACGTTGAAAGCAGCGTGGAGCATCGGAAACCTCTTCCAGCTTGTTGGACTTTTCCCCTGGGACAAGGATTCTCAGTACGCGGAGGAGTTTGAGCTTGCGAAGTCTCTTGTTACTGGGGGTCTCGTTGGTACAAAGTCGTTGGAAGACGAGCTTTCAGTCATGAAGGTCCCGAAGGATTGCATCAAGTTCATTTGTCATCTCCTGACTTGGGATCCTGATGAACGACCGACGGCTGAGCAAGCGCTTAGACATCCGTGGCTTCAGGATGTCGCTTAAAGAGTTATTGGATTCTTCTAGTGTTCCCAATCTTCCCTGACAAACTGATATCGCCAAGGAATGGGGGCGAATCAACCCACAGGACGGCACGGACCGCACCCCATCAAATATTTGAGTGGGCTTTGGCGCTTGTTAATCATCAAGCCTCCTTTGCCTTTCTGTCATCCCAACAATCAATGAGTTCAAGGGAGGTGCTTCAGACTGATCTAGAGCCTGGCCCCTCAGAGTATGGGCCCGAGCATACATGTTGGAATTATTTCCTGAAGCTGAAGGATCAGTTGTACCCTGTCTTGCCATGTCTAAATGATTATGCGCCGCATATTATAAATATTTTAATAACATGAAATATAAATTGCATGGAATCCTTCCAGGACAAGATCTCCTGGCTCTCTGCATTGTTATCTTCAATTACACATAAAAGCCTTCTGCTTCTAATCTCGACAATCTAATTCTCTACTCGATACACCCAAGGAGCAACCATTATGGCCCATGCTTTTTCTTCAACCGCTCGGCCCTTGCGAGATGCTGGCTTTATCAGGATGCCGCTCGTGGCCTCTTCTATCGTTCTTCTTGCCTTGATGGCTTATGTGACTGGGTCTTGAATTCAAAATCAGATACTAGTATTTCCACATCACTTGGGTTTTTCTTTTCACCTTCTGATCCCTCACTGAATAAACCAAGTCATAGGTTCTCAAGAGATCCGGGATGGCGCCTCAGATTTGTGATTTAATTAGGTAGAAGGCTGAACCAAGGCCGGCATTTCCTTCTCATGAATGCGCACGAATCCATTCATCTTGCACAAGTTCCTTCGCAGAGCTTCGCTTGCCCGGCTCCCACTGCACCATTTTCCGCATCAGGCACAGAAACTTCTCCCTGTCCTCCTGTTGTTCCTTGAGAGTAGTTTCTCTCTCTTCGAGTGGAACTGGATCTTGCAAAGGAATTCCGGCACGAAATTCGCCTAAATAAGTTAGACAGAACGCAGAAGAGTTGAGAAGGGTGGAAAGGGATGTAAGTAGCAATGAAAAGTGGAGGGGAGAAAAGTAGGTTGCCTACCTTCCTCTGAAAAGAACTTGCTCGCCAGCCTGCCCTGAGCAAGGAGGTTAGGCGGCGGTGACCCAAGAAGACCAATCATCTCAGCTAGATGTGCTCTACTTCGGTAGGTCTGGAGTTCCGGATCATGTCCGGTAAACAGAAACTCGCCTTCGAACATATCCCACGCCACACAGCCTGCGTTCCAGATATCAACGCTGTATGACCATGGAATCTCGAGGATCACCTCTGGCGCTCGATAGAAGTTTGGTTGAATATCTTCCAAATGCTCATCAACATCTCCAGGCATGGCTGAGCCCAAATCGCATAACACGGGGGGGGGCAAAGTTCTTTGGCATTGTGAGTTGGCGGGACTCGTAGATGATGCGACCATCATCTAGTTCTTTCCGTGGACAGGGTGTTTGAAGCTCGCTTTCCTCAAAATGCGTGAAAACCGAATCATCAGCAATGCCGAGCATGATGTTATCAGATTTGATGTCACCGTGGATGATCTTGCATTCGGAATGCAAATAGTCCAGTGCTAGTACGAGATACTTTAGTACACTTGCCATGACTGGAACAGGTAGCCTGTGAATTGGGTTGCGGCGAAGAAAGGTCAAGACGCTCTCCCATAGGGGAGGATGTACAAGACATCTGTGTTTATCCGTGGGCCCGGTCACATCAAAAGAGTCGAGAAGCATCCGCACAGCTTTGCGACCAGGATGAGATTTTGAGCCTCGCTCCAGGCGTTTGTACATATTGAGCTCGCCATCCAGTTGCTGGCCCATGGATGTAGATGTTATGAATATCTTGAGGGTAACATAATTGCAGCGGCTGAAGATGGTTTTAGTTCAGGTATTTAACACAATTGTATGGAGATCGGATCTTACTTCATGTCCCGCGCAAGCCACACAGTCGAAGTTGCTCCATATCCGAGTTTACCAACGACTTGGTATCTCTTATTGAAGACCTCCCCAATGCGAACGGGATAGTACCGCGCGGCGATGTAACCTGGGATCGTCTCTTCTTCGATTTTCTGAGCCAGTGGTATCCGGGGAAAGTTCGAATTTGAAAAGCTAAGAGGCTTCCATCGTCCGAACCGGGGAAGGAAACGTAAAAGCGAGGGAAGCATCGATATAAATGCAGTAAAATCAAATATGACACGGCTGATACAGATTCAAAGAGGTGATGGCGTTGGATTTGATGTCGGTGATGTACTAAGATTCAATGACCAGCAAGATTCTGATTTCTCAAGCATTCACAACAGCTTCTTTCTTCATCGGCTTCTGGTGTTCCTGTTTCCATTCTGCTAGGACATTTGGTTTCAGACTATCACTTCCAATAGCATGCTATGTTTCTGTGCTGTGCCGTAAGGTTCATAACAGTTGGATGGCAGTTGATAGGCAGCAATAGGTTGAATCACAATCACATACTGAACTCGTATGCATCTTCTAAAAGTAGTTCGGCCTTCGAACCACACTACTCACAAATAAGGTAGTAATATTGGAGTTGCTACACAATTCAGCAATCATTTATAACAATCATAGAGAGTCGAAGTCCTGTAGTTTGTGAGATTGGATGCGTGGACATGCATAGCTTACGCATCAAGCAAATCCGGAAGACCTTTTATTATTAAATATTAAATAAAATATTAGATCCGGAAGAGTAGGAGACCGAATTGGAATTATAAAGAAACCGAAAGCCGATTTTTCCAAAGTTAATGATGCGTAATATCGAAGAATAATGTATCAAGTAACCGATTAGAGAACATGTGCTGAGCGTCATTAACTGACCATCCCTGTTTCGTAGCAATTTGTTTGAAGATTGAAATGAACTTAGCAGTTTCTTCGTGGCAGCTCTTCTCTTTCAGATACTTTGGCCATGGCTGACCGTCAACTTGGAATGCTTCCCTGTAGAAAGTTGTCAATGACCGGCTTCAATGAATCGCTAGTGTCGTCCCATGGGTGAACACTTACCATTCCTTCGCAAAATGGGGACGAATGTTAAGCTTTTTGCCTTTCCAGTCCCTGAGTGTCATCCATTTGTCAATCATTTCCTGCGCAAAGCCGTGCCATTCGGCTTCCATGAATCGCGGAGTCAAAACCTCTATAGCACAAGTTCCTAACTTATTCCCGCGCTGTGGTGCCATTAAAACGTCACTGCTTCCCATGATGCGCATTTCAAGGGGCATCCGCAACGGGCATGTTTTGATTTCCTTGTATGTCAGAAGAATTGCCTGCCACCAGGCCTTTCGGACAATGGCAAAGTCGGGGACATTCGAGCCCGTTCCCAACTCGGGAAGCTACAACAGCAGTACCAGTTAAAAATAAGTATATGGCGGGATCTAAGATGAACTCACGGGTATTTCAACTTCGATATCTCGAACCCGAATGTTCTGGATACCACGTCGAAAATGAAGAGCGTTTGGAAGCCAGGTTTCAATCGTGATGTCAGTGGGCAATGCATCCATGCCCATCGTAGCTTTTCATGGCGTTAGTACAGCCTGGGTTTCCCATAACATGGTAAAGTATTACTCACAGATCAACTTTGTTGCATCCTCGGCTGACATCTTCCTGTCCCCCCGAAAGAATTCTTGTAACAACTCAAGCGAAAATGTTTCTTTCACTTGTTTCTTTATCTCATTCTCATCAGGATAATCCTTAACGGAAACCGGGTCTTTTATCTGAGACCATGTGTTGATCCAGATTTTGTCATGGAGTGGAAACCAGAACCACTCGGCGTAATATTCCTTCATCGCACGGTCCTCGAAATTTTTCACGAATGTCTTAATTTGGTCTGGCTTGTATTTGTCATATTTCTCTTTCAGCGCCTTCGGCAAATCTTTCACCATATCTTCTGGGGGTGGGATAGCTTCGATAACAGGCAGTTTCAAGGGTTTCATGGCAGCATAGCTCATCTTATCCAAAACAAGCGTAAGGTGAGTGACAACCCCTAGCAGCCCAAAGCATCCACTAGCAACAGAAAGAAACTCCTTTTGATCCTGTGTTATTTTCTGACACTTGCCGTTCACATCAACATATTCCACAGCATAAACAAGATCACTGAGTGTTTTTTGCTTAATGCCAGCGCCATGGCTAATCAAAGATGACTGTTAGCAACTCTTAAGTGAGAGGCAGAGTAAACCACTCTTACCAAATGGGAGCATTGCTTCCCCCAAGAGTAATCGCAACCATGATCACATTCAACGGCAAGGTTAGGAGCTTGTTCTCTAGACACCACCTTCGCAGGTCCTCATTGGTAGCAGAACAGCCTATGCGAACAAGAGCTTGGTTGGAAGAGATATGTGTGGTCGACTGAAGCACCTCAATCTTGTTTAGCTCAATCTTATAGTCTTTCCAGTGTCCTAGAGCCTCTTGATTTGCTTGGGCTCCCAGAATTGCTCTATCCAATCTAAGGAGTGAGATCAGAATGAACGGCTTATCCTCACTCTTGTCACGGCCAAAAATTGATGACCATGAATGCCCTAAGCATTCTATTAGCACTTAGACATACATTCTCACGGGTGCACATACGGTACCCAGAGACACGAAGACCGCATTTGAGGCTCTTTGCAAGGCCGACAATGGCTTGTACTCCAACGACTGTCTTGGGAATACAAGTATACAACGGGCCATTGAGGATATTCTGGCCCCAGTTGTAAAATACCTCATATTTGTAAGCCTATTCGAGTAGTTTTCCAGCTTTCAATTTAGCAAGTGATAGCAATTTGTTAACAGAAGGTGGCTCACCTCAACTCGATCTTTTTTCTCCTTATCATTGAAGATCTCCAGATCAATCGGAATGAGGTTCTCTATAGCGCCAGGTAATTTTTCTTTGTCTGCGTCTTTTGCAGGCTCATTGAAGTGATCAATTTGAGATTCTTCGGTATCGCCCGCTACAAACTTTTCCAGCAGTCGCTTCTGTCTCGGGGGATAACGGTTCAGGATTTCATTAAATAGCTCTTTGTCTGCTTCTTTAACACGTCTCATTGCCTCGCGGCGGGCTTGTTCATCTTGCATCACCTTGCTCCCATCAATGCGCCCATCCTCCAGTCCCAAGCCGACCATCTTGAGAGCCTTATGTATCTGCGATCAGATATATATCTAGAGAGGGCGGGAGAAGAGCGAGAGGGATCTCAACTTAATGTGCTTGTCAAGGGGGTTCCTTTTCAAGTCAATATATATGATCACCACTCCACTTTGAGCTGCAGTCCTCATAATCTTAAGCCTGCTCAGTAGGGTTGATAAACGGAGATAACCTTTATATATAGCCACCAGCAAAATGAAATCCGCCGTCAAAGATGATAAATACATCATAATACCCGCGCCCCGCGCCCACCCCGCGCGGGGTTTTGAAGAATACGGATATGATCTGTTTGGAAAAGGATTACCCCATGACAAGGATGGCACAGTCTTCCATTGAGGATCGGCTACTGTGGCGGGCTGAAATGTTCTAGAGGGGCGGCGATTTGGAAAAGAGTTCGAACTGCTGCGTCATATGTATGAAGAGGGAGAGAGTCGACCAGAACCAAATTAACACGAATCACACCACAGTTGCAAGATTCAAGCACATGTTGAGACTTTGGAGATGACATCAAAATCATTATATATTTTCCCTTTCAATCATAGCTTCCTTTTTGCCCGCAACAAGGAACTGAGATGGCCAGAATTCAAACACTGGTTGATATCTTGGAAACAGGCATTTTGATGCATGGGCAGCGAGTAGTATCAAGTGGTTGATCCTTTTTCATTGTCGAACAATGATGGCACCTTTTCCGCGAGCTTCCGAGAGGTTTTGTCCAGACCGTCCTCGCAGGGGGCCACACTTGACGAAATCGCAACATTGACTCATGAGTCTTCGCAGCGTTGTCTCACCGTTGCCATTCATCCTGAGGTGCTTCTCTCGGAAGCGATCTGCACCAGTGGCATTTCAAACTCATGCTGCGGGGTTTGCCGAGGGGGGTTCACCATGCATTGGGGGCTGGGCAGTTGGTATTCGAGTTGATCACTGCCTGAACACCCCCCTCGTCTTCAAAATTTGTATTGCAGCATTATCAGGTGTCGATGACTTCCTGGACCAATGATGCCAATGGGTTCCTGGTACTTTCAAGCAGACTCCTTATCACCCCGCGGACACAGACGGCTGCCTGCAGCTTCCATGGAATGCCTCTCCATCTCCGTGAGTTAATGTGGTTGCTGCTAATCAGTCCGTTGGCTCATTCAGCTCGCCACCTGAGCGAAGTCCCTTGCTGAAAGCCGCACTTCGTTCCCTGTAGGTCTGTGCGGCAAGTCTTGTAATGGTGGGCGAACATACTGCTCGTGGTATGTGTTAAGGATTTCGGTAGTTTATGTTATAAAGCTGCCGTAACTGAAGAATCATGATAGTTTGATAACAGGTGTTTGGGGTTGCTGGCCGTAGGTCCTCGGAAGGGTAGCTGCTGTGCTTTGGTAGTTTAAGCCGACGGTGTTCAGGGGCTCGCAACTACCTAATAGATGAATAACTAACTAGTGGTTATTGACTAAGTATGGGTCATGTGACCTTGGGGCTAACTGGATTACCTAACATGTGCTCTGTAGAGCTTGTGTAGCAACTGCAGAGCACTCATGCTCATTATTCTATATCAACATTTAAAAAACTAAAAGGTTGAAACTTAGTGTTGGTAGATTGTATTTCTTGCTATGAACCATCACATCAGCAAGATTGGATTCTGCTATTTCTCTTTTGTCTATTTTTTAAATGTGGATTGGCTGCTATGGGATGCTGTACCCAGACAATTCTGTACACGTAGACAGTATAAAGCTTTCTCGACAAGCCTACTCCGTAGATATCTAGATCCCAGGGTGGAAAGTGTGGTGTAAGTCTAGGAACGCCCCGTCCCATTTGCTGAGCCCCTTAGCTTCTCAATACAGCTCCCAAGCAAATTGGCAGCCTCGTTGAGGAGCTCCCAGCGCGTTTTCGAGAAGCTATCTCGAAGAACCATCAGAAGTCCCATGCATCGATTCCGATCACGAACCTTTCCCAGGTCATCAGGACTCTGTACGCTTCCAACGTTGTCCAGAAACGCGAGCATGTCCTCTCGTTGGCTTTCGGCGGAGGCTAGCTCGGGTACGGGCGGGGTAATTGGACCATCCAGCGCATACCCGTAGCACCACACAACAAGAGTGGCAAAGTATAAAACCCATGGACGGTTGAGGAGAAAGTCGTTGCGGGCGGAGTATTCTGTAGAGTTGATATAGGCAGAGTGGCTGCAGCGTGGTGATTGATCCCTGTCTGGTAGAAGTACTTGGCACAGGAACTTGAGAGCGTAAAACGTCGCATCTCGTGCTGGCGCTTTTGTGGCCCAGCGGTCGGTCATCTTTTCCCGTGCCGAGCTGAAATCTCTGGGAGTGATGCAGCGACCAAGGAGACGACTCGCACCGGCAAAAATCTGGCAGTCAACAATATCCACATGAGATGCCATATGAGCCAGATGATGCAACACCGTGCGCGATTCAAAGAAGACGTCACCGTTTAGAGTATGCGGATTCCTATGGAAAGGGTAGTTGGCCGGCCCAGACGCTATCAGTGCCTCATCGAAGTCTCGTCTCCAGTTGTCAAACGCACGAAGAAGCGCCGATCGCCATTTATCTCGTCCTCCCAAGGTGTGGGATACACCAAGGGAAGTGACTTGAAGGTCGCGTTGATTCATATGCCAACTTACGCTTAATAATCCTGCCATTATAATCGTCCGGCCGAATGAATTAGTGCGTACATTCTGTCCGTTGAGAGTCTTTTTTAAACTGTCTAGGAATAATGTCGGCTTGACCCCATTCGATGTCAAGCTCGACTGCACCCTTGCGACCTCAGCTGCGCTCGTTGCCGACCATAGCGCCTCATCACAAGGCAGCGGCAGTCGCAACTCATGCGCAACCATCTTAGCAGAATGACCAAACATCGTAGCATGGATGGTATCGAGGACAAATGCTGCGAATGCCACCCTGCGAGTAGCCTCGGCTTTTACCCATCGCGCCCAAGACTCTTCTCCTGGAGTTGTTTCTGAAGCGGAAGTTGTTCCAGAGACGGCCCTATGTCTATTTTGCCCGTCATCCGGCGGGCTGGGCGGAGAGTCCAATGCGGACCTACCGATGAGAGAGCTCCCACGTCGCATTAGTGTCAACGTCGTATCATGATGTATGTGTGCACGCTCGTGCAAGGCTCGCGTAGAGAACATTTTTTCATACGTCTCAAGGAGTAGTAAAGTTTGGAATACCCATAACCTGGCCGGCGGGCGGAAATCTGGGTCTCTGAATATCTCCCAGCGAAGATGCCAAGCTACAAAGTTCGAGAAGTCTGCTGCCGCTTCTGTAACTTCTTGTCCATGTTCGCTTTCCAACGTCGCTGCTCCAAGGGCCATGACTGCTAGGAGAAGTAAATTCGGTGCCTTGTTGGGGCTGAATGTTGGCCTGTGTAGGATTGGCAATTGATCATGGCAGTGATACCAGTATGAGCCCACGTAGGTTTGCATCATTCGCAAACTAAGAACGTGAGTTTCTGCTTCCAGGTTACCCTCCAGCAAAGCCTCTTTTCGGTTTTTCATGGCTGCCTGGTCACTTTCATTGAAATGTGTTTGAATAAGATCCAGAACTTCCGTTCGCTTCTCCTCAGAAATGATCGACTGGGGCGGACCTGTATCAAGTATGCTAGTGACGCTCATCGGGTGCTGTTGCTGCTGTATAACATTAGCGTAATAACCAGCAAACGCTGGATCTGCTGGGTAGTAATGGTGCTGTTGCTGCGCAACGAAGGGGTCCGAAAAATTCGAAAGCATTCCAGTCATGGACGAATAGCCCACCGACGAAGAATTCTGCTCATTGAACAACCACGCCGTGAAATCGTCGGTCATAGCAAAAGGAGAACGGTTCAATGTTTCTCCGCCAAAAACTGGAAGTGCGTACGGAGCCATGGAGTCGAGGTCAGACATTGCTGTGGCGGACACAGAACCAATTGTGGCCAGCCCATTAGATATGGCGTTTGCAAGCGAGGTGCTTGCTGTTGATCCGAGATGTGGATTTGAATAGCTATGGGGAGATAGAGGTGACACGTGGATACTTCGCTGCGGGATGTACCCATTGGATGGAGAATTGCCGTTTATTGTATTTGGGGGTGATAAATATGAGTTGCGATGAGAATTAGGTCCGGGAACAGATAAGTGGTGGAGCCCTACGTTAGCAGGAGCATGAGAAGCTCCAGACGAAACGTCCGGCGCAGTAAGCGATACATTCTGGTAAGTAGCGTTACTGTAGAGTCCGTATGACTGACGATGCGCCGGGTCGTACATTGTCAACGGCGGTCGCTGCGCTGGGGGGGCTGCGAAAACGCCGCCGGGATCTGCATGCTTTCGTTGCAGATTGGGGGTTGTGGAATACGCAACTTCGAGGGGAGCTGAGGACGAGGACGGAGTCGGATAGCTCGCTGTACCAGTGAAGGCAGGATTCGGCGTGCTGATGGGGGACTCTGAGAACTGAGGACTGGTTTTCCGTGGAGAGACTCCACTGTCTGTGGATACCGGAGTAGTAGCTGCACGGTCGGTGTCGCTAGGAGCAGGGGGAGCGGCCGCAACGACCCTCGCGGAGTGAGCAGCGAAGCTGTCGCGTTTCTGGAGCTGCGATCCATGCGTGTTGTGACGCTCTTGATGGCGGATACAGAGGTCTTGGCGGACGAAAGCGCGGGTGCAGTTGGGGAACTTGCATCGATATATGTGCTTGGGGTTGTCTAGATTCACGGAGTCACAGAGTCAGTAGTGGTATTTCGGCATGCTGGCCACCGGCAAAATGTGGTATTAGAGCGGAAAGAAAATCGTAGCTGGCGGTCGTACGATTCAACTGATGGCGATACAAATGCTCCGCTCGGGAGTAGCTCTTCCCGCAGCCTTCATGTTTGCAGTCAAACTTCTTATCAGAGTCCCCCTTCCTGCTCCTCTTGCGTTTCTTGGGCGATTCCGCCATGGTGCTCGGGGACTGGGATTCGGCGGATTGCGCGTGCGGTGGTTTCGGCTGGTCAGATTCCTGGGCCCAGCCTCGTCGCAGTCCTGCAACGGGAGCAGAGCTGATATCCGCCATTGGATCTCGCGGATCAGTTGAGGACAGCTTGGGGGAGGAGTGGAGGCTGTCGCAAGGATGTCACATTCTTCAGTACCCTGCACAGGAATCGACAGAGAACTCGGGTGGATTTCGACCGCATAGCACACTCGAGACGTCGCTGCGAAGGAGGGGTCGACCGTTGAGAGAGAGGTAGTTAAGCCACGAGCGGGTGGTCAACTGGGGTGGTTGGGTATCACAGCACAGTCAAATGATAATGCATGACGGCCATCGGACTGGCCGCAGAGGAGCTCGATGAAGATGGAGAGTAGATGGTGTCGAGAGGGAGGGATGCAGTGAGATTCCGCAACTTCTCCCAAACGCCTCTTGTGCAGCAACAGGCACGAGCGCAGGATACGAATCCCGTTCTGTCTGCCAGAGCCTGGGGTCAACGACCTGGCAAAACTAGCCGGCACATCGACACAATTAACTAGTTAATGGCTCGTCAATGCAGACCTCGATGGGTCTCGACAAGGCTCCATGATCCCCGTTGTCGGCATGCAGATGACATGACAGACTATGTACACCCAAACTAGTTACCCGCCATCTCTGCCATGCTTGGAAACGCACACGAGAAACGGTTGACGCCCGTCGCCATCGATTCGCAAACCTCAAGAGAGCTTTCTGTCCATGCTCCCCAACGATGGCTCCCGTGTTCTCAGCGGATGTTTCGCGCCAGCAAGGGTCATGGTTGTTCCTCTTTGGCTTTTGTGCTTTTTTTAAATTTTTAATTTGCGTCTGATACCCTCCCTGGGTGTTTTCGAATTATAATACGATCGATCCGCTTAGAGCCACTGCGGGAGCTAGGATTAATCTGAAGATTGCATCAAAATCTTCCCTGTCCCGCAAAATACTACGGGCTCTCGCGAAGAGGCGCTGCATCTCCAGGCCTCGCCATTGAATTCTTACTAAAAGAAAAGGAGTGACAGACAGGAAAATGGGCAGTCTTCACTACCATTTGAATATTCGCTGGCAAAGAACAGCCCTATACCCTCATCTAAGCACTTTTAACCGCCACTGAGTACTTTTTGACATTGCCCTGGTCAGCTGGGCCTGCCCTTTGCTATTTCTCAAAATAACCCAAGGCTACTGCGGATATCACTCGAAAACAAGGACAGCCTGTCAAGCAGATGAAAGGGACGGACTCGGAAAACGCATCTCGAAAGTCGTGCAGTCTGTCATCAGTGAGAACGGATTCTCGCAACCATGGCAATACGACAAGAATGCTGCCAGCGTATTTCTGGGTTCTTTCGGGCGATACTGGATCTGAAGGCGCTGTAACGTCACTGCCATCCCTCTCTATGTTAACTAATAACTAAGTATCGAGGGAGGCTATGTATCTTCCGGTCGTTTGATGAGTTGACCTCGATCCTGGAACTTAGCCGTGACTGAACAAATCAACATGCCTTTGAGTTTCCATACCTACAGGCTGACGTGGACCAGCAGGTTATTTGCTTTTAGAACTCGAATCCATAGTGAGTATCAACACGCAACTATGGCTCTCTTCTTGCTCGCTTGAAATCCATCAAGTGGAGGGAAATGGCATTCGCTTTATTAAATGCAATGTACTCCGTATGTGCTACTAACTCGACGGGGATCCAATTCTCATTCGTTGCCATCAATGCAAAGACTATAAAGTACGCTTATAACGTGGCGTTTGATTTTAATTCCGACGGTGACGATGCGAGATGAAACCTGGGGCAAGAACTGGTTGCATGAAGGGCTCTTTTCGGGGAAGTTTGACTTCTCACGCCATGTATGCATCAGCTGCACTTTGTCGCATATGATTCCATCCCCGATTCCACGCCTCCCAATAGCGACTTCATTTCGTCCATAACTAAAGTCCCCGAGCCATATCTCAATAAAGAGAGAATTAAACAATGCGAAATGCACGACTCTTCAAGTGCCCGGTTTGGTGTCAGAGCATGGCCTGCACCGAACTGCAGATCCGACTGAGAATACCAGAAGCTCTTGAAATGCTGGTAGGCATACCTTGAGGGCGCCAGAACTCGGCGAACGGTCACAAAGCCCAATCAACCCCTTGTGTTGGATTCCACTTGAGGCTATATCAATCCATCAGTAAGGCTTAGAATGGAAAATATGAAGCCATTCCCAGTTTGGACTGCAGCTCTTCACGCCCGTGTCAGCCATGGCTACAATATTAGTACAGTCCGCGGGGTGCGCGGTATTCCGGGGAGTAAAAACAGTATCCTTGGTTGTTGCGGATATCTCCCAATCCGCCGTCGGTGACACGAGGAGCATAGCTACATGTTTGGCGGCGCAGTATAAAAGGTCGAATAAAGCCCCTAAAGATTATTCTCTTCGCTCAACCATCACAAATACTTGATCCGCCACATCGTTCATCGATATATTTCGAATATCCAACTACTACTATTGCTTTTCAGAGGGCTTTACGACTTGGGAGTCGTTGCGAATGATGCTGGTTGACAATCTTCTCTATGACCGTATTATTCCCTGTTGGTAGGGCCTCAACCTCCCCCCGGGGAGTCCAAAAAGAGTTCTCACTAACATATAGACAACTGATACATACGATCCTAACCTGAAGAGATGGAATTTACAAATCCAGGGGCCGCTGTGCTTACAGACTGGGACTCGATCCGATGGAGTTTCAGAGACTTGTAATGATTATAACCTTTTGGCTGCGGAGCGATGTGATTGTTTGCTGCTACATGGCCGATGTTCTGGTTGTTTCTCTTACTTATCGTTAATGTGACATTCTAAATAAATGGCAACACAATCGGGTGGAGAGCCGATCGATCAATAGTCCCGTCGTAATAGTGAATGCTTTTTTTTTTTTGATATTAACCGGTGAAACGGAACCTTGCTGCTTCGAGTCTTCCCAATCCTTCTCTAGGCGCCACATTTCGTCGTCGATAAGAGTTCGTGAAATCTGAAAACCGAGTTAGGTAAATCCGAGAATCCATAACATAATCATAGATTTCTTGGCTAATATTCTGGGGAAACACTTACCCTGTAGCAAAATTCGAATCTTCCTATGATCGCCCGCTTGTGCCCGTTCCGAGAGGCTTTTCATCAGTCGTTCACTTTCACCGGGCTTTAATGTACCTGCAGGAAGCAATTGAATAGTTCCACCAACCCAAGTTGTGGTCTCCTGAGGCAGCAGTTCAAAAAGCGTCATTAGTACTCCCGAAGCATCTGGGAAACAATCCTCCGGGAACGTAAACATCATGCCTGTCATTACACGCTGGACAAGGAGTGACCCTTGCGACCCTATTAGTTGCTTAACAGTTGCTCTAACCTCTGGAGGATTTGTGAAAGGTTCGCCGTCTGGGCTCGTGAACTCGGAAATGGATGGCTTTTCAAACCCGAAACTGAGAACATCGCGGCAATAGTGTAGCGTTGCCGTCAATGGATCGACTTGTTGTAAAGTGAGCGCACTTAAAGCAGCGGAGAAAATGGGAATAGAAAGTTGCGATGTCAACGTATTTTTAGGGAAAAACCGGACTGCATCAGTTAAGAGCCGGAAGAAGTCCTCAATCACTACAGGGATTATGGTCAGCTTGAATATGTACTATAAACCTTTGGGGTTCACGTACTATCAGGAAGGTGGTTTGGGGGTAAGTCATTAAGGATTCGAAGGAATTGAACGACCTGTTGTTCAAAAAAGTGGTATACGGCGTCACTCGTTGCTTGGTCCACATATTCCGCGCCGGACGAAAATTCCCGGACGACAGCATCCGTCGCCCACAAGAAACATCCTTCTCTGGAAGCTTGGAATCCTGCTGAAATACTTTGTGCTAAATTGGGGAGTAGTGGAATCATGGCATTGCGATACGAGATAATCATATATCGCCAGCATCGGCAGACTCTCTCGAGTATAGGCGTGGACTTTGTGAAGTTCATGACAATGGTACTTAGGACCGGGAGGATTTCTTCACAATATCGTACACCAGGGTTTTGTGCTCCGGGATCAACATATGGCGATACAAGTTGGATAAATATGGTAATGAGTTGAAGGTGGTCTGTTAATACGAGAGTCAGTGTTTAAGGAAACCATCGTTCGAAAAGATACAAGAGGTATATTCTTACCAGCAACTGCTTTTTGACCGTCCTCATCTTTTGCATTATTGGCCAAATTCATGATTCGTCGCATAAGAGGATCACAAAATAGCTTCATAGTCCCGTACATCTTATCAAGTGGTTGAACTGCTACGACGGCGGCAACACCTTCCGTGACCTCCTCCTGGCTCGACGGTTTTAGATTGTCGATTACTGACTCGTAAAACGTATGTAATTGCGGAATATGCCCACCCAGCAGCTTCTGGCAATCAGTTCCGAGGAACTTGAAAGCCAGCGCAGCGGCTTGCACAACCTCTTGTGACTTGTGCTGGAATCCGGAGATAACGTAATTGAGCTGCGCTTCGAGAGTCTCAGGGTGTTGAGCAGTCCATTCAGTGTATCTCCCGAGCGCCATAATAGCCTGGAAGCGGACTTTTTCCTGGTCAGGAATTCGGACGATAAGCGGAATAATCTGTGGAAGCACATTGCTCTCCTCAGGTTCTACCATCCGCCCCATGGCCCTCATGCTGAACAACGGTGCTTCCAATTCCTGCCAATGTGGGACGTGGTTGTGGCTCGCTTGGGAGCCATACTTGGCCACCCACGCCTGTATCAGAGTATATGATTTGTGAAGGCATTCGGAAACTCCAATAACGGCGCAGCAATCCTTGAGCACGTCACCCATCGCGTGGCGGAATTCGCGAAATTTTTCCTCTTGTTCACGGTCCCCGTCAAAGAGATCCCCCTCCTCGCCATCAGCCACTGGAAATTCCAGATGCTTGATCATGATATCCACCAATTTAGAGAACACATCGGCGAAAGCTGTTCTTGCGGTCGCGTACCTTTCCAGAATTACGTACTGTTTGAGTTCAAACCAAAAAACGAAGGTGATGGAGATCGCATCGCGCTCTTTGTCGACGGCACAACATTCCAAAACCGCTTCAACCAAACTGCGGAACTCATTTGGTAAACGGGCGATTAAAACTACCCAGGCTTCTGCGGCTTCTGCGAAAAGCCTGGTCACCCCTCGGAGCATTTCAACATCCTCTGCTGCAGCCGCCTCGCGAATCTTTGGTCTTAATGCAATTAATCGCGGATAAACAGTCTGTATAACGGGCATCGAATCGTCAACTTCAAGGGTGTCCCTATAAATGGCGCACATACATTCCACTGCAGCGTCGAATGATCTCTCTTCCGAAAGTGCTTTTGTTATCACATCCATCAAGGGCGAACTGGTAATTCGCGCTGCAGGTATTTCGCGCATCCAGGAAGTAATGCATTCCAATAGATGTGGATTAGTTGCCGCAGCAGCTAGATGATGCCCAGTCTGTTAGTATCTGAGCTCGATGGCAAATTTCGGGAAACCTGTACTTACGCGAAGACTGTGAATATTGAGTGAGGAGCGCCAAAACTTGGTCCGCATTGTCTTCCAATAGCTCCTTCGTTCTAGTAGCTAGGTCCTCTTCCTAGGTGTCATGAGATGATGGATTAGATTCTAGTTTCTGGCCGCAAATAAGCACCGATGCTGAAGCTGGGGTTGCGCAAATGCGATAGATGGATTGACATAGATGGTGACTCGGCCGAACATACAGTCAGGTTGATTTTGCGTCCTTCCGTAACTTCCTCGGGAAGAATTTTTAAGAATTCCAGAACACAGTCGCTTGCTTCGTTGCCCAGAGCGGATCCAACCGTAGGAAGGACATCTTTCCAAGTTATCATTTGGATGGCCAAGCTGGCCAGACAGACACATAGCTGGGTCTGTATGGGCCGGGCACCCGATCTGTAACTTGTCAAGAGTGAAAGGATAGAGGTTCTTAGAGCGGGTAATGATGATTCGGGCAATTGATCGAGGTCATATGTGATCTGTTCAACTTGCTTAGCGCACCGTCTTCCTATCGGCCTCCCAGCGGATCATGCCCACCTTTCCTTTCAAAGTAGTCGCGGCAAATAATTTCGCCTCCACGGGCAAGTCTGGGGACTGAAGAATGGAATGGGTTGTAGTCCAAGCTTCGACCTAAGTGCTCAGGCCTGTTAGATACGCTCAAGGAGGGGTAACCGCATCATGTCTCACGGATTTTTGGAAGCGCTCGAGGAACTCATGAGCATGGGTCTTTTCCTGTCGAGACGCATTCCCTTGCATTGTCGCAAGAGCAGCTAGGACAGGTGCAAACTCCTGCGCTGCAGCACCGCCTTTCGTCGCCATGGTGGCTGGTTTTAGGATGGGGAAGTAAACGCCGGGAGATTTCAAGGGAGCGGGGTGGTCAGCAACGCTGAGCAAATCAGCACTGTGTCAGAAGTGCTCATGAAGGAGATGTATAGTGAGGATTGGAAGATGGCAATATGATATCCCTATGGAAACACGGATGCTCTTTGTTGGTTGTATGTCACGTAGTCGATTGCTTTCGCAGCTGATTCCAAGGAAAATGGAGTTGAACTCTCAAAGTTGCGCCTGAAAAAGTTCTGGAGCCAAACAAGCGCACCAGAAGGCTTCTTTCTAGCTTCCCATCTCACCTCTCAGTCTACGTTTCCTTTCAACACCACCCATAATCCCTCCCTGGAATATCTACTCTATTTCAAGTCAGCTCTTTTGCGATAAATTGATATCTCACTCTTCCCTTTTTCACCACGGACAATCATGGCCGGCAGAGGTCAGCGCGGACCAGCAAAGACTCTCCTTCAACCAATCCACTTCGTTTTTAAACTGCTACAACAGAGATCGCAGGTGTCAATATGGCTTTATGAGCAGCTTGCAGTTCGGATAGAAGGGAAAATACGCGTTAGTTGTTCTGCTGCGACCATTGCACCTAGGCTAACGGCGCTCCTGCTAGGGTTTTGACGAATTCATGAATTTGGTCATCGACGAGGCCGTCGAGGTCAAATTGCCAACAAAGGATCAACCGGAGCAAAGAAGGCAGTTGGGTATGATAGCTCTATTAAGCGTATTATACCGCTACAAGTCCCGTTTTAACAGGTTTACAGGCCAGATCCTACTGAAAGGCGACAATGTTTCTCTAATACAAACACTGCAATGAACCGCGGAGTTTAAGGATTGACTTTATACATTTGGCGTTATTGTCGGCTGTTATTCCGTGAAACAAAAGAAACAAAGTGATATCTGGAGGAATGGTTCGCATTTATGCCCGTTTTAGTACCCGTCCATCGCCCACGATCAGCGCATCCACTGGGCAATCGTGTTCGGCAGTTGGAACCCGTTCGGAAGGAGGAAGAACTTGTTCTTCTAGAGTGAGAGCGGCTATTGATTGAATAAGTCGACGGCACGTAGTTATAGGGAATTGGCAGAGGTTCTTACCCAGATATGGTATTCGCCTTGCGTTCGTGGCGTCTGCATGTTGACCTCGCGATCGCATAATGAAATGGTCATAGTACCCTTTTCCATGGCCGAGTCTTCCGAATTTTTCATCAAACGCTAAGCCAGGCATAACAATTAAATCTAATCCCGACTCATCCTTTTCCGCCGCAGGATTCGAAAGTCCCAAAAGTCCGTATCCCCCAAAACAGTTCTCTCTTGTGGCAAGCGTCCCCGCATCCAGCGAAGGTATGCCCCATTTGTCTGGCTGTAGAGATTCGTAGTCTTCGACGGAACGCAGCGCCAGCATCTCCATCACAGACTTCCTTCCTTGCGTAGCGACCGAGTCCAGTTGGTAGATATATGGCACATACACCTGCTTACCTTGGCTAAACGCATCTCGAACGATATCTGCCGTTTGAATCTCTCCAGACGGCATCGCAAGATACACGCTTAACCGTTTAGCAGCTTGATATTCCGGTAACGATAGAAGCGACTTGGTTACGGTAGCAGCTGCATCTTAAAATCAGCATCAATGTGCCTTTATGTTGATGCCACTGGCGGACATTGCTTATTGATTGATTCTGCAGAAAGACCAGACAAAACCTTTTTGATCTGGCCACGCAATTCCTTCTTCGCCGCTTGTAAACTTGCCATGGTCGAGGATCAGAGTGGCTGCCCAGGCGAGGTATTCAGCAATAGCCCAGGGATAGGACGTGCCTTAAAAGATGATTGAAAGGATTTGGACTTGTATCACAATCTATTTATCATCGACGAGTCGACTGACTTGTTTTCACCTAGCAAGCAAGGATAATTAAATGGATCTGATAACAGTTACCCCACGATATGCCTTGAAGCGGTCGAAACGATGGCTTGTACGGAGTACCTAGGAGGGCGGTAGAAATACCTCTTGTTGGTATAGTAGATCTCGTCCAATTGCCTACATACAAGTCAAATGCCTTCACTGCAGCTTCAGACCTCTATCCGTATTTCCTTCCAAATGCCCAATGCCCGTTCTCGAGGGTTGAGTTTCCGTGGCGCGCTAAGAGCCATTGAGGCCGTAGGGCCGAGCCGCCGAAGGACCCTTGAAGGATACGAGCTGCACCAAGAATAGGATGATTTCATAGCGATCGGGAGAGACAACATCAGCTTTTGATTTTTCGCAATGATTTGGCCATCAGAACAAGAGACAAAGGAGTCCCGGGGGACAATGACCTGTAATGAACTGTTAACTGACCGCTAACTAGAAAGTCGCGCATGTGTGATGTTGGCTCAAAACATTTTCAAGGAACGCGTCACTATGGAACACCTTTTCGTCATTCAGGAACAGTCCCTTCTGCTCAGCAGCATCGACTTGCAATCCTTCTTCTACAACTGCGCATGAACGACTAAGCGGCGAACATGGTGCTTCTCGCTGCCCTTCTAGCCTGGTTTTCTCTTCTTACAGCAGTTCCGGCGGCTTTGGACCCGAAGCTCGCGGGGACTTGGTCAACAAAGTCGAGAAACGTTGTCACTGGTCCAGTGGGTGTAAACTGTCCTTTCTCTCTCCCCTTCCTCTCTCGCTAACAGCTGGGGCTTTTTATAGGACTTTTATGATCCCATTAAGGATCGGTTCAAAGAGCCGGAAAATACTGGCATTTCCTACTCTTTTACTGATGACGGATTCTTCGAAGAAGCATACTATCGCGCGATCTCGAATCGTGAGTTCGAACACCCTTTGACGGAAACCGAAAGAAAGTAAACTGACAGTCCATGCAATATTAGCGACCACGCCGTCATGCCCATCGGGGTTCATGCAGTTCCAACACGGAAAGTATAGTGTGGAATCAAATGGCTCGCTGGTCCTCACACCATTTGCAGTAGATGGCCGCCAGTTATTTTCAAACCCGTGCAAGGGTAAAGAGTCAACGTACTACCGGTTCAACCAAACGGAGATTTTCAAGGTACCCTACGTCTTTTCCTGTGAGAGGCAACTTGCGCTAACTGTTCGGGAAATTCTACAGCGATACGAAGTCCAGATTGACCCCTTTCATAACGTGAAGCGCCTCAACCTCTTTCAATTTGACGGAACGCCTATGAATCCCATGTTCCTTATCTATGATCCCCCGCAGATGCTCCCCACCCAGACCTTAAACCCAACCACCCTAGCTTCCGCGACCGGCCAACCCAAGGCAAAGCGCAGCTTTCTAAATGGCGAACAACAGAACAATCAACACAAGAAGCGTTTATTGGTCGGAAGTAGCAGACTCGCAAATCCTGATAATTGGTGGTGGGCTGGTGTGGTCATGACAATTGCGGGAGGCGCCACTTTTCTTTACTGCGAAATTCCCTGGAAACGTTAGGTTCGGTGTTATTCTGATTCCTTGCTACTTGCGCATGTGTCCTGGTATATGGGCGTTTAAGGAAAGCGAAAGGTGTTACGGCATGATATCCGGAAGGAAATTTGGCTTTGGACGGCTTCTGAGATATCCTATGGCGTTTTGCGAAGCCGATCTTTGCTGCAACGTATCCTTCTGTCTTCTAGATTTTGCTGCTAGTGGGCAATAAAAAACATGTTGACTGGTTCAGATATAGCTTTTTCACACCACGACAGAAACACTTATGGCGGTATTGGGTTAAATGGACTAGAGCTCAACGTAAGTGGATTTCTGATGTTGAGGAGGTATCCATTCGTTAGTGTTACAGTAATTTATATAGTACATATAAGGTGCTCAGGGTCCTTAAGTTGATTGAGCGCGGATTGGGATCCTTAGATCTAATTCTTCGACAGAGGGAAGATTCCGGCACAAGCACGCAGCCTAAAAGAGTAACGCGGACAATGCTCTTTGCCGACCAACAGTCATCGAACTCTAGTGATGGCGTTTACGAGGCCGAAATCAGTCTCGCAGCGACTTTCGAGACAGTTCCTTTTTCAGCTGGTTTTCCATTCAACGGCCCATTAGGTGCAAAGGCGGCCTTCATAATGGCCCCAATCTCGACTTTTGCACCCTCGCTTCGCAACTTTTCTATGGTCTGGGAAATCGCAGACTGTATCTCTTCCTCGCTCGTCGTTGGGACTTGCGCCCCGTACTCAGCAAGCACACGCATTTCTGCATCGTTTCGCTCTTTCAAATCGCTTCTGTTAGCCTTGATAAACTCTTGAGTAGATGCCTCAAGAGACGCTGAGCGCTTGCGAATCAGGGAGAGCAGTTGTAGATCAGTTTGAATCGGCGACGATGTTTTGGCGGAGTTGTTGATTTCTGCAATTATGGCCCGTACAACATCAAGTCTGAAGATTGCTCATTGTAGGATTAGCCCATAATAGATCGCTTGTCAAAGAATATATGAAGCTACCTGACGGTGTCTTTGGCTCTCATAGCCGTTTTCAAATCTGCCCTTAACTTCGCAAGCAGAGGTGGTGAAGAAGGAGTAGTGGAATTGTATCGGCATTGAGCCCGTAGTAAATGTCGAGCTTGAAATTGAAGCGGTCTAAACATGGTGGAGATGTGTGTAAGAGTAGCTGCAATGCCTTTCAACCAAGAAGACGATATTTGGTTTGCGGTGTTGTCTGGAATTACAGAGCTCTGCGCAACAGATTTGTTGATGTTCAAGATTGGAGGGTCCGTGCGCAAAATTGTTTCCATTGAGATGCTTCACTTCTCGCAGCTATTCACCTTGAAACCGCGTGCCCGCCTGCACAGGAACATAATCAACACCATTGCTCTCCAAAGTTGAATCTGCAAGCTTTTCAGCTACAACCAGTCTTTCGCTCTTTCACAACATTCTCAAAGCTGGAGGCGCTTGACCCGTATCAACTCTCGGAGGCCCAGCTGGGAACTCCGCCATGAGCTTCCCACCTCTTACACCAGCTAGACCTGTGCCTGGCACTTATTTTCAGACACCAGCGCCGTCGCACGCCCATGGATCTCTACTTGCCAATAAGCCACTATCCTCTCCGGGAACCCGAACCTCACCCACAGGTGGTTTGGTTCAGACAATGGGCAACAAAACCGTTTCATCGAGTACAAAAAGCAAGGCCGAGACGATGAGTCCACGAGAACGGGGAGCTCGAACGATAGATGATGCTTTGGCTCAAGATTCGCGATACCTTGATTTGGATAGCTACCTTTCTCGTGAGTGATTGTAAAACCCTGGCGCAATGGCGCATGGACTGACTTTTTTCCAGAGGGATTCTCTTCGAATTATGACATTCCCTCCTCCACGTCGTGGGCGCCCTTTCAAAAAATAAAAATGTACAATATCCCGGACCAAATTTTCGAGCAATATAACCGAGCGCAAGTTTCGACGAGTATGGGGCTTTTCGCGGAGCTGAATCATGCGTGGGTGACTATAGACAACGCGCTCTATCTATGGAACTATACACATCCAAACCCTCAATTGATTGGATTCGAAGACCAGCCGAATAGCATCAACGCTGTGAAGCTTTCACGTCCACGCAAAGGGGTATTCCTGCCTTCAATAACTTATGTCATTGTTATTGCGACCACGGCAGAAATTGTACTTCTCGGTTTAGGATGTGAAGAGGCTGGCGCGTCCAAGGTTGTTACGCTTTATCAGACCGGAATGTCGACTTCCATTCGAGGACTTGATATTAACGTTATCGGATCTTCCGACACAGCGGGGAGAATCTTCTTCGCTGGCTCTACGGACAACGATGTGTATGAGCTCAAGTATCAACAAGAAGAGCGTTGGTTTCAAGGAAGATGCACAAAAGTAAACCATACGACGAAAAGCTTTGCTGCATTCGCTCCTCAATTTGCCCTGGCACATAAACCTCAAGTTTTCGTGGAACAGATCATAGTCGACGACAGCAGAAATCTCCTCTATACGCTCTCATCGAACTCATCTATACGAGTATTCCATTTGAAACCGGATGGAACCATGAACCTCGCTATCACCAAACATGCCGTTGATATCTACGCAAACATTGGCCACATCATACCCTCAAACGAGACACTCAACGCTAGAGTCAAAATCGTCTCGATTAGCCATATTCCCGCGGAAGAAGCCTCAAGGTACCATCTCATGGCGACGACAGCAACCGGCTATAGAATTTATCTTAGCGCTACCGCTTCATATAGTTGGTCAGCGACACCGAGTGCGACCAACGCTCCCACCAGCATGCAAGCGCAGCACGTCAAAACCCCCCCTCCCGACGGCCCGATGGCTCAACCCATTCAAAATGGGACACTCCCTGGATCCCAATTCCAAGGAACGGTTAGCTCTAGATTTCAGATACAATCTTTAAATCCTACTCGATCAGCAGAGCGTTTCCCTCCCGGGTATTTCTTCTGTTTTACTGCGAAGGACCCCCTCAACCGGGTAGATACTCTTTTCATAACGGCACCAGATTCTGGGCGGCTCGCTCGTCCCCAGGAAACGGGGCTTCCACTTAAGCCGGGTGAAACCGGTCTCTGGCTCACTTTGGGTAGTCGAGCTGAGGACATCGGCGTCAGTACACCCGCACTTGGCCCTCAGACCATTCCTGGCTTTGGAAACGAGCTCGCTATCCAGTTTGACCAGCCAGCGGCGGAGATTGCGATTTTAACGAATACGGGAGTTCATGTTATTCGACGGAGGAGACTTGTTGATATATTTGCGTCTCTTATCCGTAGCTCGGGCGGCGAAGAGGGACTTGAAACACAAGTAAAGACGCTCATCAGACTCTACGGTCGCAGCGAAGTACTTGCTACAGCATTAGCAGTTGCCTGTGGCCAAGGCGTCGAACTTTCACCGGACTCTCGGTTGTCGAAAATAAACGATCCGGATGTCCTAGAATTCGCACGAAAGGTTTTCATCGAATTTGGCGGAAAACCATCACTAGATGAGAATGCTGTGACTGATGGGACCGCTCTCGCAATTGACGCAGTTATTCCGTCGCCACGACATGCTGGCATTGCCCTTTACACCTCGAGGCTTCTGAGGTCAATTTGGAAAACAGTTATTGTTAAACAAGAGCGTACGCCCGCCGGTGGCGTTTCGATAGTCCCATCTGTGAGCGTATCGAAATTGCAGTCGATTCAACGTGATCTGTCGGCGCTGCAGGAATTCTTCCGTGTCAATAAGACTTTTATTGAAGGTTTAAGCGGCCCGGAAGCCCTATCAAGGGCAGCTACAAAGCAGGAAGAAGTCGCTTTACAAGCCGAACATCGTGCTCTTCATTCCCTTGTTCAGCTTACCTCCCACACCATCGAAGGCATTTCCTTTATCCTTGTTCTGTTCGATGAACGTGTCGAAGATACCGTGGCGTTATTGCCTGAAGGGCCGAAATCAAAGTTCCTAACATTAACATTCGAACAACTCTTTAGTAGCCCTCAAGGCCATGAAGTTGCGAGGGAGCTTGTCAAGGCAATCGTGAATCGCAACATTACCAAAGGCTCGAATGTCGAAACCGTTGCAGAAGCCCTCCGACGACGATGTGGCTCGTTCTGTAGTGCCGAAGATGTTATAATCTTCAAAGGCCAGGAACAGTTAAAGCGGGCGACGGAAGCAGGAGCTAACTCCGAGTTTGGTAGGAATTTGCTGAACGAGAGCTTGAATCTGTTTTTGCAGGTGTCTGAGACCCTGCCGATGGACTACCTTCAATCTGCTGTTCAACAATATACTCAAAATCAATTCTTTGCCGGTATATCGCTCTCTCCTTAAGAATGATCGGTCTGCTAATGATGTTGGTTAGGTGCAATTCAATTATGTTTAAGCGTTGCAGCCGATTCCGATAAAGCCAATCGTGCATTGTCCTGGCTGATGGACGGTCGCCCTGCGCAGGTACAATTCTTCAACTTGCCCAATGCGAAAAGTCTAGTCTAACCTCCTTTGCAGGACCCCCGTCAAGCCAATTTCGAGAACAGGAAACGATGTTACGAACTGATTTACAATGTCATCACCGCAGTTGACGACCTCGCCAGCAAAGAACCCGAACTCATAGATGGGCAATTTACGGCTGTCACCAGGAGGAAAAATGAAGTCTACGGTGTTATTACAAACTCACAGGATGAAGTTTTTCTCACCAGCCTTTACGACTGGTACCTTGAACGGGGCTGGAGTGACAGGCTCCTGCAAACACAGACTCCTTTTGTGGTCACATATCTTAAGAGGAAGTCAACCGAGGACATTTTCCACGCCGACCTGCTGTGGAAATACTATGGGCAATCAAGTCGGTTCTACGATGCCGCTGCTGTACAGCTACAACTTGCCCAGAGTCCGTTCCCTCTTCCTTTGAGTCGACGAATTGAATACTTAGGTCAAGCAAATGCCAATGCCTCGACAATCAGCCACAATGTTTCCCGTGCTGCTCGGCAAAGATTGCAGCAAGAGATTTCAGGGCTTTTAGATGTAGCGAACGTTCAAGATGATTTGCTTCAGCGCCTTAGGGATGACACCAGAATCGCAGCTGAGCGAAAGGCCGAAGTGCTTGGGGAAGTTGGCGGCGAAATCATGGAACTCAGCACTGTAGGTTTTTCCAAGAACAACATTTACCATCTCTGTGCTAACCCGCAATTTTCCCCAGTTGTTCAACGTTTATGCCGATCCTGGCGGCTATTATGACATCTGTCTTCAAATCATGTACCTTGCCAATTACAGGAACACATCCGATGTTAAGGCGGCATGGGAGAACCTCATCAAAGACACCCATGACGATGCATCCGTTAAGGGCACTCCTCTTCCATACGAAGCAGTCATCGAGAAAGTTCGCACGCTTGCTAATCGCTTAAGAATGTCCGAAATCACATTCCCCGTCCCTATCCTTTTACCAATGCTTGAAAAGTATGTTCTCGAACGGCAACTTGGTGTCGGTCCACAGACCTGGGTGATCGACCTCTTCCTTGATCTCCAGGTCGCGCATGAGACACTCTACACGATACTCGAGTCGATGTTTTACAATGACGAGGTGCCTTTCCAGGGTCGCAATCGGGTATATATCGGTAACGATCTTGTCTATCTGATCTCACGATGGTATCAAGAAACCGTTCGCATTGGTGGAGGCGTCTTTGGGAGCCATGTGCTCGCTAATCGGGTCTCTGAAATGCTGCTTTTGATTCAACAGAGTGGAGGGGACAGGGAGATAATAGAAGTTTGCAGAGATTTACGAATGCGGATCGAGCAATCCCTACAATGATGTTCTCGGACTGGCAATGACCAATGTTGATTTATTTGGGCTTCTCCTACTGTATCTCTTTGTATAATCTTTCTTTCTTTCCTCTTGTCCATGTTACTATCTAGCCTTGGGTCTCCTTCTCGATGCTGCCTCTGATAGAGATGTCTCGTTTTCCCCTTTTTCTTTACTTTTTGTTACCATCTTGTGAGCGGGAATCCTGCTTGCTTTGGCGCTTAGTTAGCTGTTTGGTTTCTTGATGAGGATGGACGGTTTCCCTTATGCAGGTTAAGATCGAAAGGTCAGAGGTTGAACAATAGATATGTCGAAATGAAACAGGGTACAGGCGGGTTGAAATGTCACGAAGACAATGCTAGTAGCCATAGCAATAGGATCCCTCCTTACAGTCACCATTCCCGCAATCGAGGTGAGATAAGACGGCCAGTTCAGACAAAAGGCGTGCAACGCGCAAAACAAACCAAGCATTGATGCACTGAAGCTAGGGAACTTGGCGCGCACGTGATGGATATGGATTTTCAAGGAGAATTTGTGTAGCCTCATGGAGTCATGGGTATATATTCCAATTGTTTTGTCTCACAAGTGCAGGATAGATATTGCTGTTGAATAGTTACCTTCGTACAGAATGGCCACCAAACCGAGAACGGATGAAGGGAGGCTGGCCAAGTCGTCATGCCGGGGGAAACTCGACACTGTTTACATTGCATTTTTTGCAGTCCACCTAGTGGTCATGTTTCGTGAGTGATGTGCTTTGCTAACTAGTTACTGAATTGCATTCGAGAATGTTTGGCGCTTCTTGGATAACGATCGAGAGCAAACGGAACGATGCGTGACTGCAAGCTGATCCATTATCCGTAGTCGTCGACCTTGTGCCACTGTACCCGGAATCAGTCAAACCAGCGGCTCTTTCGAGTCTGCGGCAATTCTACATAGAAACGTTCCAGGACAAATTCTTCAGTGAGCCGCCACGATGGTTTCATGCATATATTTTGATGGAGGCGGTTTATCACATCCCCGCGAGCATAATCATTATTCGAGGGTTGCTAAATGGTACGTAAGACGAGGAACGATCTCGATATCCTGTGCGAGGCTGATTCTCGAGCTTGGGAAATTTGTAAAGACGATGCCTTTGTCCCGGTTCATCTCCTCGTTTGGGCCGTGCAGTCATTCATCACCACCCTAACATGCCTCGTGGAAGTGTGGGATTGGACAGATCGCACTTCTGCGCAGAAGTACAACATCAGCCTGCTCTATGGGCCATATGTCGGGTTCGGTAAGATTATTTCTCGTTCGCTCGCTGTGGCACGACTCTTGTTGTCCAGATGCCGGAGACCAGGGATCTTCACATGGATTGAGCTGCCCCCCTTGCTCTGTCAAGCTTTAGCCAGGATCAAATGCCGCCTTTTGTCTGCTCTATTTTCAATTCCGCTACACCCTTCAATGCTTTTGAATTGAGCTCGCAAGACTTGGATTCTGATGTTGTCTAGCTGCCTTGGTCGCATTCGACATGCTTTGCCGTCTTCGAAGGACCCTCGGAAAGTCTAAAGTGGAATGAATCGAGCGCGGAGAAAGAGAAGGAGAGCAGTGAATGATAGATCAGAATTTTGAGCCTTGAATCCAATCCATCCGTAGTCTAGATGCAATGCGTGTTCCTCGGTTGAAACTAAAAACGAGCTTATCGGCACACCGCATTGTAAAGTGAGTTGACTCACAAGCTCCCACCAACAAGCCAAGCTCTCACAGATCAAGCACTCGAGCATAGAGTGGGATGACACTTCAATTCAAAACTCTTTGCTGTTCTTGCCGACGCCTTCTTTAAACATTGATAGCTTGAGATGCCGCCAAACCGTCTATAATGAGTCGAAGCACTGCACTGGGCTGGTACTCGCAGTCATGCCGCCTTTTGCAAAGGGTATATTCCGACACCACACGCTCACACGCTACGGAGCTAATCTCTCTATTTTCGTGACCAGCATGACCATTATTTCAATTTTCCGACTTCCAATGGCTTACCGCCGCTCAAAAAACGACGATTTTGCCGCTGTGCCGCTCCTGGAGCTTCGCTGCCAAACACCTCCCACAGGCACGACGATTTTGTTCTACCGCCAAAATCGGGCGGTGGGCTTTCTGAAGAGCTGGGTCATAGAGCTAGAGAAAAAGAGGCAGAAAAGGTTCGTATACAGTCCTAGATCTAGAGTGTTGTAGGCTTGTTGTGCTAACAAGGTTCGTTGAGAGCAGGAATTCTACTTGAGCCTGCTCAGCTCTGCGTCTACGAAACGAGAAGCGAAAGCTTACCTTTCACGGTTCAAAGCTGAAAAAGCTGCCCCTGATCAATCTCACCAACCCAATAAACGGCAAACTGGGCCTCTATCGGACCTGGAGCCGGGGAAGAACAAACCCGGGGTAAATTTGGGGAACATATTTGGAAACCCAAGGGCTGTTGGGCATGAACCGCGCTTCAGGCAGGGGTCAGCACCCGCTCAAACAGCGGATACCGTGGCTGGAAAGCTTCACGTTGCTTTAGTCAAGGTTCGGGAGCCTCAATTCCTGGATGATCAAACTGTACACGGCGTTGCCCAGACGCTTTCGCAGCTGAGTAGACTTGGTATGAATTGCTGCGTTGTTGTGGACGCTGGCCAGGGCCAGGATGAAATCACAGCGCGCAAAACTGCCACAGAACAGGCAGATCGGTTGTCTGCCGCCATCGATGCTAACCATGGCCCGGATTCGCGCCGGCTAGATTCACTCATTGCAGTATCGTCAACTGGAGATTCAAAACCCTCAGTTTTCTCCCGCAATTCATTACTGTCTCCGCTTCGACAGGGCCACATCGTCGTTCTTACACCTATTGGGTATACTAAAGATACCCAACGAGCGGTGTTAGTTCCAGCGAATGAAGTGGTCCTAGCATTGACTAAAGAATTAGCAGGTTTGGAATTACGGCCTGACCCTGATGAGGATGCTACGATTACCGCCAACAAAGTTCATGACATGCAAAAGCAGGTGTCGCTGGATAGGCTTATTATCTTAGATGCTGCTGGTGGTATCCCTTCATTCCAGGCGCGCCCACACGTTTTTGTGAATTTAGAACAAGAGTTTGACGATATCGTCAAGGAGTTAAGCCAAGGGACTGATACTCCATCTCTTGAGAAAAGGGATACTAACACTGCTAATCGCAAAATGCCTGTCTCGTCCGCTGGGAGGAGCAATCCCATTTCAAAATTCGTCGAAGAAGAACTTGTATCACTTCCTGAAGAATTGACGCAGACTCAGCGGCCGCCTGCTAAAAGCCGCGGATTTGAGGAGCAGCTCAATAATCTGAAACTCCTGCAAATTACACTCTCACATCTACCTCCGTCTTCGTCCGGCATCATCGTCACGCCGAATGAAGTAGCAATGTCTGCCAAAGACTCTCGAAACCCTTCCACGATGTCCGCAGTCGGCACACGGCGACAGCAAAACCCACTCATTCATAACCTATTAACGGATAAGCCGGTTCGATCCGCGTCTCTGCCCCTCGGCAGATTGGGCGTCAAAAATGCTTCTCCATCAAGTAGCGAGAGTCTAGCGGCGTCGTCTACTTTTCTAAAACGAGGAATGCCTCTGACTATGCTACCGGACCCTCGAGTTGAAGTATGGACAGTGAAGAAACCTGGGGAGGCCATGTTAACTTTGGATGACCCCCGAATTGACCTTCCACGGTTGGTTCATTTGATTGAGGATTCCTTTGATAGAAAACTAGATGTTTGCCGCTACATTGACCGTGTCAACTCCCGTCTTGCTGGGTTGATCATTGCTGGCGAATATGAGGGCGGCGCGATTTTGACCTGGGAAACGCCTCCAGGTGTGTGCAATGATGGGAGTGATGAGAGCAGGGCCCGGATGGTTCATACCTCGACAAATTTGCTGTGCTCAAGCGAAGCCAGGGGGCAGGGGGAGTGGCAGATATTGTATTCAATGCGATGGTTCGAACTTGCTTCCCCAAAGGCGTTTGCTGGCGGAGTCGTGCAAACAACCCCGTTAACAAGTGGTATTTTGAGCGGTCAAGGGGAACGTGGAAGCTCCCTGGGACGAATTGGACCATGTTCTGGACGACTGAAGGTGTCCCAGAGGATCAACAGCGGTTTTGGGATTACGAGGGTGTTTGTCGGTCCATTGAACCGAACTGGGCTGACAATAAGCAGCAGGTTGATTGATTGTACGGTCACATGTAGCCCGGGACCTCTTACTATAGATTTAACAAAGCAATTTACACCCGCTGTTAGATTATGCTCTTGTCCTTCATTGTCGATCTTCAAGCGCTTCAAACTGCGGAGGGATCAAAGATCTTCCGGTCCGGATATCAGATCCCCGGTTTCTTGGCACATGCGCATTTATTTCATCCAGATGGTCAAGCCTGCAATAGGCAAGCTGAAGGAGCGTCGCGCCCAAGACTAGTAGCGGTTGTTGGTGGCTTAAAGATGAAGTCTTGACGCTTCACAATGCCAATATGCATTGAATGCTGCTATCCTGTTTCTCACCTCTATACGTCCTACAGCAAGGCAGATGACCGCGCCCTTGGGAAAGGGGTGCGGTTAACACAATGCCCACGATGCCGACGATTCGCGGATAAATATGTCGAACACGATTTCGTCGTGTTATTCATTGATCTGGTTCTCATAAAACCACAGGTATTGTTCGATTGTGACCCATTGTGCGTCATTGCAGTAACTAATCATGCGGGCTGCGCTATCTCAGGTCTATAGACATCTCCTCTTCAATCGGCTGGGACAAGACGATGGCAAGCTCGATGTATGTTGCTCGATACGGCGCTCTCTAGATAGATAATTCAAAGGAAAACGGTTGCTGACCCCTACAATAGCGTTCTATTATTCGCCTTGGGATTCTAATCCTCCTCTTCGATGTCTACCTTGCCTGGGCGCGACTCGAGAAATCCGCGATTATCGGACACTCCAAACTAGCGAACGCGCCCATTGTGGTGCAGTATATATTTTTCCTCACGGTCAAATCACTCGCGACGGTTTCTCATCACTTGGTGGTCCGAGTGTTGGCGTACCTGCTCGTTTCCAGACCGGCGACTTTGGCGGATGCCCGCAACCAGAATCACTGCGATGGGAGTGGGACGGACGCTAGTCCACCCAGTCCTTCGATGGCGGCGGCTGCTACACCGTCTCAAACCGCGATTTCAAGCCCTCCGGCGCCGAAAAGACTGAGCCGCCCGCCTTCCTGGAATAGTACCACGACTCCATCAGGCTCAACTCAAGGCGCATTTGATACACAATCGAATTCCATGCCACCGCCGCCTCTACCTCCCCTGGCTCGGACTTCCACATCCACAACGTTTATCCAACCCATCCCGCCGCCTTCGTCCGCGAGTTTCAATTCAATCAGCACTGCGCTAGTCGTTAGTAGTTGCACGAGACTATTTCCTATATTACTCGTGATTTGGAACCCAGACTCGTCTGAGAGTTCTAGCTCCACGACAAATCAGTCACCTTCCTCTGTCTCCAGTACGGCTCGATTGTTGCACAGAATCAGTTCTGCCACTTCAACCGTAACTTCCACGCCAGAGGTTGCGCGGACCACTCCTACACCTATTGCTCGGGGGTCTTCCATATCTCTTACCTCGCCAGCATCGTGGGGATCGTCACCAGCACTGCAGCCGCTTCTATCACTTCTTTTGTCAGTGACGAATACACATCTCGTCCTATTAAATAATGTAGAGGCACTTTATATTTTGCTAGACTGCGGCTACGTGCGAGCTTCAGCGATTACATTGGGTGGTCAATTAGCTAGATGGACTGTCGAACGGTCATTGTTGCGCTTAGTAGGCCTCTGACCCTGTGTTGAGATGGGAAAGGTTCTAGCTTCAGAATGATAAATGACATGAAACATCTAGAACTACTTGATAATTCCAAATAGTACGGAGTATATCCAGTTAAAAAGGAAACCAGCATTTGTTTCTAATCATACAATTCACCCAGAACACCGAAAATGTGAAAACCCGAGGTAAAAGTTGATCAAAGAATATCACCCGACAGGGGAAACGAAATGGCGAAGATTGTCAAGACCGCATATTATATTACTAGTGAGGAGCCATTCCCGGTCGTATATCAGACCTTTGGGGGGCGATCAACGGATTTAATTGCGAGAGGAACGTTATAGCTACCATGCAGGTTAGTTGGATGGTCGCGACTTCAAATTTCGATATCTGTATGCCTGCGCGGTTTGAGCAAAATGCGAAGAGATAACGTACCCCACATAAGATAGCACGCTGTAAAGGCGAGAATCAAAGAGCTCCGCCATACCCTAAAGAATATCCTTATAGTCAGCCTTCTGTGTAGTTGTAATAAGGATCCGTGATATGCCATTCTTCCAGGGCGGGTTGAGTCGAACTGGACGTGATGGGCTAATCGACAGTGCGGCTCGCAATTCTGTATCTGTTTTTCGTTACTGCATATATTCGTAGGATGCATAACCACCTTAATCCTTCTTTGCTTCATGGGGCTTCTTGGAACCCGTGGGGGGCGTTCATCATCTTCATCTCAGACGCTTCGTCAAATGTCTCTCCAGCCCAAAAACTAGCCTCGCCAAATCGTGATCGAAAATCGAGCCCGACGTCCAGTTTGTCCGGGTCCCCGAAATCGCTCCGCCCCGCGCATAATGTGCCAGTAGAAAGGTGGGAAAGGGCCTACTAACGTTCGGTTCTCGCCCTTGGGACTAAACACCCACGCAACCAGATTCGCTAAGACAACGAACACGAGGCCAATAATTATGCTCCATCTAAATGACGGGAAACAGTTAATTAATTATGAACAGAATCCATACGCGGAGAAGGAAGGGGTTATAAATTACCCGTTCGCCATTGTGGAATGTATGAACTGTATCCTATTCCACCCGCAACCGGAACTGGCTGGCGCTGCATGAAGCAGTGCAGCACGGCAAAGAGGCAACGCAAAGTAGGTAGCTATAAATCAGTGGGATGACAGAGGAGAAAGAATCTATCAGTGACGGTTCCCTTCAAAAGTGCAAGCCATCTCCTAATGAAGTTGATGCCTTTCAGACCAACCGGCAGCTAGCTGGCTGCCAAGAAATAATATGATTACATAATCCTCCTTCGGTCCTCCCGCTGCCTTGGGATTTCAAGATGAGCGGAATTGCTCAACTCAACCGAACCCTCAGGACAAATGAATTTGACTACGAACCTGCATATATACTTCAAAATTGACATTTGATGCAGCAGGCTAAACGCTCTCGCAAAGTCTCACGTGTGTTACTGGCCTTTTCAGCAAAATCTTTGCCAGGAAAGGATCAAGCATTGCATGAGCATCGCATTGATTGACGTTGGTTGGAAAAATGGACCAGGCAATGCTCTCTAACCTTTTATTTTTACCCAATCTGACTACTTCCGCACAATTGGAAAAGGCCCTTGGACTATGGAGTAACCCTTATACAACCAGAAGATCTGCCTTGGTGTATCCATAGAAAAACATGGAACGCATACGGTCCCGTCTAGAATGCATTGCTAACATTGCAACTGGAACGGAATCTGTTATAGACGTAATCGCGATGGCCCCCACACCACATTTATATACAAATATCTTACTCTCGTCTGATTCAATGTTCTCGTCGCACGTCATAACAACCCCAACTTCGAGCCTCTTTTCCCACAAGGATTTTCAAACCCTAGGCTCCTTCTTCCTCAAAGAAACACTTCAAAAGTTTTCAATTAGTTCGTGACAGATTCGAAAAAGGTCATCATAACGCCTTGGTGCACATTCTTTGCGACCACTTTCAGATTGGCGTGGGCCTTGCAATCGTTGTCATAATAGTTCATATCATCAACGCTATCGAATTCCGACACAACGGCGAGAGTGTATCCCTGGCGGCGCTGGTCGTCGAATGTCGAGCCGGCTCGGACGGAGCGGATGTAGGGCTTTCCGTCCTATTTTGTTACGGTGCTGGTGAGCCTTGGACCTCTCTAACGGTATAGGGGAGCGGTGAAATCAGTAATCTCGCACTTTTAAGGCGTCTTGCGCCATAGTTTTGTACATGGCCAACAGTTGCTGGCGATGTTCCTCCTCAGGGACCTTGAAAAGAGTGACTCGCGTGATAGGCATGGTGCGTCGTCTTTGGTGGGCTGTGCTGGTGGAAGTTGAACGGGACGAGGCAGGAAGCGAAGGTAGATGTAGTCTGTTAGATGCGATCAAGGCGAGAAGCAGCTTTCAGAGGGATAATCGACTGTCTTCTTGATTAAAAGTTCCTCTCTGGTGGTGTGGGGTATGTGGGGTAGTCGACGGCCATTCCGCACTCTCCGTTGCTGGTTATTAATTCCGCTCCGGCGCAATGCTTCACTTCCGATCGCCTGGATTAGCCGCCTTTTGATATTAAAGAGCTGCTTAAAATTCAATCCAAACGGCCCTTATAGGATTGATATAGCCTGGCTCGATTCTTCGGAATGGCCTTTGTAGTGCCAGGTAGTGTAACAAACTCTACCCAAACGTAATCTGAGGCAACCTCGAACAAATTCATTTCGATGTCAATATTCCGTAACAATTGCTTACAAGATTGAACAATAGGCCGACCAGTTACATCTGCAGACCAACAGAAATCGAAAACGGGGAAAAGAGAAAAGCCAATCGTATGGAACGATGGTGAGAGATGACAAGATAGATAATGAAGACTGATAGAAGAAGCCGGTGTCCCGTAAAATATACAATCTCCACGGTAAAGTTCAGAAACATTATAGTAGCAGAATACAGCCCAGAGGGGTAGTAAAGTTTGTTGAATGCCCATCATTTGCTTGAAACATCCGAAAGTTAAGTCCCAACGAACATGGTCCAACAGTGCTGTTACAGCAGGGAGATTAGGGCAAAAGTCTGAAAGGTGGAAGCGGCAATTGAATATGTTGCTTGCGTCTACGCTCCCTCTCGGCTCTTGCGGTAGTTTGCCTGTTTTGGAGAGATTCTAATCAGTACTTTGTGCGTGGCTGAGGAGTTATTCGAGGGGCCTAAGTATACCTCCTGTTCCACTTGCAAGCCATCGATGACAGGAGCCAGTTCACTGAGGATTTCGTAGGCCTTCTTGTGATATTCTAGCTGCGCAGCGACCAAGTCGGCCAAGTTTCTCAAGGGTTCGGGCGTATCAATTACCTACAAATTGAAAGAAGGAGTTAGTTGTGATGTAGAAGATCAAGTGGGGTGTCAGCACATACATTCTTCATTACACCGACAGCTTCTTCGGTTTGTCCAACAAACTCATCCTCGGCTTGTTCAATTTCTGACCGAGCTTCCTCGCTGAGATGGTCCATTTCGCCCTTTGTGACGCCCTTGCTGGCCTTGGTGGAGTCAAGCATCAATCTCGAATTTTCCACATTCTTGCGCGCTTTGGTTGCAAACATCAAATTGGTATTCAGCGTCGTGTTCCATCCCGCCAAGAATCTGCTTTGGATTTGGGCATCTTGCGTGAGCCTTGCCTCTCCGACCTTCTCCGAAGCAAGGGCAAATTTCTCTAACCCGGCTGCGAGAGGGTCCTCTGAACCGTCGGGGTGAGCCTGGGTGAGCGTGTGCGAGCCGGCCAGTGCAGCGCGGGCAATAGCATGGCTGAATGTTTTTGGCTGTGGTTTGGCGGACGGGGGTGCTGTGAGAGCGGCTTGAGCTTCGGCGGGGGTAGTGGCGTGGGAGAGGAGCTGAACTTTCTCGCCAATTGTACGGCCAAGATCATTAAACGATTCTCGAATATTCGGAGGGTAATCGTACGCCTCGTGCGAGTATTGAGATCTGCGGTTACAGAGTTGAGCATAATAATCTCAACGGAAGCCCGTATCTTCAACACACACTTACGTCACCTGAAGGAGTTTCTGATGAACCGCCTTTAGAGCATCGACGCGTTTCTCGAGCTCAATATAGTCATCTGGAAGCTGGGTCTAATCGACGAAGTAAAAGTATAGGTCAGCTGAGCTCGACATCCTTGGTATACTTCATCGCAGGCGGTACCTTGTCTTCAGCTTGACCGAGTTGCTCCTTGACAAATTGCTGCGTTCGAGCAGCAAAAGGAGAAAATGTTGCGCTAGAAAGCGTTACGGTTTATGGGGTCAGTGATAGTGCTCAGGTGAAGGCAGAAGCTGGACAGAAATTACCTGAAGTTCTTCCCGAAGGCCTGTACCTTGTCCATAGCTACCTCGCTTTCGAGTACTATTTAAAGGTGATACTAGATAGGGCTAGTGGTAAATAGCAAAATGGGGTAGTTCTGAGAGTCAAATTAGATGATCTTTGGATCTGAATTCGTTGCTTTCCAAGAGACGGATAGGCCGCAGACAGGACGAGCTGATGCTGTTTATTTGGGTTGAAGCCGCAGTTCCCAAGCCGGGAATCGGAGAAACCACTCTCCGAGATAAGTTGACCTCAACATCAAGCTCCAATCTCAAGACATTCTTTTATTCACTAACTATTATTGCCGAAGATGCTCTTTGATATGCAGCAGTTATATATATATGATGGTGCTCGCCAATGTAAGGGCTCCCTCAGCTTTATTAATCCCAATTTCCCCCAATTCCAAATTCCAAATAGCAGATAGCCACCCATGCCCAAAAGGTCCCGGATAAATGAGAGGAAACAGGAACACAAGGTGTTATCACGGAAAAGACAAGCAATTGAATATACAAATATTCGACTAACCGTTTCAAAACCCATCCCCTAAAAAAGTTCTGATAGATCGTATGGTGGAGAAAGGAGCGGTGGGGGAAACCGCTCTCAGAAACAAGCTTCGTATCGGTATGTTGAGGTGGGTGTTAAAATTAACCGCTCATAGCGAGTGCGGACACTTGACTAGGTCGTGTCTATCATAGTACAGATGCACCCAACCTGTCCATCAAGTAAGGGTCGCCATCATGGCTCGAATCAGGCGGGGGCTAGGAGCTAAAGGGCAATAAACGTCAGGTTTCGTCCAATCTCTCGGGCAGGACTCACTCACCCTTATAATCGCGCCGAACCTCCACGACATCACCAGGTGACAGAGTTTCACGGCCGCTAAGTAACCTCCTTTCTTCTTCGAGTGCCCGAATCTCAGCCCGAATCTCCCGGTCGCTGCGGCGATGGCGAGCTGGTAAGATCAATGCGACGTCGGTATTCGGTTGGATTACTTCCTCAACGTGACGGGGCTCGACGATGCGGACTGGAGACGAACGCCGCCGAGGACGAGTCCGCGGAGTCGGTGCAGGCGCCGGGGATGGCGAAACCCGACGGGTGCGGCGAGGCTCCACCTCCAAAAACTCGGCTTTCTGCCTAATGACGCTGGGGCTTCTACGCCGGGACTTCGAGCGCGTTCTCTCAACAGAAACCGATTCACGAGTCCGGGTCACTACTCGCTCCTTCCCTTTGATTTCCTCCACTATTGGCAGACTCGTTAGCTCGGACTCAAAAGGCGGAGAATGCTTGGGTGTTGAGATTCACCTCGAGTTTTTCGTCGGATTTCCCTGCTAAATGTCACGAGCTCATCGATGTTCTCCTTTCCAAGAGCCTGAAAGATAATGATGTTGCCGTCCTAAAACCATGAGTTAGCCATTGTATTCCGTCAGATCAGGGACTCGATTACCTACCACTTCTTCGAACTGGTAGCCCAAATCAATGAGCGCGCGAGGGTGTACCAAGTGCTTTGGAACCCGTGTTTTCCCTCGACGAGGGTATGGGCGTTCGATTTTCTCCTTTACAATCTCTTCACGCAATGAATATCGTCTTCCCCGAGGAGTGGCACTTCTATCCGCTTCACGCACTCTTCGAAACACTTCGTCACCGTAGTAATCCGGCTCTGCAACGCGGATTGAGTCTAAATCGGATTCAGATGGCGGTGAGTGCCTTCGAGGAACGGCGACGGGGACAACAGGGGGTCCGTAGTCATCCCGGTCGTACCGATAGTAGTCGCTTGCTAGACGGGTTGCTGCACGGTCAAAGGTGTCTAGAGACGACTGGCGCCGTAGCAACCTAGGCTTCCGCGGCGGAGAGGGGGAGGTGCGGCGTTCTTTGAAAGGGATGATAGCATCAGAGGTGGAGATCAGGTGTTCATCCTCGTAGTCTCTGTCCGGTCGTCGAGCTGGCGGCCCGTATCTTGCCTGGGAGTTCAGATATTCCTCGACGAAAGAGGGACCGCGTTTTTCTACTCGATCCCCAACGACTTGGACCGCGGTGCGTCGTTCGCGGCGGGAGGGTTCGTGTCGCACCTCGCGTTCCCGCATGAAGCGTTCTGCATCCCAGCGACCACCAGCCCCGCTTGAGCTCGCCGTGGTGGAAGACGCCGTGTCCCCGTAACGAGACATGTAAATCGATTTGGTGTTTGCCTCTTGAGTTCAACAACAGAAGGTACTGCGGATTATGGTAGCTTTTGGGGTTCGATCCGTGGATGCTGTGCGGGTGCCAATGTCAAATGGAGTTCTGATCCCTGGTAGGCAGGTCGGTGGGGTTTTACGAGGTGGTCCCTGTGCCGATGTCGAAGCGGAGTGAAATTGAGGCTCAGTCAAGCGTATCGCGGATGAGAAACAGTCCAGCTGTCGAGATGTTATAATATATATTTCGTTGGGCGAAGGCGATTCTCCAGCTTATTTTACTAACTCGTTCTTCGGCGGCTCTCTCGTGATGACGACAGCGGCTTAAGAGTCAATCCCGACGGCGCAGCAACAATAATAAGCAGCACCAGCGCAATCAAGCGATTAGAAATTAAAATAAGAAAAAAGGGAAAATAGCAATTGATTTCTAAATAAAAACTCCTCCCAGAAATTCCTTGCTCTTCTCCGAGACCAAAATCTTCAAAATGTTTCTCTCCTCCCGTCTATATGTAAACAAGCGTTGAAACACCCTGTCTCCCCAGCATCGCCCAGTCGGCGACTCTTGACACACATCCAGTGTCACCAATTGAGTCCCCCGTCAAAAGCAGCAAATCCTACAGTGCCAGCTCTCGAACAGCGCCCTCCGCTGCCCAACCAAAATGTTCTCTCATTAGCCATTCCGTTCTATTCCTGGACGTTTCCGTTTTCAGGGAGTCTTGTCCAATCGTTATTTTCTTTTGTTGGACACCCATGTCCCATCCCCCTTCTGCTGAACCTCCCAAGGGCCAACGCCCGGCAGCCAGAAATGCCTGCCCCCCCCTCAGCGGTGATGTCTAACAGGATTATTGGGTACCCAAGACAGGGAAAGCAATTATGAAGTTACTTTCTTCTGAGTGATTGGAGAGCAGTTGCTGAAAAGTCTCTGCATCATGGGACCGGGGATCGATCGTTGTAGGTTAATGTGGCGAGATAGTCCCTTAGCGATTCAGTGCACTTCACCCTGCATATTCAACAATCCATACTGCACCCTGCGTATTGGTTTGAATAATAAGGCGATTGATCCATGTTCGGAGTACTCCACACAACTAATCCAGCAGTTCAGACGTGAATGAGAGTCACTCCTCCCGCCCGACAGAAAAAGCATCGTTGATATCTGCCTCAGAGGACCTCCCTATTGATAAATTTCTCCACTTCAGCTCCCTTGTTAGACATTCGAGAAACAGCATTAACCTCAAAGGACTTCTTTTGCTGCGCCCTCGTCCCATGATTCCTTTGCGCCGCAAATTCCAAGAAACTCGAGCGTTTCTGCCTGGCTCAGAGGATGGCAGCCTAAATGAATCATCAAAATTCGCAGATGACTGGCAGAACATGTTAGTCCCTGTCTCTCAAATTAGGCCTTGGACCGGAAAAATGACTTTTGTCTTGGATGTGAAGGGGTGTGACCCTTTGCGCTGAACTTGTCCCATTGAAAATTTGAATATCAGAATATTGATAAGCAAAATGGAAATGGTCAAGAAACAACTTATTATATTCTGTCTTTCAGTTTCTTTTGCAGGTATATACCACAAGAGAACATATACAGATGGGGCTTTCAAAACATCCCAAAGTGGTTAATAAATGTTGAAAAATGCTTTTCACATAAAAGAGACCACACACCATCCTGGCACATCCTCACCCTTGCCACTCACATTTAGTATACCAACTCCACCAGTTGACTTTTGCGGTTGTTCTTGCAAGTTATCACTTCACAATGTTCACCTGATTGCTAGCAACCTAGAATGGTTATTGAGCCTAGGTGAAATAAAAGCTTATGGTGGTTGGCATAATAGAATAGTGCTGGCTGTGCAGACACTTTGGGGTCTAGTTCAGCATCATTCAGCATTGCTACACATGTCTTTCTGCTAGAGACCAAAATGCGAATATAACTGTAAGATGACTTGGACCATGAAGGGGTTCCTTAATCCAAATTTAACATGTTAAGAATGAGATTTATCACATTCTTGCTGGGATAGAAACAAGTGATAAAGAGACCAGAGCGGCTTTCTGGCTGACAATCAATATCCTGGGTAAATCACCCGCACAACCAAAGTATCGAAAAGCGATATTGACCTCAGATTTGCAGGATCATATCTGTCGGACTTTTCAATATCCGAGCCGCTCAATCGGATAAACCCTCAACCGATGCCGACGACAGCTCCCGAATTTTTGTCGAAGCATGCTGAGCGCACAAGATGGACGAATTCATATTACGATTCGATCTCTCAATGATATGTTAAATAAGATTTTACGGCCCAGACGCCAATTGAAAGCGTAGGCCCAGTCCAGAGTTCCTCGAGAAACGCTCGTCTACTGTTGGTACGGCCATCTTGCACGGCTAGCTCAAGATGTTCGCAGTACCAGGTTGGTCAGTCTCAACGGCCGAATTGAAGCTGCAAAAAGAACAACAGGCTCCTACTCCGCACGCTTCCTCAGCGAGAAATGCTATATCGGACAATCCTCCCAAGTCAAATAAACGTAAGCGAAACAATGCCTTGGAAGACAAGGTCACGAAAGCGAACGTGGATGAGATGTGGAAGAAGCATATCGAGGGTTTAAAATCAGGAGGAAATAAAGCAAAGAGCTTAAAGCCCAAAAAGAAAAAGAAGGGGGAAGCGAACTCGGGCGGTTTGGGGAACGGCGCTGCGAAAATAATCGGTCAAGTTAGTGGCCCGGGCTTCGGGGGTGATGAGCAGTCGAGATCTACGAAACATAATTCAAAAAAGGGTGGGCATGGCGACAGCCATGTGGAATCTCCTCGAAAGAAACAAAAGCAAAGCGCGCCTGCGAATACATCTAAGAATGGAGGGAAGCATACTTCCACTTCCCCAGTGGCCCTGCCCGCTGCGGCTCCAGAACCTCCCAACTTAACTCCATTACAAAAGGCCATGCGAGACAAGTTGGTCTCTGCACGCTTTCGGCATCTCAATGAAACCCTCTACACAACGCCGTCGAGCAAGGCTCTCGAGCTTTTCACTGCGAGTCCAGAACTGTTCGCGGAATACCACGCAGGATTTTCACGACAAGTGAAAGAGTCCTGGCCATCTAACCCCGTCGACGATTACATTCGCGCTGTTAAAGCGAGAGGGCCTATTCGACCTCCAGCTAAGGGATCGAAAAGGAACGAAAAGCCTGGACAGCTAGTAGCCTTGCCACGACGCCCAAGTGGCATATGCACCATTGCAGATTTAGGCTGTGGCGATGCTCAATTCTCTCGGGCTCTCACACCCCTATCTAAGAAGATGAAGTTGAAAATTTTGAGCTATGACCTGCACGAAGGCGATCCGCTGATCACAAAGGCGGATATATCGGCCCTACCACTTGAGGATGGCACAGTTGACCTTACAATATTTTGTCTTAGTTTGATGGGCACGAATTGGGTGTCATTTGTTGAAGAGGCCTGGAGGGTGTTAAGGGGGGACGGAAAGGGTGAGTGCTGGGTTAGCGAGGTCAAGAGCCGGTTTGGAAAAGTGACGCGGAAGAATAAACCGAATCCCAAGCCTGCTATTGGAAGTAAAAATAAGGCGAAGAAGAAGCTCAAGGAGACCGACGATGATGAGGGCGATATTGGCAATGAAATATTCGCTGAAGATGTACGTGCGAATCAAAATATGGACGATGAAACCGACATATCTGCTTTCGTGGAGGTGTTTCGGACGCGGGGTTTCATTTTGAAACCTCAAACGCTGGACAAATCAAATAAGATGTTTGTGAAAATGGAGTTTGTGAAGCACGGGGTGCCAACAAGAGGAAAGTGGGCCGGTACTGGTGGTGTTGATAAAGGTTTCAAGAAAAGGTTCTTGGAGCCAGAAGACAACGGGCTTACACCGGAGGAAGAAAGCCAAGTCCTTAAGCCATGCGTTTACAAGATCAGATAGGCTCGTCTATTGAAAAAATCTGTTCCCTTTCTGGTCAAATGTCCATCTGTTAATCTATCAAGACCGTTGAGAATTTCACTGGTTCTCTCCCAATGTAGACACTACCCTGCCCATATCTTCATCATTGTAGATACGGAACCCTTTCTCCTTTGTCACACTTGCCAATTGTACATTTTTAGCGTCCAGCTTTTCTTCCATAACCTGCTTGAGGGTCTTCAAAACCAAGGTTTCAGCTTCCGCCAACGTCAAGGATCGATGATATTCGTTTTGCAGTTCGGCCTGGGCGCCTTCACTGCCAGATCCTATAGCTTTGGCATCGTAGCGGTAAAATGTGCCGGACGGTTCTGCATGATATCTAGAGTCCTCGTTAGTACAGTACACTCCCAGCCCGGCTTGTTTGCGCTAATAAAACGTACAATTGCGGCCCATCTTCATCATGACCTGCGATGAGGAGGGCAACTCCAAAGGGCCTACTCATTACGCTCTCCTCTCCATCAGCCCCTTCTCCGAATCTCAAAGCCAAGTCGCAAATTGCCTGTGTACAACTTTCGACCCGGAGGGGTTCTTTGTAGTGAAATTCGTGATTTTGGCTTTCCACACGAGCATGTTCAATCATTGAGCGAGCATCAGCCTGTAAACCAGACATTGCACATCCTATATGCCGGTCGATTTCGACAATCTTCTCGACCGAGGAGGTTTCTAGCAGGGTGGATGTAACTCGTTTCTCAACGCCCAGTACTACACCTTCGGATGTCGCTACCTGCGGGTTTGTTAATCACGTCTCCTAGGGAAACACAGTCAATCGTCAAAGCGTACTCCAATCGCAGTTGAGCCAAGTTTGATGGCTTCGAGTGAGTATTCGACTTGGAAGAGACGGCCTTCCGGGGAGAAAGTGCTGGAGGGTTTGGCTATAAGTTTCGATACCTTGAGTTCGTACCGGCCGGCATTTACTTACTTGATGCCACGGTCTGTCAGAAACTGTTAGTGACCAGGCCGTAGGGTCGTGTTGGGCTGCCTTACCATATTCGGATCGCGCAATAAACATTGTGGCGGCGTATCAAACTGATAAGTGAGCGGAAATAGGATAAAGATGCAGGTTCTTTCAAAGGGGAAGAAGGGGCAAGCCTGAAGGCACGGAAGGGTATATAGCGTTGGGTTGGACTTGAAGATGACAGCTATGGGGGGAAGCTTGGAGCTCCAGCTGCTCAGATCGTTGGCTACGCAAACGGGAGTGCCTATCGGACACCGCGCTAAACCCAACTAGGACCAATACAACCAAGGTGCTCCAGACGCATCGCAATTGAACGCGTCCGTCCACGACAAGACTACCATCGGCCACTGTGCCTCGCATTTCCCCTTTCTGGCTATGACTTCGCCTTCTAATGTGAGAACTCCGCCAGCTCATGGTCGCGGGTTGAGTCAGTCCGGACCCAGGCCGCGGGTGGTCTCTTCAAACCATGCGAACAATTCCGGCCATTCGCGGCATGAACGCGTTGTGTCTAGGGGAAATATGCCAATTGGAGGAGATGCGCCTACAGGCCTGAAATCGTCGACGAGGGAAAGGGACTATAATGCGCCAAGTGAGCTGCGGACGGAGAGATCGCGGACCGCGACTCGCGACAAGGTGCAGGTCAGGACGAAAAGGCCCGTCCGGGAACCCGTGAGTACGGGAGGGAAAGGAGACTGGGAGAGACATAGGGCAAAAGCAAGCACGGGTAGCCCTAAGGCCAAGGAGAAAGAACCAGTTGAAGGTTGGTACAGACTCCTGTTAAAATTACTGTCTCCATGCTAACAGACGCTATGTAGCTCCATGGACCCCCAAGGTATCTCTCATTCCTCACTCGGCGGCACCTCTTTCATGCCGTGTTTCCGTACCACCATTGACGTCCTCGGCTCCTCAAAGATTGCGATCGAAACCTTTGAAAGAGCTTTCTATGGATGCTCAAGAGGCTGCCATTCTCCAGGATCTTCTTTTTGTTTTCATGGGTTATGAGGGTGAATATATCCATTTTGCAAATACATTCAACCCCGACTTAGAGTCAGATCGATTAGTCGGCCCATCATACCAGATAATGCCCGGATTGGACCCAAGTCTCCGGGACCTAACTATGGGAATGTTGAAAACGGCAACCCATTATAGTGCCATGGAAGCATTTGTGGAAGTGCAGAGCAGGGCAGAGTTTGGTGCCGTCAACCATGCCCTATGCGCAGCGATACGCAAATTGCTCAAAGATTATCTCATACTTATTGCACAGTTGGAAAGTCAGCTACTCAATAATCCGAATTTTACACTACATGTGCTCCATCTTCATACGATGCCTACTGCGCAAAGCCTATCTCAGCTATATTCATTTGGTCAGGATTTGCTAAAGAGAAACTCGCTTTTAGCACAAGATCCAGATGAATCAATTGACGATTTCGATGATGTCGAGAATATTCTAGAACAGCTACGGGAAGGGGGAGATCTAGCGCCTGGAGGAATGTCCAGCAAGAAGTTTTGTAAAGGAGGCAACGTCCTCGGACTTCTGACCCAGAGGCTAGCAACGTTTTCCGGGGACCCAGCGACCAAGGTGTTACTACAAACACTCTTACGGGAATCTAGCAAGCCATATATGAGGATGCTTAACGAATGGCTGCACCACGGCGAAATTAAAGATCCGCACGCAGAATTTTTAATAAAGGAGCAAAAGGGTATAAAACGAGACAAACTCGAAGAAGACTATACTGATGAATACTGGGACAAACGCTATACCATTCGTGAGACTGAAGTTCCTCCACAGTTGGAAAGCGTTAAAGATAAAGTGTTGCTGGCGGGCAAGTACCTTAACGTGGTCAGAGAATGCGGCGGTGTTGATATTAGCAAGGAAATGAAAGATGTACCACAAAGCTTTGACGACCCAAGATTCCTCGATAATGTAAACGGAGCTTATACTCACGCCAATGCCTCGTTACTGAATCTGCTTTTGACCAAGAACTCACTTACTACCCGATTTCGCTCCCTCAAACATTACTTCTTTCTTGATCGCTCGGATTTCTTTTCATATTTCTTGGAGTTGGGTACTTCTGAACTCAGGAAGCCTGCAAAATCCGTCAACGAAGGAAAGCTCCAGTCCCTACTTGACATCGTTTTGCGACAGCCGGGGAGTATTGCCGCCCAGGACCCTTTCAAGGAAGATGTTAAAGTTCGCATGAATCAAGTTGGTCTTACCAAATGGCTTATGCGCGTTGTGAGCGTCTCAGGTATAGATCAGGATAACCCCGAAGCACATCCTGAGAAGTATCAAACACCGGCACCGCAGACGACAGACGATGATAAAGATATTGCCGGATTTGATGCCCTCGAGCTTGATTATCTTGTCCCATTTCCTCTTTCTCTTGTTATCAGCCGCAAAACAGTGCTTCGCTACCAACTTGTTTTTCGACACCTACTCTCCCTTCGCTACTTAGAGTCGTTATTGGTCAATTGCTGGCAGGATCATATCAAGGTGGTTAGTTGGACGCACAAATCCACTGACAGGAAAATCGAGTTGTGGAAAAGGAGAGCCTGGGCATTACGGGCGAAAATGTTAGTATTCGTGCAGCAATTATTATATTTTTCTACGGCCGAAGTTATTGAACCAAACTGGCAGATCCTTATGGATCGTGTCAATGGGGACGATGCTGAGGGGAGTGAGGTGATGGTAAATGGAACAAAGCAAGTCAATCGAACCGTGGACGAGCTGATGCAGGATCATGTCGACTTTTTGGATACTTGCTTGAAGGAGTGTATGCTAACGCAAGGCAAGCTTTTGAAGGTAAAAACTTGAACTTTCCCTACCGTGCGAGATGAAGCCCTACTAAAAGTACGGATCCAGGTTCATTCTAAACTGATGACATGCTGCACAATGTTTGCATCCTGGACAGCATCGTCGCTTGCGCGTAATCTTGCTGCAGCAGATCCAGACCTATCGGGGACTAATGCGAAGCAGGCCTCTGGGCTCGAGTCTTCAAGGTCGTATGACCCTTCTCGCCTGGCAAAATTGGAAGATACCTTGAAGCGGTATGAAGATCACTTTGGAAGACATCTTAGAATCTTGATGGATAGGTACAACTTTCCGTCAACTATGAGGTAAATGCCGCTTGCTAATTGCTTGATTCCAGTTTAAATTATTTTGCCGCCACCGAGAGTGTTGTATTACTGAAGCTTGCCCATGCGCTGAGTGCTATAATGAAGGATGAGTGAGAATACTGTCATGCCGGTGCGTGAAGTATCAACTTCCAGTTTATCGTCGCTCTTGAGGATACCAAGCTGCACTCCTCTTACCAAACCAACCCGGTTTCCGGTTGACCCTCCAGACTTCAGACACATCCGCTCGAGTCAACAAACCCTGTGATTGTGTCTCTGCCCCAAATAATCTTCCCTAAAGCCTAACCAGGGCGTAATTATGGGATCATTGGGACAACTGGGACTGTTAATGTCAATGTATACATTGCTTCAGGGAATTTGAAACCTTGGAAATACATATACCAGAGGATATACATGGTTAGATGACCAATAGCAAAACTGAATATGAAACCAAAAGAGATATAACAAACACGCTATGAAGTAAGAACTGCCATTGCGCCGTAAGACGATGTATTGCCAGCCCGCCGATCGTACAAACAGTATTCACTTTTCTTCTTAATCGCTTATTTTTTCCTTGCTCTTACGCTTTTTCGATAGCTTTTCCCCATCTGATACCTTGTCAGTCATGTCTTCTGGTCGCTTCCGTTTCTTCTTTTTCTGTTCACCGGTGTCTTCCTTTGGAGGCACAAAATCCTTATCGAGCTCTTTCATCTTTTCATCCCTCTTCTGCCTTTGTCGTTCCATAACTTCTTCCTTTCTCGCCCGCTCCTTGGCCTGCTTGCTTAAGAAATATTCGCCGCTCTCAATCTGCAAATCCACCTTACTCTTCTCTTGAGGCGGCGGGAACGGAGTGTACACTTTCTTCGACTTATCAGTAACTTTGAACGGTTGTTTCCTCTTGTTCAGCGTTCGCTTCTTGAAGTGAGGGAGGAACCTGTCCCAACTCTCATTGGCTAGCTTTGGGTCTTTCGCGAGCTCGCGTTTAATCATTAATTCTTTGACGTGATAGATGGGATGAATATTGTTCATGCAATCCTCGACAACGCGACGAACTTCTTTCAGCCCTTTGAACGGGCCCATCGCCGCGACGGTGTTGCCTTGGACAAGGAGATACGTTTCTGTTAGAAGTTCCAGTGCTTTTAGGGTAGAGCCGGATGGACCAAGAATTCGTTGGCGGCGTTTGACAAATCGTTCTTTATTGCGAACTAGATTTCGAATCTTAATGATGTCGCAAGCTACTCCGTCTTCAAGGATTTTGAGTGCCTAGCAAATTATCCCATGCGTCAGTCCTACACCGATCTTAGGGTAGGCACACTTTGAACGAACCTGAGGCGTAGGCACACTTCTCGCAAGGAGCTTTATCAGGTCTCGAGCTTTGAGAATGGCGGCTGGGTCATAGGTTTTCCGTGTCGTTTTCACCGTCATACTTCCCTCCACCAAGTCTAGCGTACACGCAATACCTTGTTTCTCTAAAGCCCTTGTGATTATAGGCCATGTTTCTTTGAGATAAACTTCTCTATATTTTGGAAATAGGCTGACGAATGAAGACTCTTCGGCGAACGTACCAGCGACATTGTCGTCTGGTTTAAATTCTTCGATCTGGTCGGTGAAAATTGTTAGCATGACGTTAACCCAGACTGGGCAAGGAGCTGGCCAGGAGCGAACCTTCCATTTATCTATGTCATCTGTATCCCAGGGCTTTTCTTTCTTGTGTGTAGACGGCATTTTCACTGGCAAAACAAGGCGCTTGCTGCCTTTCTCCAGGTGCTATCTTGGAGAATTATATCAGTTGTGCCGTCTCTGACCGCTTCCGATATTAGCAGCTTAACCCGAGACACGTGATGCTATCGGAAGGATTAGCCGAGATATCTCGGAAACGGACTATTATATATCCGACTAGCCTTGGCATTGCTTATCTAACACTACTAGTTATGAGCTTCAAGAAGAAGAGCAACCGGATGGTTTTCTTTCTAATGAAGAGTTTCTGATATTGGCCGAAGCAAGGTCGAGTCAAAAGGTCTGATGCAGATTAGAGATTGACCTGGATCTCAAATCTCGAATCGCTCGGATAGTATGCCGACTAAGTGGAGATACTAAGCACAGGGAGCTTTGTCCGAAGGCATAATTATCACCACTCTTCTCCGAAAATGGTCTACATAGGGGTGCAATGAGAGGTATTGGCCTGAAAACAAGCCCTGCGTTGATGGGTGAAAATATTTCATTTGAAATCTCAGTCATATCGATACCATAGCGATCAGAGTCTCCTCTATCCAAAGTGCAAGCTGACGACTTTATTTCACTTGACCAGTTCTAACAAGAGATCTACTTCTAGCTAACTATGGTTAACTATATAACTAACGGGAAAGATTGAATTCAACAACATGGAGCCCTTCACCCGCCAACACTCCGTACGGAGTACATTGTACAGAATCGTCCTAAAATGTTAGTTGCTCAGATTCGCCAATCCTTGTGGACTTGCCGAATCAAATGCTCCGAAACAACTAACGTTCTAATAAATATAAATATAATAACTAGAACAGAACCCCATCTCGGACAGGCTGGTGAACTGTGAGCCTCAAACAAATGGCCGCCGTATACCCTTGGTTGCTAGAACCACGAGCATCTCTTGTTTAAAGACTCCCTCCGTGAAAATAGCATGCCATTGGATGTTCAAAAGGAGCCATCATTCTACCCCATTCAATCCGAAATGCCCAAAGGCAGATAAAAGAGTACGGAGTATTGTCATGTAGTATTGTGAAAAGGACTTGCCGGCCGATGTACTCCGTAAGTTGATCCCTGATTTCAGCCTCTGACGGACAAGTCACACGTCCCGTCCCCCAACCGCCACAACCTCACCTGTCTTCGCGGGTTCTGTCCTTGTGTTCATGTTACGCAAGACATGGCAGCTTGAACGTGTATCTGCCAAAGAAACCTTTTTGTTGCTTGCCCTTCTCTGCATTCATAAAACTAGACCGCTCTCTGATCCGTTGCCTGTAATACTGCCACATTTGCTGAGCTGCCTGACGCTACAGGAACGAACCGGAAGAACGAACTGTTATTTTGTCCCTTCAAGTGGTATTCAATCTTTTTCTGCTCCAAAGGCCTGCTTTGTTGGCTAATTCATGTGTTGGGTTCGAAGGAAACCATCGTCAAGCAGGACTTGAATTCCACAGAAATCCCAAGCGTTCGCCAAAAGTCGAGGAACAGCTGAAGCGCCAGCATGCCGTTAAAGGCTGGTCAACTTGCGATTCCAAAACTCCATATTTGCACTTCTCTAATGCATGGTAACTCCAAACCCAATCTCACACCCGAAATTGACGGCTGTGGTTGCATTTGGGGTGGTTGTGTTCGATCATCAAGTTGCACTTAGCTGTACCAACGGTACACACATGCAGTCAGAATTTGTTTGGCCTTGGGGACTTTGACACCTGTTGGCGGGCACTTAACATAGCAGTAAATGCCTGCGGCCACAGAGCCAACGATTGGTTCTCTGTCCGGTTGCATCAACTATAACCGAAAAGAGCCCGAAACATGAAGGATTCAATTGAGGATGCCGTCTTTTTCCAAGGTTATATTCTCTCGGACTACATGGAGTAAATAACAATCCTCTCGAAATGCGGCAGAACGTCGAACAAACAAGGCAAATGTGAACCGAAACTCGCAAAATATGATCTGTGTCCGCAACAACGGTATTGATGCGTGCTCGGTCGCCGTCCTACAACTTTCGTCCGATGCACACGTATCTTCGACGTTATTAGAATACACTCGGGTTTCAAACTGGGGGGTGGTACCTACAATGGGACATATGCTCTCAGGGACGGATCATCGGCTTCCTCTCTGGCTTGTGAGATCAGATCATCTAGCTCACTCCGGGACATATGCAGCTTTTGCATGAACGGATACAATGCTAGCGAGCTAAGCCATCTTTGGGCGTTGTCTCGGTTCGCGGCTCCGATCGCTTTCATTCTTGAGTCTTAAGGATGTAAGTACCGCTAGAACCACAAAAGAAACGTTTTGCGAATAGTAAGCTTACCAGTTGGCCACCCCGATAAAGGCAGCGGGATCATTTTTGATTCAACATCAACTAGGCCCGCCGAAGCCATCAGGTTGCTTAACTTTATGCCGGCCCGCACATCTTTTACGTCCTCTAACGCCCTGATATATCTGGTACTCCATTTTCTAAGCGCGTGATTTTCTGTTAATGCGCCATTATCAGACTGGATGTTATAATATATTTCGACCATCTGAGCCCAGCCTCCACGCCTTAAAGATCTAATATTTTGGGCCGCCACGGCTGGTTAGTTGAGTTCTGAAATATAGGTATGTGATCGGCTCACTTCACGATGTCTCGCATGTAATGCGGCCACCTCTGCTGATTTATCCCTGATGCAACTAGCCTGGAGTGAACGAGATCAAACTGGCTATATCCGAAAGTGAAGTGTCTGTTGAGATCGTCGACCTATTAACACGGGAGAGGTCAACATCAAAGCATGATAATCTCCAGGAGACGTCAAGGAATTTATGCTTGGCTCGCAAACCCGTGGGTTAAGTGCTGGCCTGCAGGAATATACGGAAAAGATGTCTTGCTAAGATATATTTGGGAAAACAACTTGATGCTGGATTTTATTGCAGGCTTAAAAGCGAGTATTACCTGCAACCAGAGGTTTTCGGGGGTGTCGTCCGGCCTCATGTGTGGTGAAATATCCACTCCGATGACCTTTTAAATCTTGAAAATTAATGACCCTGACGACAGGGAGACTGGGGCTTTGCGACTCACATCGCACGATTCATATTGCTCTGCGACTTCTACTGCCCATGCGCCTGATCCATAGCCGCAGTCGAGGACCTTTGCCAAACGGTCGACGGGTGGGAATATTAGACGGTGGTCGAAAACATGGTTAAGCACCCGATGTTGAAGGTCAAGTCGATCAATCTCTTCCTGCTAGGAGTCAGCCAAGGCAGAAGCCGGTGCAGGGAAACATACATCATCAACTGGGCTAAAGTAAATGTCATTCTCAACTGCATGTTTTTGGAACTCCCGCCCTTCAAAAGTCAATATCTCCAAGAAGGATCCATCCAATTCTGTGGTTCCTGAGCGAGGATCTCTATGTATGGGTGTCGGAAATATCAGTATGGATCTGAATGAATGGGGATTGGGATGCGGTACGTCATTTTCACTCGATTGTGGAGGACCAAACCACTCAGAAGAGCGGCGATTCTACCGGTTTGCAGAAAAGGATTGATTCAAAAGTCCCGTTCCTGGCTACGGCCCATCAGAGCCGCTGATTACAAGCTTAGTTCACCCCAAGGTTAATAAAAAGGCAAGACAGCCTCTTATATGCAGGAGGCAATTGATGCCCAAATCCCCCTGAAAGTACCTGCTCCCGGCTAACGTTCCGGGCGGTAGGAAATCTAGGGAAAATCTCGCTATATCCATTCTGATTAACTTCCAATAGGTTAAGAAAGCATGATAACTACCCGATCGACTTTTCGTCTGAAATTGCGTTGGGATTTTCTTGCACGCGGTAGTTTACCATCCTACTAACTTATCCCAAGTGAAACCGTCGATTCTCAGGGTGGCTAGTGCGTGCAGGATGGCCAGTGGTACCCGCTCCGCTACCTCCGTTCATTGTCCTCAGTCCCTGGTTTCAACATACCCAAAACGGGCAATGCGGTAGAGTAAAATATGATATTGTTGCGGTTGGAGATATCAGCGAATATTCCTCACCGGTATTGAGGGCCAAACGAGACCTGTTGATGCCAACAGATCGCCTCGGCTATCAGCTGGATAATCATGGAACATGCTTTTGGGATGCCCTTGGCAACCTTCTCAAGGCTCCCAAGGATGTTGATATTGCGAGTTGCCTCGCTCATGACCGCCAGGGAGTTGAGCCGGTCTAAAGTCATGACATGAACACGTTGGCAATTGCCCTCTTACCTTGGACTTTTGACCGAAAAATAAGATTTCTGGTGCCGACAAACCCAACGAGTCAGAACCATTTCAGTGGGAAGCCAGAGAATCAGAAGTTCAACAAAAGACGTCATCGACCGGGAAACATCTAATTAAAAGACAATCAGCTTGAGTAGGGATCCATCTTGACGGCAGATGTCCTCATGACATGTTGACTGATCTCCTCTCCGGTGTGGTCCCTACCCTCCATAACAGAGGGACGCCCTTGCATTCTTCTTGAGAAAGAAAGGAAGGACGAACTTGCTGGAATGCACGGAAAGTCGCCGACAGGACCGACGTTTCAGATTCAGCGGCTCACCTTTGGGCGTCGCGAAAGGCCTTGCTTCACCGCATTTTGGAGAAGATGAAAGCATGTCGTGCAACTCAATAGGAATTATACTCTCCATCTTCTCCCATGCATGTGGAGACAACACCCGAGTTTGTGTGGGTTGACCCCAAATTACTTCTCCCCTCTACTGAGAATTGTGGGCACCCAAGAAATGCAACTCTATTCCATCCTGCAGATACAAGGCTGTTGTTACAGGCATGGTAATGTGAGCCATTCCCACAATACTCATGAAAAATTCCAAAGCGCCGGAGTCTTCTCGGCACGGAAATGAAAGGAGGAAGTCCAGAATCTTTTAGTTAACTATCAGGCTCGGGCCAGCCGCTTCGTCGGGTCAGAATGGGTTCTCCTTTTGAGTAACAGTTGGCAGTTGCGGCAAAGAGCGGGATCTATTAACCCAACGCCGTGGTTCCAAGGTAACATAAGCTGCGCCAACAACCAAATTTTAGAACCGAAGGAGCGCTGCGATATAAGCTAAGAGGTCAATCACCTCTAGCATGGTCATTCGTGCCCAAATTTCCCACTAGTCCGAATGGCCAGTATCAAAAGATGATTTTTCAGTAGGGCTGAGTGATTACAGGAATAATGCTGATTCCCTTGCAATAGCCCCGACACATAGAAACAGAAGTCGACTGCTTGTGTACTTATCTGCATGCGCTTCGCTGGTTTCGATAATTGTGGCGTTGTTACATGCGTGGACGGTGCGCCGACTCTCTCATTAACGATGAAGAACCTGATACGGGGTACTTTCCAACACAACGGGCTTGGTGACGAGGCAAAAGTATCAAATCGAATACCCAATTCCCAATAATTTGCCAGATCCCATACCGAATCGGAGTCTTGGCCGGATTCTGCACAACATAGTCCTAGTGATCTGCGGGTATTCCATACTAGTAAAGGCAAGGAGTGAGAAAAGAGTCAAAATGCATCCCGACCTGGTTGACATGCATGGTTGCCAGTTACCGAGCATGCGCATTTCCAGATATCCCGTGTCGCCAACGCGATTACATACCACTCTAGAAGGAAAAATAAATTATTGAGACCAAGAAACCAGGGAAAGGGAAAAGAACTTATCCCCTGCTTGCCTGAGTTTGATTGTTTGGAAAGTTGCTTTTCCATAGGGCGTCGACAGCAACCTGGAGAGTTTTGGGCGTCAATGTGCCAGTGATGCAACATTTGAGATTGGAGAATCACAAATAAATCATGGTGTTGGGCTTCAACGAGACTTGGAGTACACAACTGCTTTTCTTATCTATTTTTTTCTTTTTTCAAAGCTTTGGAAGGGAAGATCGAAATATTCCTTTTCCAGAGGGGTTCCATTCACCTCCGGCATCATGGATTCCATACTCCGTACATGGTGCGGGATTAGAACTACAGACAAGGAGTGCCTTGTTGAGAACGGTCTCCGCATGACGTCCGTATGATAACGCTCAAACTCCGTAATAGCGAGTCGAGCTTTAACTACGGAAAAGTAGCTATGATAGGCTGATTAGTTACTGCTTTGATGGCTCTTTTTTTCAGTCTAAAGGTGTAACCCATTAACCTAATCATTTACTTTACAAGCAACGGACTTTCGTGAAACTTCAACCACGCCCCGCTAAAGGGGATTAAATCCTTTTTTTAGAAAGCAGATATGGACACAGGATTTACTGTGCTTTCTTGCCTCTTTCCCTTTCGGCTTTGCGCAGCGCTCGTTGTCGGATGGATTGGTGCATCGATTTGTTGATACCAAGGACTGTTTTGCTCATTGCACCCAAGAACGAAGTAATACCCCATGCCATGAGTCCATGAGTCCAGTATGGCACGGACGTATTCGAATACGAAGATAAACCCGCACCGCGCCCTAGATGGCCGAGCACCGACCGAACAAAATTCTTCGGGTTCGGTATCATCATCGAAGCTCTGCGAATCTTGGACATGGCAGACGTGACGAGATAGCTGATAACAAGCTCAACACGAACATTATGCGGTTCCAATTCAGAAGCAAGGGCAGTAGACCAGTGCTGTAAGAACGCCTTGCTGCCAGAGTATGTGGCAAGGAGAGGAGTAGGTAGGAGGCCACCAAAGGATCCCATAGTGAGAATCAGACCGCGTTTGCGCTGGATCATTCCGGGAGCAACAAGCTGTGTGACGCGCAATGTGCCGAGACAATTGATAGTGATGATATCTTTCATTTCCTTCTCCGGGGTTTGGACGAAAGGCACCGGAATGCTATGACTCAGACCGACATTGTTGATTAGAATAGAGATATCGAGCCCTTTGATCACATCCTTGAGTTTCTCATAATCTTCGTCGTTATCTTGGGAAAAGTCCATTGAAACGGTTTTGGTCATGATTTTGGGGTTGGCGGAGCTGATCTCGGAGGCTACAGCCGAGAGCTTGGATTCCGATCGTGAAACGAGGATGATGTTATAGCCCTTTCGGGCAATCTGGAGGGCGTACTCTTTGCCGATTCCATCGGAGGCACCGGTAACGAGGGCCCAGCTGCCCTTGGGGCCAAAGCTGCTCAACTAATGATAGAATCCTGTTAGTATGAACAGGGCAGTAATGGTGTTGGTAGAGTCTTACTGGTTTTCCTGGGAGTATGAAAATACTGAACAGAGCTCTTAGGAAGCTGAAGCTCTTGTTCAGGAGGAAGAGCCCGCCCGTCGCAAAAACCAACGCTGCGACAATCGTTTGGCACGAGGAGACGTCGAGCTGGAAACCGTCGGTACGGCCAAAGAGGCCACAGCCTTTAAATGATATATGGGACATGCTGCCAGCAATCAAGGTTGATCAGGAAAACGAAAGGTCGTGGTCTTGTCCTGGGAATTTTGACGCGTTGAGCTTCGGGAGACAGGGAGTTGCAGCTCGTTTTCGAATTTCTGGGGATTTTTCCCAGCTCCCGAACCATCATCCATCCAGCAAGCTCTCACAGCCAAACAAAACAATCCCACCGCACTTATTGCATTAAAATCTTCAATTTAACGGGAAAAAACGCGTCTTTTGCTTGGTCAGGACCGGGGCAATTCACCACGACAATGTCCCTTGCCTCTTATTTACCGCAGCACGAGGGCTATCTCCCCAAATGGCTTCTCTTGGTATGTTCCCTCGCCTCAACAGCCAGTCACCAAACAATCCAGACTGACTCTTCGAGCAGGTCTCCGTCGTGTCAACCCTTAATACCCTCCAAGCCTACGCGAACCCGACTTACACCGGTCAACTCTACGCCGCTACCCCAGTCACCCCCTTATCCTCGCGTAAATTCGGGACCTGGACATTCCTCTCCTCCGTCATCCGTCTCTACGCTGCGTATTACATCACTGATCAACATGTGTATGACCTGGCGATATGGACGTACGGAATTGCATTGACTCATTTTGTGAGCGAATGGCTGGTGTTTGGAAGTGCCAGGGCAAAAGGTAGATTTCTGAGCCCGTTGGTGGTCGCAAGCGCGAGTTTTACGTGGATGATGACACAGAGAGGGTGGTATGTGAAGTGACGTTGGAGTGGCTGGAGTGATGGGTAGAAAGTGTCTGCGAAAGGCGAGACGGTAATGATTTCGCCTAGGCCATGGCGTCTCGAGCGTGGAGTGTGGCGTGTGGATGATTTCAGCGCAGCGCGGGCTATTGCCCATTTCCTATAAATCGCCTTTAACATTGTGATCGACCGAGATACAGATATCAGCGGATTTCTTGCATATGACTGGAAAGATTTCTCTACTAGAAAAAACTTTTCTCTATTGATTCCCGTCTCCTAACTTTCGATATAATTCACCTCCACAACTTCGTAATCTCGCTGCTGCTTGCTCCGGAGTGATATCACGTTGAGGCTCAGCCATCAACTCATATCTATGCTCGCTATTAACAAACAGCCTCTCGATCACGGCGGAGCATAGCTTCATGACTTACCCGACCAGAAACTTCCTGATTGTCGCGCTTCTCAGTAGCGGTGGATAAAAGTGTAAATGTAGATGAGAAGCGTCCATTTCCTCCACCGTCCCGTCCAGCGGAGCTTGGTGAATCCCCATGCTATACGGAAAATGCGTATCAAAAAGATTATCATACCTTCTAGTAATCTCTGCGATTGCTTCCGCTAACTGTTCCCGTTCCACTGTCGTTAGATCCGCCAGTGAGCGTTTATGCTTTTTGCTAATGATCATGGTTTCAAAAGGCCATACGGCCCACCAGGGACAGAGTACCAGAAATGCGTCGTTTTCGAATACTATTCTTTCTTGTTTCTCCCGTTCGAGTGAAGCATAATCTTCTAGCATGTGTCTACCTGGTTTTTCTCGACGATACTTCTTCAGTTGCTCCAATTCCTGCGCTGGCTCCTCTGGCAATGAGCTTGTTGTCCATATTTGCCCATGGGGATGGGGATTCGAACACCCCATAGTAGCGCCCTTGTTCTCAAATATTTGCATATAGCGATACTGCTGGTTTGGCTTTGAGATTTGCAACGCTGGAGAGTCGGATGATAACGCGGCTCGCTCGCGCGTCACAAGCGGTGAATTGCTCGGTAGGTGGCTGATAAAAATGTCGGTCCAGGCATTGACTATAGGGGTGATGTCGCTGGTTGAGAGGTCGGCCAAAGTGAGATTGTGACTGGGGGAGAATGTGAGAACATAACACCTTCCTGTCACCGCTTCGGCTCTGAGGAAGGTCGATGCGAGATCTAGTCTTGATGGTCAGAGAAGACACGACCTTGGGACAACAGCAATCAAGGTAAACCCACCGTTGTCGTCTTGCCCAGGATCATAATCAGGTTGATCTTCTTTTACTGCACTGAAATCGTTCACGAAAACAAAGGTCTTGGTGTATCGAGGATTTTCGTTTCCCTGCGCCCGCTTGTTACCGGGGCACAAGTAGCAGTCCGGGTCATATGAGGGAAGAAGGGTTTTGGAGGGGGACTCCTGCTGGCCTCTAGCGGGCATCCAAGTGTCAATATTGTTTCCGGGCTGGCCGTTCTATCACACACTCACTGCCATGGTCTCTTGGTTCGATGCGGGGAGACCAGGACATAGGTCCCCCGTAAGGCGTTATATCTTCGATGCGAGATATCGTCTAGTATAGAGTCGGCCATGACCAACCAGACCTGACAAGAATAGGCCGATTTTCCAGGGCAGAATGAAATTGGGACGGAAGCCAACTGATCCCAACCGAGCGCTGAGGTGGTGACCACAGACTAGCGACGTCATTGCCTGCGACACGATGGACGAGAGCAATTTCTTTGCTGTGAGAACGGCAACCTTCACTTGAGCCGATGAAACCAGCAAGACGGGGAAACACACTGCAGGGAGGCTGATTTCACATCTAGCTAGCTCCATCACTGGCGAACTACACGGATCTTTCCATTTATCTCCTATTGCTTCAGCTTCTTCGTCCTGCGAGACACATCGCGCCTGAGCCCGGAGTCCACCGAAAAGCCCATGGATTCAGGGGATGATTGACCCGTCAGATCTACTGTTGCCATGTATCAAGGTCTGACACGCGAAAAGTATGCAAAATACAAGTGCTTTGGGGTCAGAAGTTGGGGTCTATACGGTGAAATGCACTTTCAAGTTGCAGCTCAGTCTGCCAGATTTGGACACCACCAGCGTAAGTACGAGTGATATATAATCATATTTTTAGGCGTGTCGGTCACGGCATCAGCCAGCGGGGGTGAAGGTGTGCAATGCTCCTGGGAGTGTGCTTCAATCTCAGCAGATATCGAGCCGATTTGAACAAGAGCAGACGCACGTTATTTCGGAGTGGATGGCCCAAAGAGGTATTTGGCTAGGGCCATTTGGTAGGATAATGATACCAGCTCCATAGCCACGACGTCGACGAACGAGGGCAGGGATATATACGTTTTGTGATCCGTACTCGCGCACCAGTACTGCTTCTGGCGAGAACGTCGTTGTCGATTCTACTTTTATCCATGGATAAGCCCACCTAGAATCCTGCACATCTGTGCCTCCCGGAGCGCTTTTGTTACATTGCCCGTCCTGGCCCCCAGCAGCAGACCGCATTTGCCATAGTTGCCACTGCATGCAGATATTATGCGAAATATGCGCGGGATCGCCTTGTGGATGATGGATTTCGGCTTACCCGCTCCCTAACGAGGACAGTTTCCCAAACCAAGAGACGTAACAGAATGAACGTTCTCATGGAGTGAGGCCGTTGCAAACAATCCCCCGCCTTCAAATTGTACAGGGCATAAATTGGTTGTGATTAGGGGCCAAATGTTCCAAAAGCACAACGAAGACTTTCAGCCCGGCGCCGCGAAGGTCTGATTGCATGACACCCATCATTCACCTAACTAGCTGTACGGCCCGAAAATAGCAATTTCTCCCAGCGAAATGTTTGTACGGAGTATGGATGGCGCATAGATTCGAGATGCGTGCAGCACAGCCACCACCGCCACCACAGCCTCAACGCAGAGCTTCATGGCGAGCCTGCGAATTTGCGAACCCGATTATTGTTAAGGGGAGAGGATCAAGATTAAGATGCGAGTGAAGTAGCAAGGACGAGTGCCAATGGTTGGGGTAAACCTAGTGGTTATTGACAATGATGGCTTCAGCCGAACCGCCGAGGCCTAGAAAACAGAATTTGGGGTTTAAAGGAAAAAAGCTGCATATTCAGTTTCTCGATCCCCAGTGTCGTGACTTTGCAAGGATGCAGCCGCTTATACTTGTCACTTCCCGTCCCATCCTGACCGCTTCCCCTGGACATTGAGCATCGACCCGCGCAGGGATCGCGAGCTTCGACTTTTACAGTCTGGATACCCATGCTTCAGCTCAGTAATAGGGCAAACAACGCCTTCTGTTCCCTAAATAACCTGTTTCCGACCTCTGATCACCAATTGGACTCTCGCATAGCGTGAATGAGAGCTGGTGGAAGATGGTAGTCTTTCCAGTGCTGACAAATTGACCAGCGAGCCCAACACCTAGGTATGTTAATTGACCTGGGTGGTCGCGAGGCCGTGAAGGCACGGCGAGTAGCCCAGCGATTTGACATTTGCGTTTCTTTTTTGATGGGTTGTGAGTGATCCGCTCTTTGCATTTCCCAAAGTGCGGTTGCATTGCGACTTGGACGAGAGCTCAGCGATCTAATTATGAGTTCATTACCGCTGGGGAAAACTGCAGATTGGCCTATTCAACATTTTGAAATGAAGGGAGCAAAATCTTAGGATAGGAAAAATTACCCCATGACCCTGTCAACATACCAGCGGAATATTTATGCAGCCTAACGCTCTTCAATCTCGAGTGACTGTTTTGGGTCAAGACGGCGAAATAGTCTAGCCATGTCTGGCTTCTAACACACGATACCTAGCTAATAATAAAGCCAAAACTGACACAAGAGCATTGGAATGGTGACCTAAAAACAGACTGGATGACCAGCAGGATCCCCCTGTCAGCTCGTGGACATGGAGCAGCTAACGCAGGCAAATTCTGGACAGGAAGGTCCAAATGTTAGGAATCAGGTGATCCTAAATGGATGCTTGGGGCGATAAGGAGTTTCTTTGCATTAATAATAGGAATAAATAACAGCTTTCTTGGTGCAGCCAGCCATTCACAGCTTGCCGGTGCAGCTGCACCGGTGATATTCCGGCTGGCCTGATGGAGTTGGAGAGCCATTTTGGGTTGTTTAACAGGCCGGATCGAACACGATTGCGGTATTGGCGTTTTGGTAGAGATGCAATCTCATAGATATTCTCATGCAGGTTTCGTATCAGCGCTCAGTCTGGCGTGTCCATGTGGGATTGCAGTCAAGCCTTGCAGGCCTGAACCATTGAACTCTGTTGGGACAACCGGTGGATGGGATTTGCCTTTTCACCGGCGGGACTTTTTAAGGTGCAGGAAGGGAACTGATCTGGACCCGAGTTATTGGTTGCTGGCGTTGAGCGGCAACAGCCCTCCAGGCAAGCGGATGAAAGGCAAAGGCCTGGTGTCTGCGGCTGAGCTCCGTCTCGAAACCTCGTGGGTTTGTTGGCCCTACCGGAATCGCCTTTAGAGTTGGACAAAGCACGCACGGTTTCCCATGACCTGCGGACGAATTGTGAAGAAGCTTAATTGCTGCTGCAGTAAGCTCTTCCACTTGTCTGTGTTGCACCAAACATGCATGGCCGAGTCCTTGTCCTGGACCCCAACGCAAAATAATCTAGACTTGGTCGCCGTTTTACCTGCTGATGCAGCACCGAAAAGTTTATGCAAAGGGGATTCAGTTTGGCCCCCTTTGGGCGGCAACACACCGCATCATTCGATGGGCTTGTTCTTTCAAATTCCATCATTCGCGGGCAAGCCTAAACGGCCGGAGATTTTATCAAGATTCGTGCACTAAAACTCGCGCGAAGCAAAGTGGCGAAAACTGGTCTCTCCGCACTCCACTAAACTCGTTGCCGCAATTATCGGGAGTGATAGGTGAGAAAGGCGACATGGGGTTTGCCCACTGAACCACACAAGAGTTGATAGGTCTTTTGTGAATTGCAGACTATCAAAACTATTTGGCTCGCTTTCAACTAGTTAGCTTGTCCCGGAGTCTTCTCTCTCTCTGGTTTGCATCCAGGGTAACTTATTTATCCTTTGTTAAATTGCCAAGCTCGAGAAACATAAATGAATCGGCCGGTCTGGATTCCAATTTAGAGTCTGATTTATCCGCACTGCTCTGCGGTGCTCATTTTGCCTCTTTTGGAGGTGTTGCGATCCTCTGTGATGCCACACGGAAAAGGGGCAATTCTGATATCGCAGTCTCTCCAACACGACAGAGAGGCAAGGCGAATTGCCAGCGCAGCTCTTCATTGGCAAACGGTCGCAGGGAATGGACAAGGCTATTAATAGCGTCCTGTTCCTCGCATTCTGCACTGACCAGCCAGCCCGTATTTGCCGCAGGTCGATTGGAGTCGACCACAAAGCTTGGCTTGTTTCTCGCCGTGCTGTTTCTCGCGTGGCCGTCACGTTTTCCGCCTTGCTGGCTGCGATTCTCATCTGCTGGCGGCTTGGAGCATCCTGATGATCTTGCTGATCGTCCACTCCCTCTTCCGAGCCTAATCCCGCTTCCTGTCCCCCTTTGCACGCTGCCATCCTGAGCTGTCGAGGCAGCTGTGCCCTGCTGATCGATCTTCCGTGACGCTGCTCAGAAACCTGGAGCCTTCCTGCACCATATTGGTTTTGCTTTTTGACACCCTTTCTCTCTTCCATACTTTCAGGTTCCTTCATTTATTTGCTTTTTTCCCCTAACTATCCCTCACCCTTTCCTTGCCTGCTTTCTTTTGATCCTGTCCCTTCAATTCTCGTCACACTTTTCGCCTCCCCCTGTTGCTACGAATTCCCATCCATACGCCCCCGCTCACCGTGAAAACAAACCATCCTACCCTTGCCGGCACACATGAGTAGATATCCCTATCATCCATGCTTCCACGCTACGTTTTCTTTTTGCGCAATAAAGCCCGCATTGCTATATATATGATCGTACTCCCTGCCTTTCTCAATGCTGGACGGCCCGTTTATAGGGGCACAGACAAGTCAAATTAACGTTCCTTATTTCGTATCCCCCACTGCTCTCTGCTCATTCCGCTCAAGGCTGCTCCGCAAGAGCAATAGATAGTAGGATAGCTCCGGCGCTACCTGTTCTAATTGCCTAGTGGGCCTCAATGCTTGTTTAATGAACCATTTGAGGTGTTTTCTCCCCCGGAATCACATCAAGCTATTCTCGTCACGTTGCTTTCGTCTTTTGCATGTCTTATATTCAAGTCAGTTGACGACCATCAAATGCCCGAGTTTTGATTAAAAAAAAGCTCTCGAACTCGCCGGGTTACTCATTTCCGTTCATTCCACGTCCGTTGGTTCTCCCGTAGCCCAATAAAGGCGATCCATACTAAAATTCCAGCGAAATCTAGCTTGCACAGCGTCACTTACTTCTTCTTTTCTTTCCCGTCTCCTCACATCCTCCGTCTCCTTTCCGGGGCCTGTTGCTGGGCCTCCGACCATGGCGGAGAAATCGTCCGTCGTAGCGGAACCAGCGGAGCCGCGTCGACCTTCCGCTTCCTCTCCCGACGAGACACCCGCACCAACCACGAATACAAAGGCGAAAGGTCCAAGGAAGAGAACCAAGACCGGTTGCCTGAGTATGTGCTTTCATTCCCCTTTGCCTCTAGAAACCTACCCGCCAACATGCCTCTAGCGTGTCGAAAGCGAAGGATCAAGTGCGGGGAGGAGAAACCGCGGTGTAACAACTGCATCAAATCGAAGCGGGAATGCGAAGGATATGGGCAGCGTGTGATCTTCAGAGACCCGGTTGGGCCAATTCCACATCTGGGCCCGATAAGCTCAGCCCGCGACTTGACAGCAGCAAACCAGGGCTTCTTGAATCGCCAGTTTGTCCAGGCGTTTCACCATGGCGAGCCCACTGGAGTACGGTCCTTCCTCCCCCTGGCACCTCGACCGTCAGCCTATGGCCCTGTTGCCGATGCTTTTGTGAGACAAGAATTTACATCCTCTCCGCCTGGAATTCCACAGCCGATCCAAGAAGACCAGTACTCGTGGAATGCGATCCAGTTTGCCCACCCGCATCAGCCAGCTGCACATAACTTCTCCCAGCCCGGACAGAATATGAGTACTCACCAGATTGATCCGGATTATCAACTCGGAGCACCGTACAATGGCCCAACACTGTTGGATCATCCGGAAGACTACCTATCACACGGGCCTCAAATGGTATATCAGTCCCAGTTTGCTTCGTCCGTATATGTAAGTTGGCCTTTTTAACGCCTGACCAACTAGGGCGACTAATGACCTTCAGATGGATAACGCATCTTTATCGCTGACCGAATCTGGACAATGTATGGCCAATAATTTCCTATATGTCAACCTATAACTCGCTAAAGCTGCCTCCAGATAGACGACAACACATTCCACCGGACCTGGGCGCGCATTCTGATGTAAACCACAACCCCCAGCCCACGGTTGGAATGGAACCGGAATTTGACCCTGGATTCGAAAGTGATGATTATTACGACGTTGAAACGGACGAAGAATTGGATGAGCTAGAGTCTAATAAGCGCTTTGACTCGTATGGACGCAACGCAAGTATCTTACCTCGTCAGTTGCTATCCAGCACTGGCCAAGTCTTTACCTACGAGAGCTATGAAAGCTTTCTCACAACGTATCATCCGTCTCCTCTTGCATCTCCTCTCCTAGACCCACAGCATTTCCAGGTGTTTTACCATTTTATGACCGTTGCGGGCCCGGCATTGTCCATTTTCGAAAGGCATCCGTATGTACCCTCGGCGATAATGTCTAATGGATCTATCCCACCAGAACAGCAAAACTTGTGGTCATATACCCTGCCAACCATGGCATTGGAACACCAAGGATTGCTACAGGCGATGCTAGCGTTTAGCACACTTCTTATTGCGAAAACGACGAATCAACCTCTAACAGCATGTTTCAGACATTACCATTATGCGTTGAGAAAGGTTGGCAAGGCTGTTGGATTGCCGTATCGCCGCAAACAGATTTCTACGCTTGCTGCCACGCTCTTGCTGGGATTTTTTGAAGTCATGGGTGCTGAGCATAACAAGTGGAACAACCATTTAGCTGGTGCTGCTCATCTAATTCGAGAAACCGATTTTGCCGGGATGACTCGCGATATTCGAGCTATGAGAGCCAGAGCGGCGTCAGAACAGTGGCTGCCACAAGCACAAGGGATTTGGACGGGGCCTTCCACGTCGTATCTAAGAAGTTATTTTGAAAACGATATATTCGCGCCAGTCGAGTCCGACATTGATATAGCGCTCATTAACACGCTGACGGGAAAAGCGATAAACTATGATGAGTTTGGTCAAGTGGGCAGCCCAAAGAAGAAGCCGGAGACCAATTTAACCCCCAAAGACGTGGATGACTATAGAGTTCGATGCGACCTGTATTGGTGGTATTGCAAACAGGATGTGTTTCATAGCATAATTAGTGGGAATGCACTCTTGTATGTCACAAAAGTGATTTTTGAAAGCTTGAAAACTGATATATGTATAGGCTGCCGTACGATCGATGGGGTGAATGCCCGCCCAGAGCCGGTGTAGGTAAGCTTGATGCGGCTTACGGGTCCATGGATCATTTGATACTGCTCCTAGCGAGGATCAGTACGTTTGTCTTCAAGGATCGGAAGCGAAAGCTGAAGGTAATTGAAGCTAATGGCGGCGAATGGCGACCTCCGCCAAACTTCTTTCCGCCGGGGATGAGTGGCCCTGGTCCCCGTGCACACAACGGTCCTCAACCAGGGGTTCCGCACGCGCAAACCGACCCGAAGAGGAGGGCATCAGCGCTAAAACGTGAGGCTAGTCCTCCTATGTATGGCATGGTCCCGCCTTCTGCGACAAGGCTCCCATCAGCCTTTGACAGCAAGATTTACCCTTCGCCGCCGTCTCCCAGCGGTTCAGAGGATAGCATAGACCTAGACTCGCTGACAGCAGCAGCCGAAGAGGAGTGGCAAGAGCTGGTGCACGCATGCGAGGAATTTGGAACGGCACTTGGGACGTCGGGATTTGTTCCACTGCCGCCAGACGGAGCACCGCTGATAGCCAGCCCGTTTGGCCCGGCGATACAGTA